ATGAATCATATAGTTCATAAAGCAATATTCCATGTCCAAAGCTCAGAATTTTAGAAAGATTAATCAATTTTCCTAACTCTCATTCATGGGCTAATCACTTTGGTTTGGTGTGTGAATTAAGGATGTTTTTGCTAGAGTTTTTTCTACCTAAGCTTATTCTTTAATTCTTTAATGCATGTAGCATTGCCCTAAACATAATTAATAATTAACACTTTAATGGTGAAATAGTAGTTAGCTTTGCACATGCCTTGCAAATTGTAAATTTCTAAAAAATAATATTAATTTGGAGGACAGCATTTATTACTATTATTATTTAAAAAAGGTTTCCTTCTTGACTGAACTAATTCATATATATAAATATATATATATATAGTAAATATAAACATAATGCACATATGCTAACTAGCTAGCTATTATAGCAAAATTATATATGGTACGTCATTTTTTTTTCTTCAACTATAGCCAACCCTATTTTTGCCACTCTCTTCATAAAAGTAAACTTACCAATTAATCCGATGCATGATTTTCTTCACATTCTTAAAGTGTTTATGCAATAATATATATCCTTCAAGAATTTTTCAATTAAAAGTCAACATTCATTATTATTATTATTATTTTTAAAAGCAAGTTTTTAAAAATTAATAAATAAAAAGGAGGATACAACAACAACAATTTGAATTAAGAAGCAATATATAAGCTGTTAGGCTAAATCAAAAGAAAAATAAAAAGAACATACATTTAATTAAATCATTCTATAAGGTTTTGAGTTCCATTATCCCTAATTTACCAAATTATCAATTTTTGTTTCAAAGTTTCCAAATACAATATGTGCTTTTTGAACCTGTGAGCAGTAATTGCCATTCATTAACTTAATAAATTTATTGAAAGAGACATGTGATTTTATATAGTTAAGCAAGACTGATTACCATCAATGAAAGTGCAGCTAAAAAGCAATAAAATTGACTCATAATAAAAAGTTAAAAAACCCAAGCTTTCTACCTTTAAATGGCTTACAAAATTAAACCTCTCAACATGCATGCACGATGCAGCCGCTGGCTTTAACATAGTTTAAAAAGCAAGTTGTCGTTTGTTAAAGTAATTGGCTTTGTATAAAACAGTAATATTGTCGTTCAAAGGTGATTCAAATCTTTGTGAAAGTAAATCTTTGAATATCGTCCGTGTCGTTTAAAGCCTAACAAGAGCTCAAAATTTTGCCATCTCAACTCTCAAGTGTGAACACAAAAGGCGATGAAACAAAAGTTTTTCGATCCAGGCAAAATCACAGAAAATTACAATACCGAACCTTACTTTTGATGAAATATGATTAATTAGTAATTGTTGGTCTAAGTATCTAATGAACAATCGGCGAAGGCAACAGTTATTTTTTCTTTGGAATCTAATAATTGAGGGAGGCTAAAGCCTAAAGCCAAAGGAGAGAGAGATTTAAAGCTTTGGTTGCATCACGAAAAAGATTATCTTGTCCCCCCTTGTCCTTGACATTCTTTTGGCATCAATGGAGAAACCAGACACTGGAGTCAAGGTTTGAACCATTGCCGCAGAAAGTCCTTAATAGAACTCCCCGCTTCGCGCTGCGATGCGCTTCTTGTTGCCGTTGCCTACATTACTACATATATATGACACAATAATTTACTCAAATCATTAAATTTTTACATTGAAGTGCATATTTAGCGGACATGCATATATCCTGCAATTGAGAATCAATGTCCAATTTGTTGGTTCTATCAGGAAATTAGTAAAAGAAAATAAATTACAGTACGGTCAGTCAGTCACCATCCTATAGATCACTTGACCAACCAATCTGACGAGAAGGCAAACCTAGAGATGGTGGGGTGATTGAATGTAAAAACCAGCTTCAAGTCTCATCTGAGTAATAATGCACCAGCTGATCAACTGAAAGGAATTATATTTGCCTTGAGAATTACTCAGATGATCCTTTCAAAATTGTACTGAAAATCTGAAATTAACATCAAATTAAATAGTTTACACCTAGTTGACAAAAGTTCATAAGCTTTCTTGACAAACCCACTTTTCCTTTTGGCAAAAGCTATATGCCTATAAGTTTTGTTCTAAATTTTTTTCAGCTGCACTTTAACCCTACCCATTTTTCATCTTAGTTCTTTCTGCCTAACTATGTTTTACTTTTGATTAACCATTTATAGAAGATAAAAGATTTTCTTCCTCTTCTTCCCCCTCTTTAATTTTGTTTAGGACCACTATAGTACAAAGCAAAATCAACCTTTAACCCCTTTCCGCAACTTTAGCTGCCATGCTTTGGACAACTGTGTTATCACAATAAGTATTCTCGTCAACATGAAGAGATTTACATGAAATATTATAAAATATTGTAGGTGAAATTCATGAAATTTTTTATTAAAAATGAATAAATAAAAATCAAAATTAAAAATTAAAATTAATAAATTAAAAAATCTTATCACATAGATTAAACGTATAAAATTTAAAAAATTTTTAATAAATTTGGATATATTTGTTAAATAAATATTTTTAATAAAAATATTGATAAAATTTTTACTATTAAATAAGTATCAATTAAATTTGAATCATAAATAATTTTTTTAATAATTTTTTTTTACACATTATTAATTTTTAAATTAAACTTTATCAATTTATCTATTTGAATTTTATATTAAAATTTTTATTAAATTAAAAAATTTACAAATTTCATTTAAATAATTTTATGTAAGTTTTGTCTTATTATTTTATTTGAAAACTCTGAATTCAATTTGATTCCGAGTGCTAGTTTTGATATTATATTTCTAGAATAGAGTTTGGACCGTGACCCCAATGCAAATCTTATAAGCGGTGCCGACAATGTTAGGATTCGTTTGCTTTTAAGTTTCAGCCTTCAGCCGTTTAGGCTATATATCTCTAAAAATGACTGCCTTTCCAACTGTACCTCTGCCACAATGCTTATGCATAATTCATGCTTCGACCCTCGTTTAACTTGGTTTTGGTTTTTCTCCATTCTAACTCACGCTTCAACCTACCAAATCCGAGTTTATCATTCGGAATTCAGATGATGAAGGACGGAAGGGTTGAAGCCGTAGGGTATTTGGGTTTGGTTGTTTCTGCGTGGGTCTCTGGATATTATTTTATAGCTTGTCTATACTGGCCCAATACAAACCATTTAACGGACAGGGCCTTTATTACAGTAAAGATGTTAATAGATAAGGTATAAAAAAAGTAAAGTATTTTTTATTTTTATATTATATTTATTTTAGTATATATATAATGGATATTTTAAATTTATCTTTATCTCCGTAGGTATTTAATAGATATGGGTAATCTTCATAACTTTTTTTAAAAAATAATAATCAAAATTTATATTTTATCTTTTTTGTTTTAATTTTGTATATTGAAGTAATTTTTATAAATATATTAATATATATTTTCAATAAAAATATATTAATTTTAATTAATTTAAAATAATAATTTATATTATTTAATAAAAATTTTATTTATTAAATATATATAAATATATAAGATACACATACGAAACAAATCGTATATTACTCATCTTTATTTTTATACTTAATAAAAATTTAAATCATATTCATCTTTATTCTTATACCAACAATATAATATCCATTTTCATTTTTATTAAAATAAAAAAATCTAATTTTCAATTGAATATGAGTAAAATTGACATATGAACAAAACTAATCCCTAAAGTTGGCTCTCTTAAAATATTATATGCACTTATAATTATACATAAATACCAATATTTTTTGCCTCATAAATTTAGGATTGCATCTTGTCTTTTCAATCCTTACGGCTCATGGAATCATTGGTTTGCATTCTTTTCACTTACTCATTTGATTACAAACAAAAAAATTAACATTTTGGAAGCGCATTTTAATCTATCCTGAATGGGAGCAAAAATGGGCCAAGACAAGACAAGGAGTGTGCTCAATACAAAACCCATGTTGCTAGGGACAAAGGCCCAAATCAAGTCACAATCATGAAAGATGACCTTTGTATTCTCCAGTATTTTTTTTTTCTATTGTTATTGAATTTAGATATTTTCTGAAGCTTTGATAATAAAAAAGTCTTGAAACAATATTGAACCAAATAATTGATGAACCTCAATACATACTGCCAAACCATCAGCCAAGAGACCCCATTCCAAATTGATCATTCACCAAAATTTACTATTGCCTATGACCCATGTCCCCCATCTTATACTCGTTTATTATCAGCTAGGTTTTTTCTCTAGATTATCAGCAAACATTTTGCCTTGGTCGGAGAACTTTATATATCCGATAATTATTTTAAATTTTAATTAATTTAAAATCGAATCAAATCAAATTTTATAAAAAAAATAATTTTTTTTTAATTTATTTTCTCCGTTTACAAGATTCAAAATCAAAATTTTACTTTAAAAAAAATCAAATCTTTTACCATTCAAAAAAACATACGTTGGTAATTATCAGCAAACATTTCAAATTGATTTGGAACACTTAAATTTATTTAGGAAAAGAAGGCTTTGTTTTCAGCAAGAGTCAAATAATGTGCCAACCATTCAACCAATGTCATATGCTTGAAAAAAAAATTTTAAATAAAAATTTTTAGGTGAATTTCATAAAAATTTCATTTAAAAATGATTAAAAAATTAAAATTAAAATCAATATATTAAAAAATTTTGTTATATAAATTAAATATGTAAATTTTGAAAAAAATTTTAAATTTTAATATATTTTTAAAAAAGTAAATTTTAATAAAAAATGATAATTTTTTAAATTATAAACTATATTTTTTAAATTTCTTTTACATATCATTAATTTTTTCATTAAATTTTATTAATTTGTCGATTTAATTTTTTTATTAAAATTTTAATTAAATCATTTATATTAAAATTTTCATGTTCACATAAATTTTTCTAGACTGCTAACCTTTTTGTCTTTTTATGGGCATATGGCAGTCTGAGCTATCTCATTAACCTACCATTCAAATCAGAAAGACTTGGCAGCGCAGTTACCTGCTATAGCTCTCAAAGGTGTTAGTTGTGGCCCAAGCAAGATTCGAACAACTACCATTCTTCCTTCGTCTAAATTTTGCTGCCCATCATTATGTTTCGGGCATTGTTTCCATATCTTGTCCAGGACTGGGATGCAAACGCCCGCTTTCTAGTTTTCAACCCGTCCGAAGAGATAGGGTGAACCTGAAGCTTCAGTTGTCCTGCTCCTGTTTTTATAGAAAAATGCAGTTGCTGATTTATAGTATTTCTTCCAGGTTCTTCACCATTTTGCATTAAGATTCGTTAGCCTTTTGAAAAGTGTGAAAGTATTTTGAGAATTGAGATGCACCAGTTCTGGACCAATATCAAATCAAGAAGCTGGAGCTGAGCTCTGTTTCAAGGTGTTTAGAGGTAATGTAGGAATATTTTCTCCTGAAATTTCAATGCTAGACATTATAATCGTGGTTGTAGTACATTTTCTCTATAAATGAGTACTTTTTACACAATGAAAGTATCCGTTCACTCCATTTTGAGCACTTGGTTTCTTTTATTTTTTTATTTTTTTATGATTCATTGAACAATCAGTAGCATTAGCATACACAATTTTCCTGTTCAAGAGACATTTGTTTTCCAATTCTATGAAAATTACATGAATAGTTTAAAAGCACTTTTTGAAGCTTCTAAGTTCTAATTGTTATTAGTTCTGCTGATAGAAGTTAAAAAGAAGACAGCTACGTAGCAGGCAAAATCCATAGCCATGTGCTCTATATTAAATGCAATGAATCAACTAAAACTCAACCATGGCAACTCTCAATCCGTGACTTTGTCAAGTGAGGTAAGGCCTGGTCTCCAGTTTCCTGCCAATTACATATCTTCAACTAACAAAAAAAAAAAAAAAAATTCCATTCCTTTTTATTATAATCACCAGTGTTACTTTGACTTGATGATTCAGAACGATCTACTTGAATGGTGTTACGCCCTTAATTTCTTTGCACGTTTGTTGGCTTATGTAGGAGTTTTAGGTGAGTACTTAATTATAAGAAACAAAGAGAGAAAATCTCTACATTTCATGGATGAAAAATAACGCAAAATTTTTTCTCCAATTTCTCATATTCATATTGAATGCTTTAAATATGTCTGCAGCCGTGATGGTGTTGATAGTGTTGTTGATTTTGAAGTATATGACGGACTTCAGTGATGAGAGTGGATATCATCAGGAGGACATGAGAGCAGCAACTGAATCTGAGACTACCCCTTTATGCTCTGACAAGGCAATACCATTAACATATGGAACATGTGAAGAGGATGAAGAAACAGGAAGTTGTAGCAGTGGGGAGGATTTATATGACGGAAGGATTTGTGTCATTTGCTATGATGAGCAAAGGAATTGTTTCTTTGTTCCTTGTGGCCATTGTGCTACCTGCTATGACTGTGCTCAAAGGTCCCTATTAAAACAAGTGAATTTTTTACCCTTTTTCCTTACTAAATGATGGCTTTAGAAATCTAATTATGGGACATGTTTTGCAGGATTTATGATGGGGAAAATAAGGTCTGCCCAGTTTGCAGAAGAGTCATTGGCAAAGTCAGAAAACTATTTGCTCCATAGCACCATTAATTCTTTCTTATATTTTTTCCTTGAGAGAAAATTTATTTTCTGTGGGAAATTTTTTTTCAATGTAAGTTTTCAGATTCAGGATGATTGACTGCATCCATGGCAGAGTAATGATGCATGGAACAAGTTTAAACTTTAGACAAGCTACAATTTTTTTTTTTTTCGTGAAAACTATTGGATCACGGTTTTCAAGTTATTTTATATTCAAATTATTGAGTTTTAAATTTAAATCAACGTAATTTAAGTTTATTTTGATCACATTAAATTCATTTCAAATTTAGATTAATTTAAATATAATTGTTTCGAGTATCAAATTATTAACTTTTTTTTTTATTAAATGAGATTGAGTGAAGTTCAAACAAGTATTTTTCGAGTTCCTCAGCTTTGACAGCTGTACCTAGGCAGCATTCATTTCAACTAGTCAACTCCAAAGCTGCAACTATTTGAGATCTTGAGCCCCAACAATGCCACATCGGAGTGACTAGCTAGCTTTAGGCTGAGGATTTTTGTTCTAAAATGAGAAATACACGGTGTGTTAATTTCCTAGAATCTAGTATGGAATCGAGTGTTGCAATTAACTCAATTATTAATACATGGATAATATTATAAATAATTTTGAAATTATAATAAAATATTAAATATGATGTTTAAAATTTTGAAATATTTAATATAATAATTAAATTGTAAACATGTTAATTAATATTATACTAATATGATTAATTTTAAATTATAATGCTTTACATATAAATAATTTTTTAAATGTAATATTAATTAATATATTTATAATTTAAATATTTTATTATAATTTAAAATTATTTATGATATTAACTCTTAATCATCGTATTTAACTGATTCAAAGCTACTAAACCTATGAATGATAAGGACAAGCATAAAGGATAGTCATCACTATTAGTGTAATTGAGTAGAGTCGAATCGAATAATAAGAAGTTCAAGCTCGAGCTCGACTCACAACTCGAGGTTCGATGCTCGGTTCGAACTCGATTGAGTTTTATTTTTCAAGCTCGAGTTCGATTCGTGATTGAATTCGAGCTACTCGAGCTCGTTCGATTAAGTTCGATTAATATGTAAAAATAAGCTCGTGTACTCGATAAAAATTCGATTATTCATGCTCGAACTTGAACTCGGACTCGAAATATTTTATTAATTAAAATAATAAAAATATATTTAAATATAAAAGCTCGATTAGGTTCGCAACTACTCGAGTTGGATATAAAAATATTCGAATTCAGCTCGATCGATAAGTCAAGCTACTCGAGCTCGAACTCGACTTGATAATAATCGAACCGAATTCGAGTTTTCTTCAAATCGAATCCGAATAATTTACGAGTATTAATGTATCATTTACACTTTTAATCACCACCGCTCATTGGTGGTGTATTTATTTATTGAAAATTACAAATATAAGTCAATGCAGTGGAGTATTTAATTTATTAGAAAGGTGTATATATTTTTATGTTCCAATAATTGTGTTTAAATGGTTTTGTTGATAAAACAAATAATAGTTAATTAATATTCAAATAGTTATAAATTTCTAAATATATATTCGATTTGTTGGTAAAATGTTTAATTTTTAATTTTAATATAAAAATAAAAAATTATAGTAAAAATATAATAATTTAATATAAAATTTATACATGCATCAATAAATGCAAAAGCGAAATTTAACTATTTGGAATGAAAAAAAGGTCAAAGCGTTTCATTAGGAAAGGTCAGAGCAAAGAGCGTGTCCTTCACGTGGAAGCATTGCGGTTCCTTTTCATGCCTTACTAGAAAAAGGCTAATGTTAAAAATTGAAATTAAAATACGTTGCGAAAAGGTAACACAAAAACTCGTGCTACCACAAGCCATCCACGGCCTAAAAATACGGTTGCCCTAAGTCCCCACACACTTTGGCGCCATTTTGGCTCGTCCTTCGTCGTGCTTTCGTCTCGCTCTCGTCGGCCTTTAAAAGCCGCCATCCCTTGTTATTGATGCCACGTCGTTTCGCCGCATTGAAATTTTTTTTGCGTAATTTAAAATGATAAAATATAAAATAATAGGAGTAAAAAATATAAAAATATTATCATCAAAATTTTTTAAAAATTTAAAAAATTATATTTTATATTTTTATATCAACATAAATTATAATATTTAAATTTTATAAAATATATAATATAAATATAATATTGTATACAATATAATAAGAATGATTAGTGTTCGATTAGAAAACCGGAAATTTTCACAATAGTCGTGTAGTGGGGCCCGAAGGGATGTAACCGGCAATGTAATAGAATTGCGTTGATCCCTTGTAAATTTATTTTGATAAAGATAGTTATTAACAGAGATTATTGATCAAACCGCAATCCAATTTTTAGATGTCATTAACGAAATGATAAAATATTATTATATTAAAATAATTTATTACATTTAATATCATCAAAATTAACAAAATAACATATATATTTAAAATAATAAAAAATAATTTAAAAAATAAAAGATGTTACTATTTTTAATCTTATTTGTGAAATTAAATAATGTATAAAAAATAATTTAATTAACAATATTATTAATTTATTATTAAATTTGGTTTTATTTAATGAAAACATATTATAAGAAATTGACAATAATTATATTTTTTCTTGATTATTTAATTTTAACAAAATTTGATAATTTTGAAAAAAAAACTTGGGAGTTGTTTAAATAAATAGTATTCCATGATATCTCATTCGAATGTTTTTGTACTTTACAGATGCCATCGCATTTATCCACGTGGCAAATTATAAAAATTCCCGAAATAACGAGTACTATAAAAAAAAGAAAAAGGGAAAAGAATGGAAATGAAAAAGCCACGAAAGGGTAACAAGACAGTGGGAAGGAGACAGGTACTTTGCCACTCTTTTTTTTTCCTCATCCCTTGCTAAAACCAAAAGCAAAAGCGATCCTCCGTGAACGCAACCACACCCGAACATGCCACCGGAAGACAACCAGATTCCTTTGTTATCTGACCAGGACTCCGACCAGGATGTCGCGTATGAGTCCGGTGAAAAAGTCCACATCGTCGGGATCAATGAACTGGACGAGGAAGGCTCATTGGTTGTCCCACCCTTTTCCTGGAAAAAGCTATGGCTTTTCACTGGACCGGGTTTTTTAATGTCAATAGCGTTTTTGGATCCTGGGAATTTAGAAGGGGATCTTCAAGCGGGAGCTACAGCTGGTTACTCCCTGCTGTGGCTGTTGATGTGGGCTACTGCTATGGGGTTGTTGGTTCAGCTGTTGGCGGCTAGGCTTGGTGTGGCGACGGGGAGACACTTGGCTGAGCTGTGTAGAGAAGAGTATCCGACTTGGGCTCGGATGGTCTTATGGGTAATGGCAGAGATGGCTTTGATTGGAGCTGATATCCAGGAAGTGATTGGTAGTGCCATTGCTATTAAGATTTTGAGTAATGGTGCTTTGCCTTTGTGGGCTGGTGTGGTTATTACAGCTTGTGATTGGTAAGTATTCTTTTTCTTTTTAACTTAGTTTGATGGCATAGATATCAAATTTCAAGCTTTAATAAGTAATTAAAAAACTCAATTCATCTGATCAAATTGTAAAAGTAGGAGTTTTTAAAGTTATAGTTTTGTCAAATCCAATTTAAATTCATTTATTTTCTTATATTTTGGAAGTAGCTCGCCAGAACATCATAAAAACTTAGCGCAGTATGCTTACCTGGTTCTTCCTTTCTTTGCATTGTTACAGTTTTATCTTCTTGTTTCTTGAAAACTATGGAGTGAGGAAGCTGGAAGCATTTTTTGCAGTCCTCATTGCAACTATGGCAGCCTCATTTGCTTGGATGTTCGGTGAAACAATACCCAGTGGCACCGAACTTCTTCTTGGTGAGGAACTCCCTTTCATTGTAGGCTGTAACATTTTTTTTGGTTCTCTTTCTTTTCCTTCTTTTCTCTATATGTTTAATAAATTTCATACCTTATTGCAGCTGACTGATGATCAAATGTTTTCATATTTGCAGGTATTTTGGTTCCAAAACTAAGCTCTAAAACCATACGGCAGGCGGTGGGAGTTGTGGGCTGCATTATCATGCCTCACAACGTATTCTTGCACTCTGCTCTTGTGCAATCACGAGAAATTGATCGCAGCAAGAAAGGCCGGGTGCAAGAAGCTCTCAATTATTACTCAATAGAGTCCACTGTGGCACTTATAATTTCCTTTATAATTAATCTGTTTGTTACGACTGTCTTTGCCAAGGCATTTTATGGTACAAAACTAGCCAGTAGTATTGGCCTTGTGAATGCAGGGCAGTATCTTCAAGAAAAATATGGAGGTGGATTATTCCCGATTTTATATATATGGGGAATTGGATTGTTAGCAGCTGGACAAAGTAGCACAATTACTGGCACTTATGCCGGACAGTTTATCATGGGAGGTTTCCTAAACCTGAGATTGAAAAAATGGCTAAGAGCATTAATCACAAGGAGTTTTGCAATTATTCCTACTATTATAGTTGCTCTTATTTTTGATACTTCTGAAGCAGCGCTAGATGTCTTAAATGAATGGCTTAATGTGCTTCAGTCAATTCAGATCCCTTTTGCTCTTATCCCACTTCTTTGTCTGGTATCCAAGGAGCAAATCATGGGGACCTTCAAAATTGGCCTTGTGCTCAAGGTATGCCGCTAATTTCCATGTTTTGCGCCTTGCTAATATGTTAACTTGGCTTGCCTACCATAGCTCTAATCTAATTCACTAGCTGGTGCCTAAAATTCTCTTCCCATATGACGCTCTATTTTTGCTGTGAAAATGTTTGATTTGAATGCATTTGTACATCTGCTGCCGTAAGTGATGTTGCCTGTGGCATGAGTTACTATTCTATTGGTAAACTTTGATCAGTGGCTGTTTGTCTTGCTGAGCTGCAGATCATGATCAGTTCTTATTTCAAAAGAGCTCATTGCTTTTTGTTTGATAAAATCTGAAATCAGGTTATTGATAAAGTTGTTGCAACAAAATAGTAGTTAACCTCCTACCTTCCTTTTTAGCAGGGGAGCAAAAACAACTTTTTTTGTCTAAAAGGAAATTGCCACTTGAGAGTTCTAGATTCAGTACATTTTCCACTCATGTAAACTGTTATACATCTCCTTGACATTTTAGATATATCTGAACTTGTTTTGGATACTTGGTCATGAACCGGGTGCCTGTACTGTTTCATTATGCCAAGCGCCAACTACTGATTTATGCTAGCTTATAAATTCCACATATTTGGTGATCAAGATCTTCATCCCTGCATCAATTTACCAAAATTTCCCCAATTTTCAAGCTCCACATGGGTTCGTGTCTAAGATTTGTAAGAGTTTTGGTTCTTTCTCTCTTCTGCCTTCCAGAGGAATTAGGGAGACATGGGAATGGAAATTCACTGAGATAATTTGCCATATCAACATTCAAGCTATGTGGATTAGTAGGCATTTAACTTCTGTGGTCTAGAGATTCTTATTATCCCTTGTTTACTTGCCTTGACTGCTGTAGATCCTATAAAATCAAGAATTTGCGTCACTTCTTTTCTGTAGGAAACCCATGCTTAGCTTTTGGCTTCCATCTTATAATTTTGTGCTTCAGTTTTTGTTTATGCAGTTTAATTTTCCCTCTTCTTAAACTTTCCCCTCTATCTTTTGCAGACAGTTGCATGGCTTGTGGCTGCGATGGTGATAGTTATTAATGGATATCTTTTGCTTTACTTCTTCTCTTCCGAAGTCACTGGTGTAATGTTCACAAGTGTAGTGTGTGCATTTATGGGTGCATATCTCACCTTTATAATATACCTTGTTTCTCGGGGTTTTACTTTATCTGCTTGGCACTGTTCGGTACCCTCTAAACAGACACAGGGAATTGAGTGATCAGTCTTGGACACGAGATCAGAAGCAGGAAATGCTTACTGCCAATTGTTTTAGGTTAGGGACCATCAAACTCTATTTTTCACAGATCTCAAGTCCTCTAGTTTAAAGTAATCCTTTTTGCGAATGGATACTTATAGGGACTTTACGGACAAAGTTCATTTTAGTAGCTTATTTTGTCTCAATTATTGTTTCAAACAACGCAGTTGTTTAGGTTCCATATTATCGTTGAAGAATGTATTTATCATATCCTGCTGTATACAGAGGATTGGAGAGAGCGATGCCCTAAATATAACATTCTTTTGAAACATTTGGAGGAGCCAAACTATGTTATTCCATAATGTACCTGAAATTTTGTTCAAGCTGGCTATATGTGAACCAGCTTTGAACAAACATGTAATTCTATTGATTTACTGATGGATTTGCTATATTTTTAGCATTCTTTTAATCTTGAACTTTTACCTTTCCTTGTTCTTTACCGTTGACACATGCTAATTTCACCAGTAATTTGTGGCAAATGGCAATCCAAGGAAGCTAAAACTGGAAACTGAGGTGGGGAGCCTGGGAGTTACGGAAATTTAGGCTGTTCAAATTGAGCTCAATATTACGAAACAAACGGACTAAAACCCAAAGAAGTTTTTTGGTTACGGGAAGAAAGTAGGAGATTTTGGTAAACATCACCAGCGGAAGAAGTCAAGACCAATGGTGGATTTCGTGGACCTCCTGGTAGGCCAGTGCCACCTGTTTACAACGAGAGGGCGTCACATGCAGGAATGCCTGGAAGGTATCCTTACGCGGGTCCTAACCCATATAATTATTAAATTAGCAAACGAATCAAATATTAACAAATAAATATATGTTTATAATTTTTTTTTTATTTTTAAAAATATTTAGATATTATTCATATTCGATAAAAAATTATTTTATTTATTTAAATTTAATTTATTTAAATAATAAAATTTTAAATTCGTTTTATATTTGATTCAATTAAGTTAAATAAATTTATTTATAAATATTAAATAAATATATTTACAAACATATATAAATAAACATATTCATGAATAATAAATAAATTTAAACAAGTAAATTTCAAACAAATATAAATAAACTCAAATAAATATAAATAAAATTTAAAAAATAAAATTAAGATAAATGATAAAAATATAATTTTATTAATATTATTATAAACGAATAACAAATAAATAATAAACGAACAAATTTTAAATAAATTTTAAACGAATTTAGTCATAAATATAAACAAATCAAATAAATTTTTATTTATATTTAATTTATTTAATAAATAAATATAAAAATATAATTTAACATTATTTATTAAATTTAATAAAAAAATAAAAATAAAAATATGCACAAATAATTTATCTAAAATTTTATTCGTTTAAATCCCTAATAATTGTCAAGTACCGAACCAACCTGCTTATGCTCGTCAAGCCAATGATCAAAGATTATACTACTATTCTCAAGATGACAGAGGTCCAACTCCCTCTTACAATGCCAGCTACATCCAACTACGGAAACTACAGTGATAGCGGATTGCAACCATCACAGCCGCCGTATATATAGTTCTTGATAGAAAAGTTGATCATATATGCATGATTAGTTTATCATCAGATTTTTAGCCATTCTGTGGTGCTAACTGCTAATGTTGGCCCCCACCCCTAACTTTTTTTTTTTTCCTAAAAATTCTCAATTTAACACATTTTCTAAAAGCTTCTAATGCCTTAAAAACTTATTAGATATGCTAACGTAGGACATGTATTTTGATTACGTCTTTCCCTGTTGAGTCCCATTATCATGCAAGAAATTGCATTCTTTTTTTTTCATTGGCATGTAACAAATTGTCTTACAAATTACTGGCATCATTCGGGAGGAGAATTAGATTCAGACCAAGTTTGAAGATATGCTTAATTATCTCTCTATGTTTTTTAGTGCAACATGTTCCCGAAATGTCTGCTTCACAGTCGTTAAAGAAAACGAAAAGCTAAAACGGTACCGTCTACTTAATGGGAAGCGTTTATTAATATTTTATTAGGTCCAAGGAAGTTTGTTGGAGAAAAAAACCGATGCCCAAAATTCCAATCAAAATATTCGTAAAGGAATTCCAAAATGACGATAATGCCCCACTCCTACTCTCCAGCTAAGCAAAGCAATCTTTGCAAAGGACAAAACAAAAAATATTTAACTAAACCCCCAAATATTTAATCCCCAAAAATTGGAAAAAAAAAAAAAAAAGCCTGAAGACCCAGCAACAGAATAGCGAAATCTGGGTTTTTGTCTTTTTTTTTCCTTTTTTTTTTCCCTTATTAGAAAGATTAAGGGACCCAAAAAAAGGAAGCCCAAAATTCAGAGCTGCTTCAGGTACCATTTCTTCAATATCTTTCTGTTTCCTTTTTCATTTACTTTTTTTTTTTTTTTGGCTTTGAAATCTCTCTTTATTTTTTAGTTTAGTTACTTTTAATTTTGATATATGCATTTGGGCTCTTGTTTAACGACTTAGAGAATCAAAGCCGGCGTTTGGGGTTACTTGTAAAGATCATAGACCCATCAAAATTGTTGAAAGATCTTGATTGAGGTGTCTCTTATTCCCTTTGCTATCATTTCCTTGCAATTTCTGAATATTTTGGCTAATTACTTATTTAGACTTGTTTGTTTTTGAAATAATAAGGAAACGTATTTGATCTAATTACTTTCTGTATGATCATGTTGGTTGATAGTATGATATGGAAAGGCTAAATGTGTTTCTGGGTAAATGAGATTTTAAGAAGGTCTGAGGGGGTTTTAGGGTTAATTTTAGTTATTAGTTTGTTTAGCTGTTGTGAGAGTGCGAAAAACGGCTTCAAATTGGATTTTCAAAGAGTAATTATTTTTTATGACTATAACGCGAATATGTATGCGTGCCAAAATCATCAGTGTATCAAAATTGATTTGATTAAGTTCTGATTTTACTATGCTGTTATTGGGATCATATTATGTTTGATTTGGAGAGGTGACTGCTTTTATTATTTTTTTAGGCTTACCTTAATTACGTTTTGATGGATGCTAGGAAGATTATCTGCATAATAAACTTTAAAAGGAAACTTTGCTGTAATTTCAGAGGGTGTTTTGGTGATAAATATTATATTGAATGTTTAAAGTTTCATTGTACTTACATTTAATTTTTGTTTTCATTCTTAGTATTTTAAGTTCGTTAAATCTTGATTTAATATTTTGATTCTGTATAGGGATTGCTAGTTGGCAAAGTTGAGATTTCAAGAATCTGTGGTTCTTGTTATCTAGCTAGTGTAGCTACATAGGCTATGATATGGATATTCAAAAGGGTTTTCTTCAGTTTCATGGAATAATATGGTTTTCCAACGATCAGTAATTGAAAAGAATTTTTCTGTTAAAATTTACGAGAAAAGGTATGTACTATGTCTTTACTTTATCTGGACTTTGCTCTTTCACTTTTTTGCTTCAAACTTTGCAGATTAATTTATGCATTTTGTCCCTATATCAGTTTTGCAACAAAAGAACTGTGATGATAGCAGTGTTGGCAGAATATGTGATTGCCCTAGTTCAGTGATGATTTTTCTTTAGGTTAAGTTGAATGATGAGAAAAGAATTAGGCAATTGAACCAAAGTAATTAGGCTGAAAGCTTTCTCCAGTTGGTTCATGTCATGATTTATGCTTGAATCAACCTTCTTGATTTGTGTTGGAGGTTTATTGAGCATCATTTTCTTTGGTTATTTCTTTAGTTTCTCTACTCTTCCTTTCTTTCTTTTCTGGTTATGCTCAATGATGATATTTTGAGATGAATCTTTGCATTTTCTTTGATTGGTTTGATAACATTGAATGTTAAGCTCATCTATGGGATGTCCTTCGCTGTATATGATTGCTACTTTTTAAGCCTGCAAGCGCACAGATCGCCATCAAGTAATAAAGTTATGAATGAGTATTGTTCCCTTGAGGATTAGCTAATGGGTGCTTAGAAACCAATTACCAAAATTAATCTTTTTGGCCTTATATTTAGATACTTCAAAGGTTGGGTGGAGATTGGTTAAAACAAAACTGAGGCATTCTAAAATTTCATGGAAATGAAGTGTAGGCCGAATGGGTAAGCAAATGGCGAGAGTGAAGCCAATTAACTAACAAGGGCCAAACAAAGCTAGTTGAACTTAAGAAACATAAAATCGAATGCAATGATGCTATGGAGGCCGATTAAACTGCTACACAAGATGATTACTTGCTAGCACTTGATGTTGCTGAATATAAAAGGAACAAGGAAAATAAATTTGCAAAAATGTAAATGAAATGGAAGGCAAGAAAACTGCAAGGTGATTAAACCTTAAGCAAGTAAACGGCATAACATAGAAATAGGAAATGAACTTGAACTTTAACTGCTTGAAATGTAAATGAAAGAGCTGTAAAAGAACTTGTATTAAAAAGGAGAAAGCTTGAAAACAAGGGGTGTTTTGGCTAGTCTGTCACCTTGGCCGAACTTAACTAAGAAAATACAAGAAAACTTAGATCTAAACCGAAACTAGAAAAGAAGAGAGGAATGGAGAAAATGGGATGCTCTACAAGTTAGCTAAAGAGGCCTATTTATAGTACAAGGCCATGGGTAGGGGGATGAACCTAGAAATTTTGGTTCTAGTTAAAACTCATTTAAATTCAAAAAGTGTTCTTGTTTAGCTAAGGTTGAAATGCTGACTAGGAAAGAGATTGTTGAGTTGGATTCTTGTGTGGCCAAATGGTGAGCTTGGATTGGTTCACTGGTGCTGTTCTTGCTTAGGTGTCCATGCCATGCCAATTGCATTTGAATTTTAAATGGAGATATGAAGTAGATTTGGCCATTTTGAATTCTTCTCCCAATCTTGCTTGATTGGTTTCACTTGAGTTCAAACTCTTATGGAATTTGAAAGAATCCTCATGCACCACTCTTCTTTGACTTGGCCGAATACACTTGCATGATTTTGGGCTTCTTGGGTTGGCATTGCATGTGGATTTGGATCAATTCTAGGCTTGTCACCTTGGCATGATTTTGGGTTTGCATTTTTTGCATGTACTGCAGAATGGATATGTTGAATTCCTTGGGCTTTGGCTGAACGCTGGTCAACCACCTTTGCATGAATTTTTGAATTTCATGCAAACCATGCAGAACATGCAAACTCTTAGGGCTTTTCGATCCAAAGTTAGGTAGAATGCCCGAATTATTCATATACACGTAAAAAAACAAGAAATTAAGCACATTAAGGGAAAAATGGTAAAAATTCATCAAAGATCACAAAATTTTTTAAATTTAGTATAAAATTACAGTCATCAGTATGCAAAGAGATGTACTGGAGGGTGATCGTTACATTGAAAATCACTGATCCTTTTGTAGGGTATTTTTTTGTTGCAAATACCACTACATGACATATGATTATTTGAAATTCTGGAATGACATTAAGTGAATGGAAAAAAATTGATAACTGAGAGACAAACTTGGCTACTCTAAAATAATGTGGGCTGTAGGCCAGCTATCATGAACTTTAAGAAGATAATATTACTTTGAAGTTACTGACATGTTGGAATATGTCAAACAATTAATTTTTTCCAAATAGTTTTTAAAACCTTGTACCTTATGAAATATTTTGGTACATCATCTAGTGATTATTTTATGTTACCCTGAATCTTGTCATCTTAATGCAATAATATGACTTCATTTGTTTTACATCTCATGTGGGACTTCAAACCTGATGAATTGATTAGGATATGGTTTGCATGCTATACATGGTAGTTTGCCTATTATTTTTTTCAGTTGTTCCTTCTCTACTCTTCTTTCTTATTTGTGGCCCTCTTACTTTTTTTTTTTTTGTTGTTGACACAGATCATATGGAGATATCTATGTTAAAAGCACTTCTTAGCAACATTTCCTCATTTTTAAATTTGTCATCTTCGGAGAACATTAACTTAGAACCAGTTCAGAAGTTCTACCTGAGAGCAGAAGAGATACTAAAGTTGTTGAAGCCGATTCTTATCGCAATTGTTGATTCAGAAATTACTTCTGATGAAGTGCTTACCAAGGCATTTGAAGGATTGGGTCTCTGTACAGAAGAATTGAGAGAGCAATTTGAAAGCTGGCAACCCCTTTTGAGTAAAGTTTACTTTGTAAGTTAAAGTTATATTTTCAGTTCACAACATTACTTGGCAATTTTAGTTCACTAGTGGCAAGAAGTACCTATCTAACCTTTTAGGTATTGGCGTACTCCTGATATAGTAAGGCTTTGATCAATTACTCTTGTCAGCATTAATATTTCCTTGTGAGATGTTTGTTGTAGATTATTGTTGTCATTTTACACTAAATGATTGTGCAATAACTAGTCAGACATATGTTCTGCCTATGTGGTCTATTTATGTTCTCTTTTTCTTCTCATCTCTTATGGTTATTAGAACTTTATCATGTTTTTTTGTTAGAGCAATTATTGGATTGTATGGCTTTTTGGAATAAGTTTAGCCTCTAAGTTGTGATTCTTGAATGTTTGATTATATTCTGGTGGAAATTGCTATAGATGGGTGCTGTTTTAGGAACAAACTATTAGTCAATTAGTGTGAGCCTCTATTGTTAAAGCACTTGGATAACCATCTTCTCTTCCACTTAATTTCTAGGTTCTGCAAGTTGAGTCATTAATATCAAAGATTCGAAATTCTAGCCTGGATATATTCCAGTTCTTGAAGTCTTCCCCTCAGCATCTGCCTGATGAATTGAGTTCAGCATCTCTTGAGGTAATTTATGACCAAAAATTATTGAAGCTTTTACATTTATTTAAAGCTTGTACTCGAGTTGTGTTATAAATAGAGCATACCTATTATATTCTCTCGGTGATTGCCAAAATGTTATTACTCAGATGAAAAGTCATCTATCGGAGAATGAATGGCATCTAACATACAGTTTTGAGATGTGAGAAAATAAATAGCTGCTCTTTTGATTCAGATTTCTGGGTTTAACACTAAAAGAGAATCCACATTTCAGGATGTCTAACAATTGGCATGATTGATTGCAGCATTGCTTGCAGAAAATTAAGCATGTGGGATATGAACAAACTTTGTCTGTCATTAGGGAAGCCATAAGGGATCAAGTGGATAGTGTTGGACCAAGCTCAGAAATACTAGTGAAAATTGAGGAGAATTTGAGCTTAAGGTCAAACCAGGAGATTCTTATAGAGGCTGTGGCCCTTGAAAAGTTGAAGGAGAATGCTGAACAAGCTGAAAAAACTGCTGAAGCTGAGTTTATTGATCAAATAATTGCTCTTGTAACTCGCATGCATGACCGCCTTGTCTTACTAAAACAATCTCAGACCTGTAGCCCAGTTCCCATACCTGCTGATTTCTGCTGCCCTCTTTCCTTAGAGCTAATGACTGATCCTGTGATTGTGGCATCGGGACAAACCTATGAGCGGGCTTTCATCAAGAAATGGATTGATCTTGGGCTCACTGTGTGCCCCAAGACGCGGCAGACTTTGGCTCATACCAATCTTATACCTAATTACACAGTAAAGGCACTAATTGCAAACTGGTGTGAGTCAAACAATGTGAAGTTGCCTGTTCCCATGATGTCCACGAGTTTAAACCAGCCCTACCCCCTTCTTGTGAATGCAGAGTTTGGCCTGTCAAGGGATTCAAATAGTCATCCACATTCTAGAAGCAGCCAATCAATGTCTCCTGAGTCACGGTCTACAGGTCAATCTGGTAAGAACCTACTGACCCCCAGTGGACTTCATCAGGAGGGAACCTCCCCACTGCATCCACGGTCTACCTCAGAGGATTCCTTGCCAGGAACAGCTGGAAATGGAGAGGATCTGGATGTTGCAAGAATATCAGTAAATTGTGCTGAAGACAGGTCAAACTTGGAACAACAGGATAGTGATTCAGTTGGCCAACCCACTATGTCGCCTTATAGTAAAGAATTTCATAATGCTGGACAGTCATCTAAGAACCATACAAGATCCGCTTCAGCCTCTAGTATGCTTTCTAATTCAGATTTTCCTCGAGGGGCAGTGGGAGATGCCAATGGGACTTCTGAGGGGTCAACTCATCTTGCTGCCTACAGTAGCGATGGTTCTGGAGAGGTGAAATCTGACCCGCAGCCTGCAGCAAGCTCAGCCAACCCACAGAGAGAACCTGAGTTCCCTCCTCGACTGTTGGATGCACGATCTCGAAGCCAAATAATCTGGCGCCGTCCATCAGAGAGATTCATTCCAAGGATAGTTTCTTCTCCTGCTATTGAGAACAGGGCTGACCTTTCTGGCATTGAAACTGAGGTCAAAAAGTTGGTAGAGGACTTGAAGAGCACTTCAGTTGATTCTCAAAGAGAGGCCACAGGTCAACTCAGGTTACTTGCCAAGCACCATATGGATAATCGGATTATAATAGCAAACTGTGGGGCCATTAGCTTGTTAGTTGATTTGCTTCGTTCACCAGATACAAAGACTCAGGAAAATGCTGTTACGGCACTTCTTAATTTATCAATTAATGATAACAATAAAACAGCTATAGCTAATGCAAATGCAATTGAGCCTCTGATTCATGTCCTTGAGACAGGAAGTCCTGAAGCTAAAGAAAACTCAGCTGCCACTCTCTTCAGCCTCTCAGTCATTGAGGATAACAAAGTTAAGATAGGAAGGTCTGGGGCAATCACGCCTCTTGTTGATTTATTGGGGAATGGTACTCCTAGGGGAAAGAAAGATGCAGCTACAGCCTTGTTTAATCTGTCAATATTTCATGAAAACAAGGGCCGGATTGTGCAAGCTGGTGCTGTAAGACACCTTGTGGAGTTGATGGATCCAGCTGCTGGAATGGTTGATAAGGCAGTTGCTGTTTTGGCAAATCTTGCTACAATTCCTGAAGGGAGGACTGCAATAGGTGTGGAGGGTGGGATTCCCGTGCTGGTCGAGGTTGTTGAGTTGGGTTCAGCGAGAGGAAAGGAAAATGCCGCCGCTGCTCTTTTACAGCTCTGCACAACCAGTAATAGATTTTGCAGTATGGTGCTCCAAGAAGGAGCTGTTCCACCACTAGTGGCCTTGTCCCAGTCTGGCACCCCCAGAGCTAAAGAGAAGGTATACTGCTTCTGCTAGGTTTTCTATATCACTTTCTTTCTTCTACCTTTTCGGCAAATAATATCATAAGCTTCTGTTGGTTGCAGGCACAGGCCCTTCTGAGCTACTTCAGAAACCAACGACATGGTAATGCTGGAAGAGGCTGAAAGTAGGAAAACAACCTTCATTGCCATCCAAGGTTTTGGGTCTATACAGTTTGTGTACATTTAATGTTGCAAATAATGCATGTGAAGATTTTGTTGCTTGCATTTACAGGGTTTGTTGTAGAGAAAAAAAAAAAAAATTTGTGGAGGATTTGATTGAGTCCTCTTGTGACACTTTTTTATATGTGAAATTGTGAATGTGGGAAAAGAATTTCATACATGTGAGTCTTTCAAGTCTTTGCAACGAGCTTGGGCAGGATGAGAACCGATGAACAATCTTTGTCCTGGTTGATGTTCCATCATTATTTTTTGACTCACTGATTTTCAGAAACTACTACTAAATATTCAGACTGATTTGTAAGGTATGTTTCTTTGCAGGCAACGAAGAGCAGGGAATTAATGATTTATTTTCCATGATTTTGAGAAATAATACTTGTTGAAAACTAAATCCTATTTCGGATTTTACTGTTACTTCATGTCGCTTTTAAAATAAATATATGTATTACACTAATTTGTTTTCTAGATTTTATTTTCCAAGGGTCTAAATTTTAGAAAAATAAGAAACATGAAAAAAATGCATTTTTCTATTTATATATTTTTATATGAAAAAAATGAAATATATTTTTAAAATAAAAATTAGAGTAAAATATATCATTGGTACTCGATTATAGTTGTGTTTTTAGAATGATTATTTAACTTTTAAAATTTTTATTTTAGTCAATATCAGTTACTTTCTAACAATGTGTTGACATGGCATGTTCCATTGACAAGTCATTGTCAGTACATTGTTGGATCCTAATCGTTAAGAGATAAAAAAAATTATTACTTAAATTTTAGTGATTAAATTAAAAATTTTATTGATTTAATAATTATTTCTAAAAAATTATAATAGAGTGACCAAAAATATAATTTATCCTAAAAATTATGTATTCATTGTTGATTTGTATATTATATTCGGTATGAAATTATATATTTAATTTCGTAAACAGAGAAAGCAAATTTTTTTTCAAAGGAGTGGATAAGGGAATTTTACTTTTAAAAGTGGCCCAAAACAGCCCAAATGATTAGGGCCAAGGCTCAAAAGAGAAATCACGTGGGGACGGATCACTCCTTTATTTGCTATGGTCCATTGATCTTTCTCCTCAACACTTCCTCGCAAATGCCCTTTTATTAATTATTGTTATTTAGATTTCGATTTTCTTACCACTCAAAAAAAAAAAAAAAAAAAAACCGTCGTCACCGGCGGCAGCGAACATTCTCCCGCGGTGACTTGGCTTCCTAGTCCACCAATCAAAGTTCACAGCTGGAAAGAGACTCGAATGCCAGGTTCTCCTTTTCCTCTTCTCTGTTCCCTGTTCTGCGGTTTAAGGTTTCGCGATTTATGTTGATTTCAATGTGTAAATGTTGGTTTTTCCTCTGTCTCCTTTGACCGAAAGTGTAGGTTTTTTTTCTTTTATTCTTCTAACTTGTTATTTGTGGAAAAAAAATCGATTTTTTTGTTTATTATTAGTTTGTTTATGTTTTTCAATCAGCTTATTCAAAATGGTAATGTTGAAATTATTGATGTGAATTTTGCAGGGAGTTAGTAATTAACTGAATTATAATGAATTGAAGGAGTCTTTCTGGTTGTTATTATTATGGGCCTTGACTCTGAGCCTAAAGACAAGTCGAAAACAATGATGGAAGTGGTTTCGAGTAATAACGAAAATGGAAACTTGCCTCATGATTCGAAAGATAAGTTTATGCATTGTGTGAGTAATTGCGAGGACCACAACTTTGGTGAAGAAACTTTGTATGGAGTAGGACAAGCAAAGATATCCCAAGGAAACGAGGATATGGAGATTAACATAACTGAATGCACAAATTCTGTTGTGGATAGGTTGGCTGTAGTTGAATGTCAGGATGCCACCGAGAATTCAAGTTCTTTTGGTGGGACGGTGTCAGGGGGTGAGAATGATTCGGCGATAAGTGATGCTGAAGCTCAATCAGCATTATGTGGTGTCAGTCCATTGGGATCAGCGTTTGATGGATTGTTTCAAATGAGGTATTTTTTTTTGTAGTTTGAACTATTTTGTTTTTTGTGTTAGTTTATAAACTTATCTGGGAGATTGGTCGTGATGAATGATGATTGATCCTTAAACCTTCCACTGCTGTCCCAACTATTAAGGTTTCTGCGTTTTTCCTTTTTTTTTTTTTTTGAAAATTTAGAATAACTTTTAGGGCTCATTTGATTCACGGAATCTTGGATTTCTGGGGAAAGTTTGATATCTGGGGTTTTGTTTGATTTTCAGAGTATCTCATTATCAAATTCACTCGTTTGGTTGGAGATAACCATTCATTTTGTTTTAACAAAAAAAACCCAAACAACAACTGATGCCTTAAACAGCAAAGGAAAAGAAAGATTTTAATTTTTTTTAATTAAATATATCTAATTGTGGTGTTTAACTAGACATCAAGCCATAATTATTGTATTAAAATATAAAAAAAATCAATTATGACGCTTGGAAGAGTTGAACGCTATATTTGTTTTTGTAAATATGTTAGAAAAAGTATCAAATTAGGCATTTGTTCAAAGAAATGCCTTATTTACTTTTGTAAAGATTTTGAAAGATTATTTATGAAATAAGGCGTTTGTAAAAAGGAAACACCTTATTTGAATGGATCAAATATGGCGTTTCTTCAAAGAAATGCCTTATTGGATGCTGTTGTATAAATTCTAAAAAAAAAATATCAAATAAGGTGTTTGTAAGAAAAAACACCTTAATTAATATTAATTAAGGTATTTTTTTCCTACAAATGTCTTAACTCTCATATATTAAAACTGAATTAAAAATAAGACAAATTTTTTTAAAAAAAATTAAAACTAAGTTTTAGATTTACTTTTCAAAAGGGCAACGGATATATGACAAATTTTTTATTCAGGTTAAATTTGGAAATAAAATAATTTTTCCTTCGGAATCCTAAAATACTAGAGGGAGGGGTGGGTTTTTTATTCTGAAACTTTGGGTACTGTTAGAAATCTGACATTTTCCTTCGTAATCGAATTATCCTAAATCAAATATGAAAAACAAATATCCATCATCAAGATTTCAATGAAAAATTTGTGGATTCTCTTTAACCAAACGCACTCTTAGAAATTTAAAATTGCTAAGGTTATGTGTGAAGAACAATTTTCATTTTGAAAATTTTTCAGCTCTCATTTATTTGTTATTTTACTGATATTTAATGAAAAGTTTTCAATTTTGTGGTTTATAAAAAATCACTACAAATGTACTACTTAAAATCATATTGATGCTCCTTTCAAAAAAATTATATTGATGCTTGCTGAAAGAATTATTGTTTCCACTGTTTTGGCTGGCAAAGTAATGGTAAATAATAAACTGTCCGTTACTATCTTACCCTTATGCGAAGTGTATATTTTTGTACAATTTGATGTCCAATTTGTTGCTTTTTTTAGTTTTTTTTATCTTTTTCCTAAATTTTCCAGGAAGAGAAAGTTGACAGATCATTGGAGGAGGTTTATACATCCCCTTATGTGGCGGTGTAAATGGTTAGAGCTGCAGCTTAAGGAATTTAAGTCTCAGGCATTGACGTATGATAAAGAACTTGCAGAATATGATCAGAGAAAGAAGTTTGAATATGAGAAGTTCACATTGGAAGGGGTTGACGTGAAGTCAAAACCTTTTTCTTGTCAAATTCAGAGAAAAAAAGCAATGAAGAGGAGGAAAAGAAAGCGAGTTGAAGATACTGCTGATTTAGCATCTTATATGTCACATCATAGCCTCTTCTCATTTTATGGTATGAACTTCATCATTCTTCATGAAATATGTATTTGCAAGTACAAATCTGATCAGTAAATTTTCTTTGCTTCCAGAGAGTAAGAAATCTATTGTTGCTACTGCTGCTCTGGATGATGATAATGGTAATTTAGGTAAGAAGAATTATATTTGACTCGGCTTTGGTGATTTTGTAGCTTATAGATAATAGAACAAGGTTCAACAAATAACCCTTGTGATGTGTGTTTGCAAAATTGACCTCCCTTCACTACTTGAGATTTTGCCCATTTTCTTACTTGATAATTTCTGCAGGAAACAAAACAGTCAACAGCAATGATGACTTTGGGTTTAATGATGGATTGTCAAGTCTTGAATTCAGGGATGGTGATACTTGGTCTGAACAGATCCTTAAAAAGATTGATCTGGTTCAATCACAAGTTTGCAAACTAAAGACCCGAGTTGACAAGGTGGTGAATGAAAGTCCTCGAAAGTTCGCTTCCATTAATGCATTAACTGGTTCTAGAAATCGTGCTTCTCCATCTGAGAGTGGAGATAGAATCCCAGTTAAATCTCAATGTGCCTCATCCCAGCATCTATCTGAGGGTAACATGGGAGATTTTTTTATGCCTGGAAGTGCAGTTTCAAGTCATGGAGAGGTGATGCCTTTTCCTGATATTATTGAGGGCACAGGTCAGCATCTTGCTGGGATTTCTTATGAAAATGTGAGTTCTCCTCTTTTGACATATTCTTCTTCTTCTTGATTGGTTGATCTTTAGATTTTCTCTTCCATCATTTTTTTATTGCTAACAATTCTTCTCTTCTTTTAAGGTTTACACTTTATTCCTTTGCCATTGCTAAAGGCCGTAGTAGAGGACAACAAAGGATTGTACTTTGTAATTAGATTTTTGGTTTTATTCTTTGCTTCTGCTAGTGCTGATCCTGCTAAAATGTTATTTTATTTTTATCTATGAATAATGACTGAGAAAGAAAGTTTTTCATTTGCACATCTAATATGAAAGGAGAAAATCCTCCTTGCTTTTCCCTTCCTCTTCTTGCAATGCCCTCTTTACTTGTTTGGTTAGTATTTCACACTATTCTATGATCCCTGTTTTTCTGTAGTCAGGTTTCTTTTTGAATTTTTTTATGAAAAGATGTTATGAATATTAGCTAGTTTTGGATTCCAAATATGTATTTCAATCATCTCGTTTTCATTTATAATTCAAAGTGATCTTCATTCTATCTGCAGACCGAGGATGATGTTTTGATACATAACCAGGCTGCCAAGGAAGAGTTGTTTAATTTTCGAAGTGGTTTAACTCAGCAGTCAGAGGAGCCGCAGATACCAATTGAAAAGCCTAAGCCTGTTTCTACTGTTCTTGCCCCAGGAGATGACCTCCCTACAAACCCTTCTGTTCAACTAAATGTGAAATTATCTTCAACTTCCAAGTCAAAGCGCCCTAACAACAAAAGGAAGAGAGGGAAACGAAAATCAGACACAAGTAGGTGGAAGAGATTATCAGGTTAGCTAAATTTATTAAGTTGGGAATTTGTATCTGTATGTGTTCAAAGCAAACAACTTCTGGAAGCAGTGGTAAACTTTTCATGCTCAATGTCTATTCTCCAATATTCTTGTTTCATGTTTCAAGGATGATCTGTACGTGCACTTCTCGCCCTGATGGGAACATTGTCGTTCAGTTTAGATGATGTGCGGTCTCTGACTACAAAGTCATCAAACGAAGTGCTGTCTTTAAGTTACGTGGGTGTTTTCCTAACCCTTTTGGTTAGTAAATTATCCTCAAATGAAGCCCCTGGCCAAAAAACCAGCAACATTCGAAGTAAATTGCCCTGCTACAAAGAGTCTTCGCAGTTAAGCGAAAACCATTAGATTTATCCAAGCAATGCACTTATATTTTTGTAAGACAAGAAAAGCTCTCTTGTCCAATATTTGACTTCTTGGGATAACAGTATGCATATATGCATGCTATTGCTAATGATGCTAATTGACATTAGCTTTGTAAATTACAATTTTGTATAAAACCTACGACATCTTTTTTATATTGCTGTGTGAGGTTGACTGAGGCAAGCTTGAGATCACATGTTTCTTCTTTACTTTATTTCTATTTTTTTATTTTTTACTTTCATTTTAGAAGAAGCTTCTCTGGCACGGGCTCAAGGTCTTTGGTCTCATCTCCATTAAAAGACATGGATCGGCTGGGTTCGGACTGCAGGCTTCGCCTGTAAAGCCTTCTGGACAGCTTGGAAATGACTAGGGCAATCATGGTCACTAATGGAACAAAAGCAACATCAGGAATATTCTTAATCATACTCAAATGTGGCAAAAGTTCTCCTGCTTTCTTAGCTGCCATGGCCGCCGGAGGGGTTACTATACCAGTCAAAATAGTTGTGTAATCCAGCTTGCTAAGCTTTATTTTCTTCATAAATTGAATAAACACCTCCTTTTTAGCTGCCTCTCTTTCATTTTTCCATTCTTCAAAACATTTCTGAAATACTGATGGTGTAAGTGACACAAGATCATTTCAGGAGAGATAGTATATGGAAAGTTTAAATCAAAATAGACTGACCTCTACTTCACTGCGAGCAGGAGCATCATAATGTTTACCAGGCAATGCTGAGTTAATAACACTACAATCAATGGAAGATTGTTAAACAAAAAATCAGATAATTTTCAAATAAAAGAAATGATCAAAAACAAATAAATAAGGCGATGCCCTTGCTTTATTGTGGTCTTCATGTGTGAAGAATCCTACTTCCTAGCTTTACATATAGGCAATGTCATCTGAAAAAAGGAGAAACCGATTTTTCTTTTTTTCATGTTGATTTTATTCTACAAAATTGTGGATGAAATAGGAATTTCTTACTTCAAGGTATCAAGAATAGCAGCACGGAAATCATCGAAGTCCTTGATTTCTGTTTCAGCGAACTGTTCGTAAAGTGATTTAAACACAAAGCTTAACATCTGTGTAGATGGCAACCCTGTCATGAATAAAAAAAAAAAGTTGAGGAACATTTCTCATTTCAGGCAGGCATGAGAAGAAAAAAGATAGCATACCTTTTCCAATGAAATTCCCCATGGAATTCCCCATGTTGTACAGACTTGAATGAAACTTGAGACAATATTAGTGGATTCATTCAACAATGATATATTGTTTATATACAATGGGAGGAAAAGAGTATATGGAAACTGCAGGAAGATTGGAGAATAGCTTCTTAGTTCATTTGCTGAGTGTAAGTAAGGAATCCATCATCTGTTGCAGTTACTTTCTATCACAACCTTATTCCTGCCTTGTAATTTGCAGCTAGCAATCAGCTTCCTGGAGGAGCTACAAAAAAAGTGGTTTTTCTTGCTAGGATTATCTCAGTTTTTAACTTTGTTTATTCTTCCTCCTGCACCAGCAAGAGGTATCCTCAATATTGTTTGAACCATGTCTCAAATTTTGCCGATCTCAAACCTGGTGTAAAAAATCAAACATAGTGATAGGACTGAAGTATGCATTTTCACGAGGTGTTGGTTCAGGCGGGTCCCAAAAAGTTCTGTAAAAAATTCTTCATAATAAATTTTTGTGTCACATGCAAATCACGCCTCTTATCTTACAGAATGTGATGATGCGATAATATACGTAGAAATCTATACTTATATTCGTGAGGTACATTTTATACGGTAAAATCATGAAATTTTTAAATTAAAATAAATAATATTTTAATTAAGTACGAAATTTTTATAAATGATATATGATATCAAAATCAAGTTTGTGATTATGTAATGTGATTAATATTTAGATATAAGTTTTGAAATTTGTGATGAAAATAAAGTTTATTGAAATAGATAAAAAAAAATTAATGATAAGTTTGTATGTAATTAATTTTGGTAAAAATTTTGATAAAATAGTAACGTCAAGCCCAAAGTTATTAAAGGGGTGAATTTTGATATTTTGGAGATCTTATACATAAAATTGAGGTTAGACTTTTTAGTAGAGAAAAGTAACAAATATACTAATAATGATCAAACAGATCTAAAATAGACATTTTATTTCATGATATATATATATATATATATTGTTGAGTTAACAAGTCGAAGTCACAGATTTATTTGAAGGAAATAATTATAAAATTTATACATAATTAATGGGCGATAGCTATCAGCATATTGCTTTCCAAAGAAGTGGCGGATCAGAATTCAGAACCGATGGGAAGGCAGAGAATGGTGGCAGAATCAACCCTAAACTGACGAACTGATACTGGCAAAGGAATACGATACTATATATAATAAGACACAGGTGATGGATTAGGGTGAATCTGATGAGGTGTCCAAGGGCACTTGGGCTGGCCCTTGGAGTTCAACCTGTCTCGATAGCAAGGGCATTCCGACTTGTTGCCATAGGTCCCTGAAGGAACACAGTTGCATTCTCGGCAGCATATCCCACAATACTTCAAGCACCAGTCCTTGACTCCAGCCTTGGCACACCTCTCCCCGCACTTGCTATCACAGAAACCTAATAATTTTCTCTCTCACACACACAAAAAAAAAAAAGGTTTATCACAAATATATGTATATAAGTATATATATATAACCCCTCAAAAAGGATGAATTATAGTTGGTAGATTATTTTTACGTAAAATTATGTCACATGCATGCATGGGTAAGGACTAAGGAGTAAAGAACATTACGTGGAGGAGGGCCATCAAGTGTAGAAAGAGGAAGTACTACGGGCTTGGCAAAGGAGAGTTGGACAAAAGATGAGCTCAAAACCAGGGAAACAAACAACAAAGTTGCAAATATAAACTTCATTTTTGTTATTTATCCTTTGTGGGATGGATGGTAAAGGTATATAAAGCAAGGTAGAGAAAAGGGGTAACAAAAGGTCGAGTGATTTTGTGGCCCTCCAGGTGCTGCTAGTTATCATTGCTGACGGATTTGTCAGGTTTTGCCAAGGTATTTATAGAGGCGTTTTTTCATTTGGGAGTTATGGAGAAAAAGAAAGAAAAGGAAATGCTCGTGGCTGCAGCTATGGTACAGACTGTAAGCAGTAAGGTGGTCCTTTTTGTGGGGTGCGGGGACAATTGCCTCATATATAAATGCTAAGGATCGACAAGATACCTAAACCTTTTCTGCAGAGACCCTAATTCTTTTCTATTTAAGATGATCACCTGCCTCAACTCCAATCGAACCTTGCATTTTTCGAATAATGAAAACGTGTTCCTATCTTTGTAATCAATAATTAAGAAGATTGACATAGTTCTTTTTTTTTTTTTTGGTTACATCATGAGTGTAAAATCTTAATATAAGTAAAAGGGAGTAAGAAGACCTGATTTCAAACCAGGCCCTTAATGTCTTTTCAAAAACCTTTAGTCACCAGGCCAAAGGCTTGAGCATGATTGATATAGTTATTTGACTCCTTAACACATTGATCTATGACATTATGTCTGTATCAAGTGACTTATTGATAGGTTTCATTACTAGATTGTGACTTATTGTGAATTTGTGATGATGCGTTAGCATTTAGCATGTACTTCAATCATTTTCCAACCATTAAACCCATTTAAACAGATCATTTTCGATCAAGTCAATATCACATCAATACTAATTAGGTGTTCTTTGAGGTGTCCAGGCTGTTCGAGGGAGGAAATATCTGGAAAAGATCCCATAAAATCAACAAAACAAAAAACTACAGAGACAAGAAATTAGATACCACAGCAGTATAGCAAGGCCTCTCTGGTCTCTCACTCAATTCCCACATCTTGACATCTTTTTCAAACGAGGATGAGAAGCAAACTTAGCAACATTAATAGGTTCTCGATGCATATTAGTTAACACTTGTAAACGCCCTCCACTGCTAAGAACAATGCCTTTTGAGTATCCAGTTCCACTGGCAACGAACCGGTCATCTGTTGAGTTGACATGAACAGAAGTTAATTATTCAAAATCCACTGCATCAGAGCCACAACATGCGTCTCCTAGTTTGGCTGGCATATGATTAACGTTGAACAACTACAAGCAACCATTGTCAGATCCAGCTACATGCTGATTGTTCAACACAGAAGAAAACCATCTGTACTGATAGTTAAAGTTACAAGAAGCAACATAGAGCTGCCCAAGATATAATTAGGTTCAACTACCTATTTCTAGGTGAAAACTCCACACCAAATTTGAATGTATTATCTGTTTTGATCTAAAAGTTTCATAATTTTGTATAAAAAAAATATCGTGTAAGCATAAGTTTAAGTCTCAATATATATATATACCATAATAGACACTCAAAATATCTTGACATGAGATTGTGGTGTTATATTTTTTGTGTATTGCTCATGGTTATTACGTAAAATTAAATATATGATCAGGCAATTAACTGCTATCCAATTTATCCCATCTCAGAATAAGAAATGTGAAAGTTTGCTAATGTTGCTTGAGAAATCCATGAGATACGAGTATGTAGTAGATCAATTCCCAGGGAAAATGAACCATAAACAACTAGCAGAAAGAGCTTGAAAATCTCCTCATTTTTCAAAAGACAAATCCTCAAAAGATTCTAATGTAAATCTGAAGCCAACTATATATTTTGTTTATCATATATACTATCTGTAGACGTAATGAAATTCACATTATTTTACCATACGGAAACAAATTTCATTCAGATTGAAGAAACAGGTCACTTGTGTAACTAGAAACTGTAGATAAAAATATATAATCAGAGAATAAAGTGCATTTCAGTGCACCCATATTTTGGAACTATATTTCTAACTAACAGAGTCCTAGAACACTGTTCACCTTTCCTATAGATGAATTATAGCCAACATGTTCCCAGTCATATCATATGATTGATAACAACTATTTCACCATCAGAGTACCAAAGGCCTCAAAGCTGGAGTTGGAAGGATGGTACACAAATTGCCTTGCACGAATGAAGCTTCTTATTTTCTTCTTTGGATACATGGGTAAAGCTGAACACAGGATGTAAGAATGGCCATGTGGAAGACCCAAATTTGGCAGCATTGAGAGACCTTGAGAAAATGGGTATTATTTTCTTCTGAAACTCCCATGAACAACCCACAATTTGGCTACCAAATGTCTATATTAAGAAAATGCGTATATGAAAGTATAACCATGGCTCATCAAATCAAAGAGATAATGGATCAGAAAAATGGGTTTATACAACGTCTCTCACTCATCCCACCATAACCAAACCAAGTTGGGTTAATCTTATTCTTCAGCAACTGAAAGGAAACTCTTTCAAGTTCTTAGTCGAGTTTCAACAAGTGAGCTTTCCTAATCTATCGAAGGTCAATCAGTTCACAGGGTCAACATTTTTCAGCTGGATTACACCCATCAGTGGCATTCCTAAAACAATGATTAAAAAACAAATGTTGCTTTAAATTGCAATACCACTTTGGATTCATGGAAATGACATTACCATTACCTCAAATATCTACAAATTCTAAACCGCAGGGTTTTCTTCATAATCAAAAGTCAACTCCATTTAATCAGACCATCATAACTATAGGTTCTCAAAAACAATAATTGAACAATTAACCTGGAAAAAAAAAAGAGAAAGAAAACAGAAATTACGCAAGAAAAAGTGGACGAACCTATAACCTGGAAATATCCATGGAAATGAATAATGGGTAACCATTTTATGGCACATTAGCATTCTATTTAAGGTAGCTTTTGATATCATATCCTTACCTTTAAGATGGGGTTTTCACAAGTTTGGGGTTTTAGCTCTAGCTCTAACCAATCAACTCCTTGCATGCTTCAAAGGGTTTTTTTTTTTTTTTTTTCAATCATAGCACCATTAATCTTGAATGTTAAAACAAATTTCATTGTCAAATTAACAGACACTTACGTATAATTATAAAGTAACTATTACTATTTATTTTGCATCGGCAGGAAGCATATAGATCACTTTTTTAGGCACTTGGTAATTGGTATGAAGAAAGCATTTGAAGATGCCTTCAAATAGACGACCCCAAAGTAAAAACATTCTTGATTCTGTCCTTTTCCCTTGCAAACATACTTTACTTCTCTTTGGTTTTTTCCTTTCTCTTTTGTGGATGGCCTACAAGGAAGCTATGCACTTCTTTTGGTCTCTTAATTATTTTTTTTGTCTCAATTTTATAATTTATTTAGTACTACTACTATATATATATTTATAATTATGCTACAAAAGAAAAAAGAATTGGTGTGACAAAAATAATTAAATAAGTAAAGGGAAATAAAATCATTAAGTGATATAACCAATTGGCATTTGTTTTACATGATAAGCCGACACATCCATGTGAGAAGTGGGTTCACCGCCATAAATAAGAATTATAAAAGTCCTATTTAATTGTCAATTATAAAAAAAGAAAATTGATATAATACATAGAATAATAATAATAATAATAATAAATTATCAAATTGAGTTTTTTAATTAATTTTTTTAATTTTTTAAATATACTAAAATATATATTACTTTATTAACTTCATTTATAAAATTAAAAAATTCATTAATAATGTACTAAATATTTCTCGAATAAAATTCACATGTGACGGTGAGATTTGAGCATGAAAAATTTTTCAAAATCTTTCTTTCTAGTGATGCAAAGTTTTATTAGCATCAACTAGGATAATTACTTGACTGTCCATGGTAGCTTTCGGTTCCTAGAGGCTGCGAAAGTCCATTTTGTGATAGAAATCAAATGGATGAGTTGCAGCTGAAGCTAAAACAAAAAAACAACAAGGTGCCTTCTGCTTCCGTACTTTATGGTCCCGACTCTGAAGGTGACTCAGATCTCAGATGTCAGTACGTTTTTTTTCTTTCTTTTGTCAATTCGTATAATTTGACAGAATCAAAAGATTATTTTTGCTTATCAATAACGGAACTTTGATTTGAACAAGGCTATTATTTAGAGCTGATTTTGATAGTTTCCATGAAATTTGTTTTCTTTTATACCTGAAAATGGAATTCAATTTGACATCCTTTCCCCTCGAATTTTGGATCATTCATCTAAATTAACCTGTTACAATCAGCATTTTTTTGAATTTTGGAAATGAAAATCACTCTTTATCAACGAAAATTAACGAAAACTACTATGATCAACTACCCTTTTTTTATTTTTTCTTTTAAAATGAAATGATTAAAATACACCCAAATATTTGATTTAATAATTGAAACACGATTTTCTGCTAAAAAACAAAATTCAAATTGTCACTTCCCAATATAAAAAGAAAAAAAGCAATGATTGAATTCTAAACAAAGAAGATACTTCCAAGCAGATAATGCCTGGGTCATACGTGAGTTGTGCATTTGTCGGTGCATTTAGACTGCAGCTGATGAGCCATGGGGTCAGATCAGAATGGCACGCATTGTTTCAAGTGAGACAGGCATGCACCCATTGGCTAAGTGGTTAACCATCCTGAATGAATTGTGACAATACAAGTTCATCGGAGGATAAAAAAAAAAAGACCAGACCTGCAGCCTTAAATAGTGAATTATCAAACGTTTTTACATATAATAATATAATAATATGTGTTTCACCTTCACGTCCACTCGTGGCTCATCTGCCTGGAATATCTTGGATTTTAGATTGGTTGGATTTGACAAAACTGTCATTGAAAAATTATACACTATTTTCTAATTCAAACTGAGTTAAAAAAAAATTACTGGAACCTATTAACAAACAAATAATAAGCATAGGCAAAAAAAATTCACTTCATTTAAAAAAAAAATCAGCGACGAAAAATTGCTAAACAAATATTATGATTTATTAAAAATAGAACCGTAGAATAAATCAATTGTTAAAAAAAAAAAAATACTAAATGGGAATAAAGCAGTGGAATTACTAGTCGTTAAAAGGAAACAAATGGAGTAAAATAAATGGGATTATATATCAAATGTGAGACACAAGAGGAATTAAACAAAACAAAAAAAGAAAAACGAACACTGAATTCAAATCTCTCTGTCTGTCTAGAAGATCAAAGCAATGGCTGCCCATCCCAATGCCAATCCTTCAATTATCTTCTGCACGCTCTTCATTGTCTCTGCTCCACTCTGCAATTTTATTTTATTTCCAAAAAATTCATAATTTTAGAATTATTCCTTGATTAATGCACAAAAAATTGGATTTTATTACATAAATACACGGATTGCTGTAATTATTGCCTCCATGCATCGTGTATGTACGATCTGACATTAATTGCCACTGATCTTTAAGTGTCGTATAGATCGCCTCGAGATCCGTTGGATCTTTTTCAAAATAATTAATGGATACCTCCACCTTCCTCGGCGGCGCGTCATTCAAACGCCCTTAAACGAAACATGCTCTTAACTTTGAGCCACTATCCATTTCCACATTCTAATTTCTATAGTTCATTTTGAGACATCTAATTATAAAGTCGAGTTAGCTAACTTACGCCGTGTAACTAAATATTTAGATCTGGAACGCATTGTCGTACGGTGTAAGTAGAAGCAAAACAGATTGAAATGTGAGAAAAGTAGAATATACCTGATCGGCGGCGACAGAAGGGCCGGGGGAGGAAGCTTCGCTGCTAAGTCCAGGAGCTCCGATAGGTGGAGCGGGAGGTCCAAGCAAATCAGGTGAAGGAGCAGGAGCATTGTGTTTCTTAGACTTCTTCTTGCTCTTGCTCTTGCTTGGAGCTGGTGCGGGAACCTCAGCAGTGGTTGGTGCCGCAACAGGAGCCGGAGGAGACAACGAGCTCTCTGGAGGAGTTGTCGGTGCAGCAGCCGGAGGCGAATTGGCTGGAGGAGAGCTCACAGGAACTGGAGCCGGTGGAGAACTTTCTGGAGTAGCAGCTGGAGGAGAAGAAGAAGGAGCAGATTTAGATGGAGCAGGAACCGCCGCGGACTTCTCTGGAGCGGCAGCCGGTGGTGAAGAAGTTGGTGGAGAAGTGGTAGGAGCAACAGTTGGAGCTGGCGATTTAGGTTTACTCGCAGGAGCTGTAGCGGGAGCAGTAGCAGGCGTAGTCGCTGCCGGCGGAGCCTTAGTGGGTGCGGCGGCCGGAGCTTGACCACCGACACCGACCACCACAATGCAAATAAAAGCAATAGCAAACGCGCTTCCACGGTCCATTTTTTTTTTTAATTTTTGTTTATTCGTTTGAGAGTTGTCACTAAGGGAGTGAAGTGGTAGGAGAAAATGGTGGCAGAGAGAGTATAAATAAACGAAAAAGAATCAATAAATAAATCATGATGACGATGCTGATCAAAGTAACGAACGGGTTAAGACAGATCTGGACCGTAAAAAAGAAAAGGGCCCCACGCTTGCATGGTTCAGAAATAGCCGTTGGATGAACCTATTGGGGCCCACGGGCCACGGGCATCGAACAATCAAACAAACAAATAGGCTTAACACAGTGTAATTTGGCCCTCAACACAGCCTGGATTAGGGGCCCACTTGGAAGAGGGCTTCCAAAATCAGTGCATGTGATTTGCAATTATAATTCAATTCAATTAAACCTTTGGTTTAATTATTTTACGCGTTAGGATGCGTTTTTATTTTAATTTTGTTGGGCTGGAAATGAATTAATGGACTGCAGAGACAGCTGGAACGGTCTTGCGGTGGGGTCATGCTGCGCAACGTGACAAACCAATAGTAGGAGGCCAGCGACAGGGTTAGCGGCAATGATTGTTGGGTAAGCTGTTACGGATGGTTGCGTGAGGCTTACATGGGATTATCGGAGGACGGAGGGTCACCGGCTAAAAATTGTGGGTCCCATGGAAAAGTTGCGTCCGTGAACGTGCCATGTATCGGTACCTAATAAATGGAGGTATCGTTTTTGTTCTTTGTTATTTTACAATATCGGTATCAATTTGCTTTGATGTGGTATTATTTAATATTGTTAGAAAAATACATTTTTATTACATATAATTGATATATTTATATGTAAGCATAGATTTTAAAGTTTTAAATATTTAATATCTAAATTTTTTTAATTTTAAATAAATAATATTAAAATATTAAAAAATAATAATTTATTGTTTAATAATCTATTTTAATGATTATATATTATTTTTGGATGAATTATTAAAAGTAAAATTTAAAGAAATAAAATAAAGAAAAATAGAAAAAGAAGAAGAAAATTAAAAATAAAAAAAATTATGTATCAACTAAGATTATCAATATAAATTTAAATAATTAACGTAAATCAATACAGGCTGATATAAATAATATATGTATATAAATTTAAATATATCGATTTTCCTCAAAATTATGATGTCCTTATGTTAACATTGATATAAACACACCCAAATTTTCATTTTGTTAAAAATTGTAAATCTATTAAGGGTTTAATTTTTTAAAAATAATAAACTTGATGTGATATTATGTTTAAATTGCATAGTAATTATTATATTTTGCTATGAATGTAAAATCAGGTAAGATATAAAATTTGATTCAAAAACATTAGTTGAAGTGAATTTATTTTTTCATTACAAAATTAAAAAGAGACTTACAATTGTTGATTCCATTCAATAAAAAATGCTAAAATAAGCTTAAAATATTTAGCTTTTTCTTTTGTTTTTATGTAAATGAATTTAATTGTGTCTATTTGATTTGATTTGATTTGATTTGATTTGACGGTGAAACTGGAATAATATTCTTATAGTTTAGAAAAAAAAAATCATTGGTTGAAATAACCAGTAGCTAGGTTGTCAAACATCTTAAAGAAGCTTACTTAATTTTTTTGGCAATTAATATATGTAGTTTATATTGGTAAGTCTAATAAGGAAAGGGACAGATCAGATTTCAATAGCTTCATTATTTTTTTTCCTAAGATTTTAAAATCATATGTTAATTAATGACAATGGAAGAGCATCAGATTCTTTACCATCTTTTTTTTTATTATTATTTTTTCTTTTTAAAGGTGAAAGACAAGATGAGTGAAAAGATTCTATATGACATTTTGGGATTTACTTAAGAACCCATGCTTTTGAGTTTGTCCTCTTACTTTTCTTTTTCAATCAATTAAACCTTTAATTATTCCTGTATTGTAGTGAAATTTTGGTGACACTAAAACTCAAAAGTTTCACAAAATGTACCAACTTTTCCTTTTCTTTTTCCATAGTTTTAGTAATGCCCAAGTTCTTGGATACTTTGTTAATTCCTTTCTTCCATTGTTTTCCTTCTTCAAGTTACTCTCTAAATCAACTACCTTTCTCACTTGCTGGTGAGCTGTGACCAAATTCCTTTTTAATTAGAGATAAAATATGCCGTTTGTTAAATTCATGACAAGTTTAAGAGAGAGAGAGTAGTGATTATGAATGAAATTTTACCTAACCAATTAATAATAGATCGGTTATCTTTTTCAAGGAGATACCGAACATAAATAATTTATAATTTAAATATAAAATTAAAATATTTTAATCGGTATTCAAAACTGAACATCATTATAATATAATTATCAAGTAAGCTTGATTGTTATAAAATTATACCCTTCATTATAACACTAACATTAGTTTTTTCATATATGTTAATTGAGCAAATGCGTTCAGAGTGACTATGATGGATAGATTGTATCTAAAAATTAGAAGTTCACTCGGCCAATCTTTCGGAGCCAAATCACTCAATTTTCTCTCCTGAACCTGAACTATTTTTGTCAAAGCTAATCCTTAGAATTGGATATTGTATTGGATTGAAAGGCCCAAAGGTTTCATATGTGAGCCCAAGTATGGCCCAAAATTTCTGTTGGTTTGAGCAGAGTTACGGCAACCCATCCAACAAAAATCATGGGCCACTTTCGGGTCAGCTTGTATGAATCAATATATCTTTGGGCTAGGATATCAGATTCACAAGTTTGGCTTGACTGGTTACATGTCAGCTTGACGTCCGCTTTGAATTAATCTGGCATTGTACATTGTGACATGAAGTTCTCGAGATTTTATTTTATAAAATTTAACTCATAAGTTTAAGTTTTTATTTATATATTATAATAAATTTTTTTAATATTTTGAAATAAGATTTATTTTTTGAATCTTTCGATATGAGATTAAGATATCATAAATTTTTTTGTTAAAATTTGATGTCTTTATTAAACCTAATATAAAACATAAATAAAATCATGTTTTGATCCGAATATTTTATAATTTTATCTTATAAAAAATATCTCATAAATTTAAATTTAAATTTTTACTTATATATCATATTAAATTTTTAAAATATTTTGATTTGACATTGAAGTGTTCCAGTGAATTATCAAATATTATATTACACACCTTTTCATGTCCAAGAAAAATATTTTTCTTTTAGCAAGCTATTTTAATTAATTAGGCTTTCTCTTCCATGCTATAAGCTGGTAAGCTCATGTGCCTGGAAATCAATGCTGAGCACGCGAAACTACCAACTGAACTGAACTTCATGCATCTTATTATTCAATATTGACATATGTCAAGATATGAACATAACTCCTATAGATCCTAATTATAATCATTAATCACAGTTAACAACATCCGAGGAAAGATACATGTTCTCTTAGGCAGATTAATTAAGATACTAATCCTAGCTAGTGTAACTAAACTGTGTAGAGTTAATCATGCTTTCCAGTATAGAGTTACAAGTTGCATATAGTATCTGCATTTGCATCAACAAGAATAAAAAAACCATGTTAGCGAAAATAAAGTATAGAACTAATCATACATTTTCAAATCGGAAGCCGCATTTTCTTGAGAGCAGCCCCAGTTGTACTTGACTGCATATTTTTATGAGTTCTTCACTTTTTTGAGTTGGAAACAAACTAAAAAGCACCTTTGAATAGATTATTTTGATGACAAACTGCATTTGATTGGCTTCATATGAGGGGCCATGATTTCAGTTTACTTTGATCTAGAGGGAGCGAGTTGTAGAAAATGATTACTCAGTTTGTACACACTTCTGCAACTGCAAGTTTTCGTTCAGAAAAAAAAAATGTTTTAACAGTTTGCTTTTCAAGGGGTTTACATTTACACTCTGAAATTTGAATGATTCATTTCAAAATTATAGCGTGCATGTTATTCGTAGGCTAGAAGAGGAGTGTGGTCCATTGTCTATATCGTTGATAGCTGTCTTTTTAACTCTTTGATTGAATCATACAACCTCCATTTTAGGTGAATGTATCAACCTTTTCCCCAGATTAGAACTGATTCATGTAGGTCAAGTGTAATCAAATTGCTTAGGCAATAAGAACAACATATGTCTAATAATATAGCATATGTGAGTTTGGCATATCAGCAATAAGAATTGAATTGAATTGAATTGAATTGAATTGAATTTATAGCCAGCATCCAATTCTGAGTCTTGACCCTTTCAACATAGATTGGAAGAAGAGAAATTTGGTATGGTATTCATTTTAATGCTTTTGCATATATAAATGTCTAATATTCTGATCATTTATTTTACATTTGATTTAAAATCTGGATACTACCTCAAGCATATTCGTCATTCAATGAATATGGTTTTTATACATCTTATCACATGAAGCTTCCCATTTTAGCTATATCAGGGTCCTCCTTTTATCACATGAAGCTTCCCATTTTAGCTATATCAGGGTCCTCCTTCTTTGTGGCACTAGCTTGACAAGTGTTCCTTCAATGAATATGGTTTTTATACATATCGTAACGCATGAAACTTCCAAGTTTAGCTAATCAGGGTCCTACTTCTTTGTGGCTCTAGCCTGACAAGTGTTCCATTAGTAAAATATCGGTTAACCTCGTTTTCTGGCTCTCTGTCTCTCTACTTTTTCCTGTTGTTCATAATAGCCTCATGTTCAGCTTAGCTGCCTAGTTGTAACTCTTCACCCACCAGAGAGCTCAAAGAAACTGATGAGTGCAGCCTTTTTGTTACCTGTCATATTCATCTGAAGATGAAACTCATCTGGATTCCAACTCTCCTTTTCCTTCTATGGAGTCACCACACCTAAACAATAAAGCCAATAACACTGCCAAGATGCACTCACAGCCACCATGCAACAAGCCAAATTGTTTCTTCTGCACCTTGAATGAGCCAGAACCACCTCTAAGAAGAGCAAAACTCAGAGAATGTTTCAAAGAGATGCCTCTCAGAGATGACCAAGAACACGTGTTGGTCTTAAGTGGGCTCTGGAACATTTCCATGACTCAACCTGATGATCCAGAATTTCCCTCCCTCGGTATATTTGAATGCATGGCCAAACTGATCCATAGAGGCATCAGTGATCAGGATTGGCTTCTTAGAGGTCAGAACATCTATATCCCCTACTATGCTGCTCATATTATCGGTTCATATACGATGGACAAAGCCCAATTTGCAGAAAGAGCCGTTAAATCAGGTGTTGTTTTGCCATTAATGGAGCTTTTGAGAGGTAAGATGAGTTGGGTTGAGCAAAGAGTTGCAGTCCGGGCACTGGGTCACTTGGCCAGACATGACAAAACATTTGAAGCTGTTGCTGAGCATGAAGTAGAGATCGTAAATTTGACGATGGAGATAGCTGGAAATTGCCTTCAAGTGGTTTATAAAGAGTTTGTTGGAATAAAAGATAGGAAGAGACCGAAATATCATTGTGACCTGCTTACAAGAGGACTTGGAGGATTGGAGTTGCAGTTCAGGAAGGCTGAGGAATGGGCTAGTCAGCTTCAATGTTGGTCACTTTATCTGTTGAATTGCTTTGCATGCAAGGAGAGGTCTCTCAACCTGATCTGCAAGAAAGAGTTCTTGAATAATTTGTGTGGAATGTGGGGCGGATTAGTGAATCTCACATCTCCTGCTGGAATTGGATTGCTAAGAACTATTTGTTCCTCCAAAACAGGAAGAGAAAATGTAGCAAATTTGAAAGAAGTAATGGTGAGTCTTTGCAATATTTCAAGATCTTCAGATGATTGGCAAGACATGGCTATTGATGGTCTTTTGTTGCTTCTCAAAGACCCAGATACAAGATACAAAGTTATTGACATTGCAGCTTTGTCTCTTGTTGATTTAGTTGAACTTAGAAGCCTTGGAGAAAGAAAATGGGTGGGAGAAACAATCACCCAGACACTGTTGCAAGACTACTACAAAATCAAATATGGTTTTTTGAAGCTGAAGAGCAAGAAAGCTGAGAGAGCATTAGAAGAATTATGGAAATTGAAGGTGGAGAATATAAAGAGAGACAAAATAATGTCTGAAAAAGACATGAAAGAGATAGAAGTGTTTATTGGGAAGTTGAAAAAACAAGGCAACCAAAAGTTTTGGTCTGGTAAAATTGATCAAGCTTGCAAGATATACTCCAAGGCCTTGGATTTGTGTCCATTAAACATTAGAAAAGAGAGAATTGTTCTTTACAGCAACAGAGCTCAGTGTTTTCTGCTACTAAAAAACCCAGAGGCCGCCATTAGTGACACAACTAGAGCTCTATGCTCATCAAGTTCAGCTAGTCCTCACAGTAAAAGCTTGTGGAGAAGGTCACAGGCTTATGACATGAAAGGATTGGCCAAAGAGAGCTTGATGGACTGCTTAATGTTCATCAATAGTCGCATAAAATCCGAGCACACCAAGCGTGTCAGAATCCCATACTACGCAGCAAGGATGATCAACAAGCAGATGAATGCCACGTGGCTATTTGCAAATGCCAAGTCAAAAATTTGCAGTATAAAAGAGGAAGAACTACATAAATCCAAAGGAAAATACCAGCTGCAGGAACTGCTGCTGAAGTTGATGGATGCTAAGGTCAAGGGTTTCCCTGGTAAGCCTATAACGTGAACCCTGTAAACATTGCCATTGTTGATATTAGTTAACATGCAATGGAATTTCTTTGATCTTACTGCAAAATCTTTTGCTTTTTTCAGAACAGTTCGTTGATGTTTTTTTCCCCTTTTTTGTTGGTGTCTTAGATATGCCAACTATTGTAGAAGACCCTATAGTTGCAAAAGCAGGCAGGAGACGAAGAAAAGGCATCATCAGTATCCCTGCTGGATTGGCACATGCCAAAATGGGATGAGAGATAATCAAGTGCTGTCCATCACACAGTAAGAGAAGGAAAGAGACCATGATCAACAATAACTGACCTTTGATAACCATAAACAGTAGGAGGGATGGTAGAATAATCAGAAAGTTTACCTATGATATGCAGCCTAGCCAAGGAAAATGACCTCTTCATCCTTTTCTACTTGGGGCACTCTGTTTTTAACTTGGAGGGTCAATGTGTCAAATGTCAAGAGTCAAGGTTGAAGTGTCAATCCCATTGGAAAAATTATATCTAAAAGTCCATACTGCAACTTGTCAAAAACATATTGTTCAATTTTCATGTGGTTTCGAGCCACCATCACCATGGTAGAGAAGAACCCACGACCATTGTAACTTGAATTCTTTTTCCCTTTGACCAATGCAATTAATTGAACTACAAATGCAAATGGAAGCTACATAGAAATCACCCATACTTTTCCATTATTTCTTATAATATTAAAACTAGGGATAGATTTCTATCATGAGCAGATAATGCATTTGAATTTTTTTCAATCTTATACCAACCTATATGAATATCTCCCTTTGCCTGGACCTCCCCTCTTCCTGAGAAGGGAGAATATGGTGAATCTACTAAGACTGCTGATGATGACACTTTCAATAATTAACCAAAGATAAATTATCAATCACTAATTTTGTTTCAATTTTAAAAACATCATTAATTTTGTTTGCATAAAGAAGAAAAAGGTTGAGTTAGTATGTGTTGCATGATAAAATGGTTATTATTATTTTTTTTTTATAAATGAGATTGCAGTTTAAGCAAAAAAAAATTATAGTTATTATAATTTAAATTTTAAATTTATTAAATGTGAAATTTTAAATATAATTATATAAATTAATTAAATTAATTTTCGAACTCGATAACACTAACTTTTTAATGTCTACTAATTAATCCATAGTCCAGCTATTACCTCCTAAAAGAGGGATTTTGACAAATTAAGACCTCTTAACCAATATAAATTAAAAAAAAAATAAAGAAATTTAAACAAAAATCTTTGGTATTAACTAATCTCTTACCGATCGTACTATCTTATTTCTTACAAAGTAAAATATTGTCCTAATTCAACCATACCTATAAAAGTAGTAAAACATACTTTTCAATCAAACACAATTTATCCTAAATCCAAATCATATTTGGAAATTGGCCAAATAGCATAACCTTACCCCTATTCAAAGAACCATCCGGACACCACTGACCAGGCAATATTTACCCTTTGGAGGCATTCAAATGATTGAATTTGGGGAAAAAATCTTTTTAAAAAACAATATTATTTTCACATATAATTTAATTTATTTGGAATTTCACATGTATAAGCTGGGCAGGTAATTATCAAAATATAATAATCTATTTTGTAAATAAAAAAGTTTTGATTGAATTTGTTTTTGCACGATAGAGAGTAATTTGAAGAAGAATTTGCAATAGAGAACAACGAATTCAAGCAATGAAAATCAAACTAAAAAAATTTCAAAATCATTTTGTTGTCCAAACGGGCTGTTGAAACAATGCTGTACTGCCAAATATGATAAAAAAATAATTTAAAATTTTAACAATAATTATACATAAATTTAACAAAAAAAATTTAATATTTTTGAATCAATATGAATTATAATATATAACTTTAGTATAAAATACAACACAAATACACTAATTTCAATACAAATATTTCATAAGACACGAATAGCCAGATCGCCAGATCTACTGCCAAAGAAAAGATATCTATCCAGATGTGAGACATTTGATTTACAACATTATTTTGTAATGTTGTACAACAAATTGATTTACAACACATGTTTTACAACAGCGCAAGACAGTGCAGAAAAAAAGAAATCTGGCCCGAACTGATAACTGTCCGAGGTTGCGGTTGATGTATGAGCGTTCTGAACAACCCACTCCAGTACAAGAGCAACTGCACAAATTACATTTATGCTGTCAATAATTCTGCAACAATGTTTGGATTAGAAAAATTATGTGTTGATCAATAAATGATGAGTCTACTCCTACAACCCTCAAAATCGAGGTCTTTCCCTGATACCATCTAATGATCAAATCAAGTTTATTTCAAGAATATAATCATAGAATGATTGATATTCACTTCGAATCATTTTAAGTGCAGTCGTCTAACTCATAATGTTTAATGATGCCACTCGAAAGATAAACCCAAGGTTTTCATATGCCATTTAAGATCATAAAGATTGAGAGATGCAAAAATGATGAAAGATTCGACTACTTCTGACCCACCCGTTTGAGTTGAGAGTTCAATCATCATATGAGCTGAGAGCAGCAACAACTGATCCTGTTGTTGCAAAAGTCGAGGCTACATCTGGAAAATCTTTCCAAGATGTCGTAATCTTTATGGATGGATATAGCCAACTCTTAATGGAATCGATAAAGGAGTTTGGATCAAAGTTCAGAATGGCTTCCCAATCAACCTGCACACCTTTTGGAATGTTGCCTGTGAACTCCATATTAGCAGCGAGTAACAATCCAAGCAAAACAACAAAGCCAACTACTGCAGTGCCCCTTGAGAGTGGCATGAAATTGTACCTGAAAAGCAATCAAGTATCGTTTGCATTAAAATCTTGAAATTGTAAAAACATAAAGCAACCGTTTGCATTCCATATCACATGTCATACCAGTAATATGTCATTCTTAAAATAGCTTCTCTCACATTTTCAAGGACATTGAAATCAGTGGACGCATAATTTTCACCACAATAAGCATTGCAAATGGCCTGCAAACCCATAGTTGGTAAATTCAAATGTCACAATCAATCAGAAAACAAATAGAAGAAAGAGAAAAAGATACTTAAAGTAATACCATAAGGAAAGGCAAGGGCTGTCAATCGATAGAAATAAAAAGCTAATTAGGATTTTGCTGCTTCCTGAATTTTATGTGGATTTTGCAGCATTAGAGAAACAGATAATCTACATAGTAAATAAGAACCCAGCAGACACTGGAACTCAATTCAATGCCATTTTCAATAGTAAGTTGTATGTTTAGGCATTTACATATCTGCTAAAATTGAAAATCAGTATGAAATTATCTGAGATAGTTAGAGCAAATATGGAGTAACAACATTTTTGGCAAAGCAGAATGCTAATAGAGTAAGTCTGGCTAATAATTATTGACTATTGGCTCAAGTTTGAGATCAAGAGCAGCTTACTTCCCAAGCAATTCCCATTTCGGCAACAAATTCCTCCCATCTGGAAGGTGTGCAAGGTGTTCTGATTGCGAAGTCATATCCATGCTCTCCCCTGTAAGAAACATTCAATGTTTTTCAACCACAAAAGTCAATTGAAAAAGAAAAAGAACTGTATAACAAATAAATTTAAGAAATAAAAAGAAAAAAGTTGACATAGACTTACATTTTCACACAGGTAATTCTAGTCCCTTCAAGTTGCTTCCTGAAATAAGAATAAACCAGTATTTTATGACTAGCTTATGACAAGAAACTTTAGATTCTAAGAAAGATCATCCTTCTAAGTTGTTGGAAGCTTACCCCTCAACGCCTGTGCTGTTGCACCAAGTAGCCAACCAGAAGTCCTCACCCACAATGTCATAAAGATCATTACAAGATTTTGCATGCACAATCTGCAAGTGGTATGTTAATATTGCTATATACATGAATTTTTTTTATAAAGGCAGATACATCGAAAAACTATTTGCACTTCAAAATCAGTCAGAAGATATGACTTAAAAGTCATAATATGCAGAACCATGGACTCCATAAGATAAAACGTAAAAGAACTTCAAAGAATCCTTTAGGCTTTGTTTGGTTTACAGAAAATTTGAGGAACAGGACATATAAAAAAATTGAAATACAGAGTATTGAGACTTAGTGCTCTAATGTCGGAAAAGATTTACTACTAAGAATATAACTAATCACAAGTAAAAATAAAGTATATTTTTATTTCAATTTTTTTTCTTTTACTTATTTTATCCACCGTCAAAAAATTGATGCTATGCACACACTACCAATCAATCTGCTCTTTTTGTATTAAATTTTAGCTTATTCAAATTAAAATTGATATATAACAAACTAAAGCATATTCTAACTCTTACAAGGGAGATCAAACCAAAATTCCAATTAAGGACGTATTACAGAACAAAATTTCTTCAGAATGTGACTTTAACCAAACAGTTAATGGATTTAAGTACTTGATATATTCTAAATATTAAAGTTTTAGTAAGGAATGCTATTGCATCTTAAACATCCATAAATTTAAATCCTTTTTATATTATCACGGCCATCAATTTTGCAATAGATTGCCAAAATTCAAATCACTTCAAAAATTTCTAAATGTCCATCTAAGTTTCTAATTCTTCAAATTTCATGACAGCCAGTCAGCCATGGTTAACTTACAATCAGAGCAATTAACATATGATGTCAAAACTTAAATGTTAGCAACAACATAGTCCTATTTATGTAACTAATACACAATAATGTACATTCTGTCAGACACTAACTTTTTTCTTATTCCTTTCTCCTGAATGGTATGATTTGAACCTACAACTATGTCAAACCAACACTAATCCCTTTATCACTGGAAAAGTGAAAAGTTACTCTTTCAGGATTGCTCATTTAGAGGATACAAGATCATTGCAGACTATTAAATACTCCAATTGCATGAAGATGTTATGTTCCACAAAAAGGTGATGGCAAAATGATATAACAGGTCTAAACCAATCATGCAGAACTTACATATTCTGATTTCCCCTCTTTGGATAGATCAATAATTTCATCTGCCTTGTTGTGCACAAAAAGTTTATCCTTCATGATAGTCTTTGCTATATCTAATGCTCTGCAATATCATCAAACAATGAGGATATATAACAACCCTGTTGTTAACGAATCAAACCAGATATTTACCTTTCATGGTTTGGGAAATAGCGAACAACTTTTGCTTGTCCGAGGACCATTGGTGTGTGAGAACCAAATCCAGAATTGAACTCTTCACTGCAAAGCAAAACAGTGGGGCACAAGCACAGTAACCAATCATATATTTTAGTGTGAAATCCTCAGTAAAAATTGAAACTATTCAAAAAATGTCATCTGACTTATCCTAGGTACTATAATGGTGATAAATATGCTCAGGATCTTCAACAGCATATGTTTAGTTTATTTGTATTGAGATGTATGATCCTGAGTAGAACTATAAGATTTTCTCCAAATTGAAAACAACCAATACTGCAATAAATGCAGCATTCAATTATGGTAATTGCATATATGACCAGGTGGGACTTGTATGCACTGTTGGGGGAGAAACCAATAAATAATGAAAGAATCAATAAAAAGCAGACTTTAGGATTGTACAAAAATCCAGAACAAGATAGCAGAGAAATTTGTAGATGACAAGGTCAAACCCATAATAGATTGACAACACAAGAGATGCCAACAAACAATAAGGTGAATATTATGCTTAACACATTTTAGTATAATTGTGTAGGTAATAAGGTTAAAGATAGCAGACCTCAACTTGTTAACCCACACAACCTGGTCACAAGGCTCAGAAATTTGTCTCCATTTGACAGCCAATGAATAAACATCTTGCCATGACATCATAGGGCGACTAGATGATCCATCTTCAGTAATGCCATAAGAAGGTGATATTTCTGAGGAACTGCTTGTACTACAACCAGCACCACCTCTGTTCTGGCTAGCCATACTGATTCTTTCCTTTCTTCGAGCCCTCTTACCATTTTTTGAGCTTCTATTAGAATGCTTCCAATCTGCTTGCAAAGAACGCCATGCTTTTGACACCTTCTGCGCAATTTCAATGGCAGCTAATCCTGCCATACGATGCTGGCACATACCACATGATGTAAAATAATTAATACACCAAAATGCAGGGAAAAAAAAGCAGTTTATAACCAAGGGAGATCATGGGGAAAAAAAAGCAACTTGATGGCAAGCTTTTTAGTTGTTTTTTCCTTTTCAATGGCGAAAAAGGTGAGCAAGAGTAAGGAAGAAAATATGAGAATTACAAAGCTACATAGGTCATTCGGACTCTCAACAGAATTAGTATAAAGCTGAATCTTAATGTCGAAATTAACCTAACTTGAGATATGAGACAAAACTAAGTAGTTATTTTATCAAAACATATTGTGACATTTTTCTGATTGGTATCAGGGCAAAATAATAAAAATGTGGGGCAAGCACATACATAGACATGCTTGAAACTTGAAAACAACTGTAATAAAACCAACAACATCCTTGTTGCTGCTATATTATACATACAAACATATAGGAATCCATCCTTGTTTTTTTTTCGTACACAGACCTTTTAAGAATGTTTCAAACTGAAACAAACATGTAACAACTGTAGTCTTTCAGAAAGAGTTTCATACTTTTCATCAAATCTGTTAAATTTAAGAAAGAGGAAAAATCTTAAACGAGAACGAGTAGGATGTAAACTGACTTTCCAGGGAGCCAAAAAGGACACCGAGGGAGGGCAGGGAAGGGGAAAAATCCAAAAGTACTTTAGAATTATTCTCAAAATTATTCACCTGACGCCTATTGGGTAAGAAACCAGGACAGTCATATTGGATTTTCTTGCCAATTGAGTCAGCAGCCAGCAGAAGAGCAGTCCTGTTCTTTGTAATGGCAAAATCTTGCTTTCTAAGCCTTCCCTTCTTCAGAGAATCACGCAATGGAGGCTGTCTGAAAACCTTTTCACATACATTCTTGGGGTGCAATCTCTTGCACCAGTATTCCTACATTAGAACAAGTATAAGAAACTAAAAGGCCAAAAGACAAGAAAAATCTCCACCAGGAAAATAATTGAAGTTTTAAGGAATTTGCTTTATTATATCTTTAGAGTGGTAGACTGATTTTATTTCTCAAAAATATGATAAACTCTCAAATGATGGAAAACTGAAGCCATGGAAGAGACAAATATTAATTTTTCTTACAAGTAACATAAAGCCAAAATTGACAAGCACAACTTTTGTGCAAAAGAAATACACCAGTGAACTAAAAAAGAACACAAAACAAAAAGGCATACACGCAACAAGGAGCTTTAAGTTTAATGATGATTATCACTATGAATAATTACCTTGAACAGTGGATCTATGTCTCCATCAATATCAAACCAACAAAACTCACTGTTGACTTTGCAAGCAGTGTACAAAGCAATCTCTTTCTGAAAGTGAAGAAATGCAAATTCAGAGACCCTATTGCTTTCAAGTCAAGGAAAGTAACAACTATTGTCAAATAAGATAATCATTACGACAGCCAACTAAACTATAAACTATTGTGTCTTGAGCATATTCTTCAAAACAACAATAAACCCAAAACTCAAGTAGAACAGATTTCCAAATGCACATTTTAAGCAATGTGTAATTCCATTTTTCAATATAACATACATAAAATGGTAATATCAAAATAACTGCACCGGAAACAAAATGAAAAAATTGCACATATATATATATATATGGAAGGGTAGTTCATAAAATACGATGGAAACATGTGTATTTGGCCTTAAGTTGAAGGGCATACAACCAATGAATACACTTGGGAGCAAAAGGCATGCACTGTAATAGAGCCACCTCACTTTGAGAGGTGAGAGAGGCTATTTTGCTGTATTACACCTCACCTTTGTGCCTAGACACACCTCGACTATAAAAACTAAAACACCCCAAAAAGTCAAGAGTAGAAAAGAATTTGGGACAATAAGAAGCCATCCACTATCATATAGAAAACAAAAAGGAGGGAAAACACAGAAAATACATGCATATGACACCTTTTTTCATCTTCAAGTAACAAAATAACTTTTGGGTTCAACAGAAATATCCAGTTTCAGGTGCAGGTGAAATTGTATAAGGTGAAGGTTAGTACTAATGACAAGCGAAAGCATGAAAGAAACAGACAGGTGAGTATGCTAATAATTCCTTCAATGAAAAGAAACATATGAAAGAAAAACCTAATGAAGCAAATTTCATACAAAAGTTATATTATTTCAACACAAACCTGATAGAAGGCCAAGCATTGAAGAACAAACTTTTCCATTGAGTCCAGTTCAACATCTAATGCAGCATCATAGTCCTTGACCTGTGAATGTTAAGTTTTAGTACAATAAACTAATGCCAAAAAGCAATCAATGCAGTGTTATAATTTAATGAAACAAAGTATTTTAATTCAAATTCTTAGTTACCGCCTCTGCATATTCTCCAATAGCATGATAGCATGAAGCTCGTAAGTATAAACACTCAATATTTGAGTTCTCAATGCTCAACCCATTTGATAAATCCTTAATAGCCTTCCTGCGACAGCCAAGTTGGGTCACTTAAGCACAGATGAGAAATGATAGTGCAAATGTAGAACAACCTCAAGTGATCGGATCAAGTAATAAATAATTAGGAGCAAAATTTGGGTCACTTAATCAGAGATGAAAAAAATAATATTGCTAATGAAGAGAGACCTCAAGTGAACAGATCAAGTAATAAAGATTAGGGGTGAGAAATAATATTGATGGTTGACCTATACACGAACAACTGACTGTAAATATTAAATAGCAGATGCTCCGATAACAATTGGGCCATCATACCGATCGATGAAATATTTTAAACATCAGAATATTTACGTCATGAGATAGTTGCACTTCAGAGAACAATTATATCACAGATGGTTTGTATCATCATAAGAATGATTAAATACATTGCATTAAATCAGAGAAAACTAAACCATTCACAAAAACATAGTTGATTGAACACACCTGTGCTCTCCCATCCCATGGAGTAGTAGCCCACGTAAATGATATGCTTTAGAATACCTATTAGAAAGACATTAACAACATCAAGTTTAGAAAAACATAAATGAAACAATTTAGTAAAGTCTGGAAAAAAAAAGTACACACTGTTATAGGAGGGATATGATGGCTAAGAAGGCAAAGACAAATGCACCTTCCATCAATTTGTATAACTTGTTGAAGACATTCGAAAGCCATTTTAGAGTTTGCTAGATCTTGATAGAGCTGCCAGGGAATCACTTAGTCATGCCGCAAGACATTTAAAGCAGCTTAATAGAAAAAAAACTAATTTTATTAGGCAAAATAATAGTTCTCACAGATGCATACACATGGTCACTCACCACCATACTCTGTTCACTAAAAAACTGCCAAGGATATTTCCTAGTAATGTAGCAATAAATTCATGGAGAAAACTAGTTTTAAAACATAAAGTAGTAGTTTCTAGGAAAATGCACACAAATTGTTGTCAGTTTCATACGCTGCTGGCACTGACCTACAGAATCCTATCAAAATTGGGATTTTTCAGTCGTCAGCTAGGATATGCCAGCCAATTTTCAACTTCTCAGCTAGGAAACTGAGTTTACCATTTAGGCCAGAAAAAAATTTAGTAGAAAAAAGTTATTTTGGTCATTTTGACACATTTTTTTGTGAATAATCATGGAATTTTAGCTTTAAGAGCACAGCAATGCCTTGATAGAAATTGTGTGGATAAAGCACAATAATCAGCAATCGTTACCTGGGTAAGATGAACCCAGGCTTCAAGAAAACTTTGGTCAAGTTGGATAGACTTCAAATGTGCCTCCTCAGCCCTCTTGTATTCACCTATTGAAGATAATGCCATTCCCTACCAGAGTGAACACAAGTTATTGAGACAAAATTCCAAAAAGTATCAGATTCCTCCAGAAACAGCAAGGTTAAAGACATTTAATACTAACCAAATATGTGTATGCAGACTTGCTATTCTTATCAAGCTTCACACATGCAGATAGGTCTTCAACAGCAGCAACAAAATCCTTAAACTTGAAATTCACTATTCCTGAATTAAATAAAAATTCCACAGATCACTTCTTAGGCACAAAGATGTCACTATTCTCTTGTAACAACATTCTTTTGAGATATAATATGAAAATTTATAACTGATCAGATAGAAAAAACATAATTGAAAAATCAGACACAAATGTACATAACTACTTTCGACATTCATATTGAGCAAAAAAAAAAATGGACATAAAAAGGTGAGCAAAATTTCTTCAGCATATGAGCAAGTCAACTGCAAGCAGGAAGGGGAGGAAATGAAAATATGAAATAGCAGGATTAAACAAGTTACCTCTTTCATGTAATAAATCAGCTGAATTTGGATCAAACTCCAATGCTTTGGTCAGATCTTCAATTGCCTGGCATAAGATGTAAAATTTGAGTTATGACAAGCACTAAGCTCTTTATTTCCTTCACAAATGAAATATACTCAGAAATATAATGTAGTGACAGGCACTAAAACTCTCCATCATTTAGTTCATAAATAACATAAATTGACATTTTGCATCCCTCTCCCTTCTCTTCGCAAAATCCAATGATTTTATGGAAAAACTAATGTAACATGCACAGCAACAGAAATCAGCCTCTAACTTAAAGGTCTTAAGTAAACCTTTATGTTCTGGTTGACCATATCAATGTACCAAAGCCGAGGATCTCATGCAATTATGGAAAGACACTGCAAGAAGTTTTCCTTTGGATAGAAAGACAATATGAGGATGAAATTATAAAAGACCCTCACCTCAACAGATTCTCCCATAGCAGCCCGAGCCTGGCCTCTCCTTTTCCAAGCCTCACCAGCTGATGGTTTTGATTGAATAGCCTAAAGGAAAAATTAATCATATGGAGCATATAAAATAGAAGTTGTCACTTCTATATAGACTGCAGAATCATGAAGATATATGTACCTTTGTAAAATCAGCAATAGCGGCTTCAAGTTCTCGTTGGAATGCGTATGCAGTCCCTCTTCCTATTAGTGCCTCAGGATATGTAGGATCGTCTTTCAGTATCTGCATGATATCAAAAAAGTAAAAATAAAAATAAAAAATAAAAGCACATATGTAAAATTTTTATATAATAAAGACAGAAAAAGACCACAAAGGCCACCCCAACATGGTAGAACCCAACTACAACAATTAAAGAAACCAAAGATGTACCTGGTCAAATATAGATATGGCAGAAGCATAATTCCCTTCATTAACCTGCAAAAAAAAGATCAAACAGAATGCAAGACTAAAGTTTGTTTACAGTACAAATGGTAATTGCACCAAGTTGAAAACCGCAAAACTTGTGAAAACATACCTGTGCAATGCCCCTTGATAAGCGAAAATCTACATTGATTGACTTGGTCTTTGAAATCTTAGCAACACAAAACTTCTTGTTCCTCTTAGTTTCATCAGTTATTTCATTATGTATGTCAGATATGTTAGATGGCAGAGAGTGACTTTCAGTTTTATCACTTGACTTACTGGAAATGACAGAGGATCTACTGCATTGTTCTGATTTCTCACTTAGATCATTACATGAATCTGAAGCATAACTTGGTTTGTCAAAATTACTATGAGTTCCATTTGTCAGGACACAAGGCATCTCATTCGGACAAGTTTGATCACTTAATCCTATGTCAAAATTATCACCAGAAATGCTACTGCTCTCAGAAGCATCAACAGACTCCACACTTAATTTAGATCCATCACTTAACACATTGAGACTTTTGTAATTTTCAAATGTTTTGTCAATGGTGTCAGATGCTAACTCAGATAAAGACATTGATGATTTATTCCTCTCTTCATCACTTGTTTTATTGTGTGTCTCAAAATTGTCAGTAGACTTTTTGTAGATCTTTGATCTATCACTATGTTCTTGCAATAATCTAGATGTATTGTATTTATTTTGATGCTTGAAAGTTTCATTTGACTTTCCATTGATGTAAAGTCTTGATTCAGATACAGGGTTAGATAACTTAGGGTCAGCCACATGTTTGTCACTAGTAAAAGTTATGTCTTGTTTGCCTGGTTTTGCTACCGTCAAAAGCTCTTCCAGTTCCAGCAATTGCTTCAGATCAGCAGATTGCCGCAATGCATGTTCATGCCCTTGCTCCCAAACAGCAATAGCATCCTCTTTCCTTCCCAACGCAGAAAATGCACAGCCTAAACAAGGGAAATAAAAGCACTGAGTTTGAGCACCCTATCCTAAAGACAAGAGAATATTCTTTGCTGTCTACAGTCAAATAAACAGTGATTACTCAGAAAAAAGCATCAAGGATGCCCCACAGAGATACATAACAAAAAATCATCAATAGCATAAAGCATACACAAAATTCTAAAGAAAATCTAAAGATAGGGGAAACACCACTTTGATTACAAATTCTACATTAGATCAGTCAATTTTATCATTATGTTATTATCTGAACAGTTTTAATCCAAACTGATGTCGTAAAACCACAACGGACTTTTCAAATGAGAGAGAGAGAGAGAAAGCTTAATCTTTGTTCTTGGTTTAATTATCAGTAAATTGCATCAACTGTTTATTAGTACTTACTCTAACTAGCATCAATGCTACAACCTAGACTCTTGAGATACACTTCGTACCTCTTAATTGTTGGCATCAAGGTTCTATATTACCATATTCATTCAGCTCTATCACCCATGAGCATGTCTGTGCTCTATGATAGCAAACTAAATTTCAAGAAGTCGAACTCGAACGTTAGGTTTGATGTTGAAATAAAATGTGCATTACGTGACTCAGAAGCAAATATTAAACCCAACTGAACCCTCCAAATTCTCTTATTTACAGCAAAATCACCAGAATTGAAGGATTTTGGTTAGTACTATAAATACACAGCCTAGAACTCAATTTTTGGACCGAAAAGGGATGCATGAATTGGGAAAGCATCTAAAATTAATCTAAATTTCAAATAACAACAAACTGAATTCATTAAAAGGCCAGGAAATCAAGTGCCAAACAATGCAATTAACATGTCAAATAAAACCGAAACAGTTGGATATTTAAGGATCAAGAACAAAATACCTTTAAGAATATAAGCTTGAAGAAGCGTAGGGTCAAGCTGTAGCGCCTTATCACAATCCTTAATCACGTGCTTATGAAGCTCCAATTGACTATAACAAAACGCTCTATTGCTGTTATCGAAGGAAACACCGATCAGCGAAATGAAAATGTAAAGAAAAAAAAAATTTAATGGTAAAAATTTGAAGATCAATTGGGACAAAGATGGAAACAAGTTTTAACGGACCAGATGTCTTGGATTGCGCAAGACTGAGCGAGGAGTGAGTCAAGGACTCGGATTGCCTTGGACCAGTCACGGGAGCGGCAGAGTTTGGCGAGTTCGACTCGCTCCGAGATAGCTGAGTTCATGGTGATTGAAGCAGGAGAGCGAGTTGGGAAAAGAGTAACATGAGAAGCTGCGAGGAAAGTGATGGGGGGAAAAACGGGGTCAGGTGAGGGTTCGCGTGTGGATCTGGTTTTGACCCCTTTTAGTTTTGGTCTTTCAAAATTGGATAATAGAGATGGAGCCTGCCTGCCAACGGCTCGTCTTCATGTGCGTGGGTTGCCACTCGGAGTTTACGGACTTACGGTCCCTTGCTTTTGGGCCTCTAACCACCACCCCCCCTCTTTCCTTTTCTGTTTCTTTTTCTTCGTTGAGGAATTATTTCAACATCTCGAAACGCATGCCTTTGATTTGTATGCCGGCACAAAATTGATGGTACAGTACAAAACCATTGAACCACAAGTCAACGAGACAATGACATGACACTGTGGTTACTATTACAAGACAATGGTTTTATGTTTAATCACAACTTAGATTCCAAAATTCGAAATTCCAAAATCGGTGAAGTTCAAACTCACGATTAATTTCCCATTTGACTAAAAAACCTCTAGAAACATATAAATAAAAATCGTGGCGTAAAACAAAAAACTCCCATTACATTTTTGTTTTGTCTGCTAATGGAAAAAAAAAAAAAGCTGTTCATAGTCTACAATGCCAAATTTAGCCCGCGTTACATTGCTTAATTTGAGCTAAATTTATGTTGCAATTTCAACTTCAATTTGAAGAATGAGATTAAGGTAGGGATGAGAAAAAATATCAAAAAAATCGAAGATGGATTGAATTTGTAATATTTGGTTTGGATTGATTTTTTTTATTTAGTTTGAATCAATTTCAGATATTAAATATATTTATATTAGATTTAAATCAGATTTTGGATTAAGAGGTAAAAAATAAAAAAAAATTAAATTAAATCGAATTATATATATTTTTTAGTTTTTATATATATTTAAATTTTTATAAAATAAAAATTTAAATTTTATATTAAAATCTACTTAAATATATTAAAATTTTATATTAAATAATATATAAAAATTAAAAATTAAAAATCAATAAACAAAACTGAAAAGATAAATTTTGATTTGGTTCAATTTAAATTATATGAAGGTTCTATTTGAATTCAAATCAAATTTTAAAATTTTATAATATTATATAATTATTAGAATATGTTGTCAGTAGTTATACATTTAGTTATGTGTAAATATCTTTATACTCTCTCATGATATAAATATACATGTCATAACCTTAAATATGATAGGGTAAAAAATTTATTCTTTATAGATTCATTTCATGGGATCAGAGCAATGGCATTCTCTCTTTTCATCATCTTCAATTCTGATCCAAATAATTGTCTTTTTCTTTGATCTAAAAACAATTACTTTTTTATTATTTTACTCCAATGACTTTCTTTATAATATATTATTTTTTAAACCCTCTAATGGCTTTCAACAACCACTCCTCTTTTATACAATCTCTTTCATTCTCTAACATTTCTAGCCTTATTTTCATTAAGTTGAACTCAAAAAATTATTTGTATTGGCATAGTGAGATAACACTTTTTTTATTATGCAGTGATTTAATGGAGCATATTGATGGTACTATTGCACCTTTTCCTAAAAATAAATAAAGATAATAAAACTATATCCAATCTTGCATGTATAAAGTCGATAAAAAAGGATCAATTTGTTCCTTCCTATCTAAAGGCAACATTGTCACCAAGTGCACAAGCACAGGTCTTGAGTTTGTCATCTTTTTACCAAGTTTAGACAACTTTAGAAACTATTTTTCATCAATAATATCAAGCAAAGTTAGATCTGTTGCATGATAAATTATAGAGTTTGAGTAAATGAACTATGTTTATTGAAAAATATTTTCCTAAAATCAAATCTATTTTTGATAATTTAGTGGCCATAAATCATCTTACCTCTGATTCAAAATTGGTGACTTGTACTTTGAATAGACTGTCAAATATCATTGAATATCAATCAATTATCTTTATTCTTAAAAGCATGAATATTAGTTCATAAGCAGCGCTTGAAAAGAATATCGGTATTATCATTACAACCTATGAATGCCATTGTTTGTTCCTATGAGACAGACATGGTAACTCACCCAAATTGTCAAGGTTAGCACTTTAATAATTCTCGTTATGATTTTTGGTGCACTTAACAGGTTAATCAAAAGTATAATTATCATGATTCTTGATCTTTTTCTTGCATAAATTATATGCCTCAACGAGACTTTCAATTAAATAACCGAGATAATAAGAATTTTTCACTTTTTTAGCATGCAAACCATATCATAAAGTGTCAGATTTGTCACTAATGCAACCATACTACTAGACATGTCAATACCATTACAATAAATTTGATCATAGTCTAAGTAATTTTTTTATTAGTCTTCATCTTTCCACTACTACTTCAAATGATACTTCATTTAATGCTCAAATAGACAATGACAATGATGTCTATTGGCTGACAGATTTAGGTACTACTAGTCACATAACTTTCAATCTATCGTTGGTACATCAGTCCACTTTTTATGCTGGCAATAAAAGTGTTTTTATTGGTGATGGTAATTCTCTAAACATCATTCTTATTGGTGATTTTGCTATATGTCTTAGTTATACAAAATTAGCATTGAAAAATATTCTATTTGTTTCAACATTAAAGGAAAATTTATCTATTTCTAAGCTAACCAAAACAATAACTATGGTTTTCATTGTTTTCCTTGGTTTTGTTATTAAAGATCTTTGTATAGGAAAAGTACTTCTGGATAGACCAATTCAAGGTAACCTTTATGTGATTCCTGCAATAGATGTTGAACGATTCGTTGGTGTGAGACAATGCAACCAACAAGATTTGTTCAGTGACAGTTCTTTTTCAGTTTCTAGAATAATTTGATAATGATAACTTGGGCATCTAGCTAGCAATATTATAACACAGTTAAAATCTAATAAATTTATCTATCTTAAGGATTCTTCTTTTTGTAACTTAACTTATACAGCTTGTCAAGTAGGAAAAAAAATTTGTTTTTTGGTTTATTGCTAGGATAACTTCTAATGTTCTTGAATTAATTCATTGTAATCTTTATGGGCCACCGTCCACTGCTACTATTACTAATTTTTGCTATTATATTATTTTTGTGGATGATTTCGATTGTTATACTTGGTTTTATCCATTGAAGCATCATCCCAATAATGTTACTTATTTTAAAAATTTTAAAATTATGATTGAAAATTAATTTGGCAATAAGATCAAAATTTTTTAGTGTAATGGAGCTAATGAGCTTGTTAAGGATGATTTTAAAAATCTTATGGTATTTTTCTTCAAATTTTTTATCCACATATCCATGAACAAATGGTTTAGCAGAACGAAAACACAGACATATTGAGGAAATGAGCCTGACTCTGGTGTTTCAAGCTTCCTTACCATGATCTTTTTGGCTTGAGCCATTTTTTACAGTTGTTTATCTTATCAATCGATTTCCTATATCAGTTTTAGGTAATCATTTTTTTTTGAGGTGTTATTTAACTCTGTGCCAAACTACAATCATTTGAAAGTTTTTGGATGTGTTTATTATCCTCATTTAGTTTCTTATAAAAAAGATAAGCTTTCTCCAAAATCCACCCATTGTGTCTGCTTAGGGTATAGTTCAATCTACAAAGGATATCGTTGTTTAGATCTTTTTAATGATCGGATTAATATCTCATGGCATGTTGTCTTTGATAAAAATTGGTTTCCTTTTGCAGAATATTTTGGTTTTATAGCTCATGGGATTTTTTTCTCATTCCATTGACTCTTTTACATCTCCTGAAGTTAGTTTCAAGTTATCTCTGCCTATACCTCCTACTATAATTGTGTCAAAACCATTACCAAATGCTTCAATTCAAAATACAACTAATTTTGAACTTGATACAAGTGTTTTGGCACCCTTTGCTCAACCATCATCTGAGCCATCCACTTCTCTTAGTTCTAGAACCATACATCCTATAGTTACTCAAAGTCGAGATGGTACTCAAAGGCCTAAAGTACTATACTCTTTATATGCTACAAATTATCCATCTTTTAAGTCAAAATCTTTCAAAGAAGGATGTCAAGATGAAAAATAGATTTTAGCTATGAATGATGAATATTATGCTTTGATGCAAAATAATTCTTGGTCTTTAGTGCCTTGTAATTTATCCATGAATGTTATTAGTTATCGTTGGATCTATAAAATCAAAGAATGAGCTGAAGGTACCATTGAACGGTATAAAAGCAAGATTAGTGGCCAAAGATTCACACAACTAAAAGGTATTGACTTTAACTCCACCTTTAGCCTTGTTATTAAGTCCACCACTATTTGAATTGTTCTCCATATTATTGTTAGTAGAGGATGGTCCATTAGGCAATTAAATGTCAAAAATATATTTTTACATGGCAAGTTGCATGAAAAAGTTTATATGACACAACCTCCAGGGTTTGTGGATCCTAATCATCCTCATCATGTTTGTAAATTATATCACTCTCTTTATGGTCTTTACCAAGCTCCACAAGCTTGGTTTCAGATATTTAGTTTTGCTTTTCATGCTTTTAGTTTCAAAAGCAGTCAAGCAGATCCTTCATGTTCATGTGGCATTCCTTATCTGACATAATGTTACTTTTACTTTATGTGGATGATATCATTCTTCATTGGCTCTTCATTAAATGTTATTCATTCATTTATTTCACAGCTTTTTTCATAATTTTCAATAAAAGATCTCATTGGTCTTCATTATTTTCTTGGCATAGAGGCACATCATACACCTAAACATTTATTGTTTACACAAACAAAATATGTTTTATTTTTATTGTCACGTTTAGGTATGGAAAATTGTAAACATACTTTTACTCTAATAACTACTAGTAAGAAGCTTTCTCTATATGATGAAACTTTACTTTCCAACCCATCACAAATCCCATCATTGTTAGAGCTTTACAATAACTTACCTTTACTAAACCTAACATTACCTATGCTGTGCAACAAGTTTGTCAATTTATGCATACATCTCATAATATTCACTTTCAGACTATGAAACGAATCTTGAGATATATTAAAGGAATTATCAATTGTGGTATTTGATTATTATCTTACACTATACCGAATTTGGTATGTTATATTGATGCTGATTGGGTTGATTGTTCAAACATTAGATGTTTTACAATGGATTACTGTATTTTTTTAGGTTCCAATCATGTTTCTTGATATACTAAAAAATAAGTTTTTATTGCTCAATCTAGTAATGAAGCAAAGTATATGGCTCTTTTTATAACTTATCGAGATATACTTTAGATTTCTTATGTATTGAATGAGGTTAGATTTCCTTTTGCACTACCTTGTTCTATATATTTTGATAATATGAATGCTACTCAATTTGTTACTAATCCAATCTTTCATGCTCACACAAAGCATATACAGACTTCTTATCACTTTGTTCATACCTTATTTGAAATTATTTTCTTCAAATCCCTTTTGTTTGTTCTCAATTACAACTAATTGATATATTTATCAAACGATTTTTTTTTTTCAAATTTTCATCCCTTTTAAGAATAAATTCTTGTGAAAGTTTTCTTTAATCACTTGAGGGGATATATTAAAATATATTGTTAATAATTATATATTTAATTATATATAAATATACTTATACATTTTCATGATATAAATGTCATAATTTTAAATGAGATAGAATAAAATATTATTTTTAACAAATTTGTTTCAATAATATCTAAAAAAACCAAATCGATCCGAAATTAAGGTGCATTATTTCAACGAGGCATTCAAACCTTGTCGAGACATGGAATTATTTTATGAGGAAGGGAAAAAAGGTGGGACCCTTTGCTTAATTCATTTACAAATGAAAGAATTGTTTCATGACTAATTGACGACTGGAAGAATTAAGCTCGTTTTTGAGTTTTTGACACTCTTAAAACCAAACCCCTGGCACCAGGCCGCCCATTTTGACAAGTGTCGAATCAGAGCACCTTTTGTTTCCTTAGTGACTGGTGCTCAGTCGAACACATCACCCCACTTACGAACATACACGTCATTTTCCAATTAAGTATTAGCAGTCAACAAAACAAGTAAATAAATTAATGAAATGCTTGGAAAAAGAAAATCCCAGCCGCCTTACGGTCGCCAATGGAATTAGCTTCAAATCATAATTAACTTCTTTTCAACTTGAGATTAACATTTCAAGATTATTAAAATTGAAAACAAGATTAGTACTAAAATAACCCTGATTTAGCTTTAACCGAACTGGTAGTAGTACTTGATTTCATGCTTTGATATCGAAACGAATGTGCCTAAGGAGCACTGGGATAACGATCTCAGGGGAGCTAAGCTGAGGAAGGTGACCATCGGATGTCATGACTTCAACGATGGATTCGCCACCCAGGTTTTGGTGTAAGTACTCGGACACGACGACCGGGACAGCCAAGTCTTTGACACTTTGGAGGATGTGACAAGGGACCGTGACAAGGCTGAGGAATTGTCTCATGTCGCTTTGGAATATGATTTGAGCCACGCTAAGGGCTATGTCAGGTCTCATGTTGAAGAGGGTACGGCTGAATTCTTGAACCGCCACGGATTCCAGGTCCCCTCCCACGGCTAGCGGTGCGAACCCTGAACACCAGGCTTTGTAGTTGGCTCCCATTGCATCGAAAAGTTGATCCAAGTCTTCTTGCTCAAATCCTCCATAGTAATTCACATCATTCAGATACCTAAAACAACATCAATAATAGAAATGGTTCAATTTTGGATATAAAAATAGATTTTTAACTAAAAAAATAACTTGAAACAAATGATTTAATATATCTTACGTCTCCCTGAAAGCTACTAGTATATGTATATATACATATATTTTACCTGGGGGAAGCAGAGATCATGATGATTTTGGAGAAGAGATCAGGGCGAGAAATGGAGGCGATGGCACCAATCATGGCAGAAACAGAATGACCAACAAGAATACAGGAATCAACCTGGAGCTCTTCAAGTATAGCAAGCAAATCATAAGCATAACCTTCAAGAGTAGCGTAACGATTGAAATCAAAGTATTCTGGGTTGGTAGTTCCAGCTCCCATGTTATCATACAAAACCACACGCAAATCCTCCACCAGGTGAGGAACTAAGTGCTTCCAAACCGACTGGTCGGTCCCAAATCCATGGGCCAAAACTATGACACCATCCCCTGCCCCCAAAACCTTCACGTTGTGAGCTTCTTCCACAATACCCATTATTTTTCTTCCCCAAAGCCGCCAATCCCAAATAAAGTGAATTATCTGTCACATGTGGGTTTATTTATATCTGTTACAATTGATTTCCGTGACGCTTCAAGGGCATTAATGGCTGGCGGTTCACAAAGACGATATTTTTCTTGGGATAAGGTTATTGGGTTTTTCTACAGTATCATTGGGCATAGAGTTACTGTTTTTAAATCATACGGTTGAGAGGGGTTTTGGAATGATCATGAACCTGTCATTAATGGTCGAACTAAACTGTTTCCAGACATCGACAGGTCCGGTTCCACACAAAATGGGCCTTTGGTAGATGGACCTGACAATGAGATCCAAAGTTTGATTGCAAGTGGTGGAAGAAAGTCCCATTCTCACTTTTTGTTTCTGTTTTTCTTTTTTTTGATTAGTTGTCATCAAATTTATAAAAAAAAAAAATTGTTTTAAAAATTATTAAAATTTTATCCAGTCATCCAAGAAAACAATTACTCACTTCGTCTCAATTTTTTTTGTCCATCTTGTTTTTGAGATATCTTAATATTATATTTTTTTAATATCCAAATTTTTTATATTTTAAAATTATTTTTACTTTTTAACATTAAAAATTAAAAATTTTTAATTTTATAAAAAAATTAAATTTAATATTAAATACATTAAAATCTTTTTTTTTTTTTTAATTTCGTAAAACTCAATACAAAACAAACACATAGGTACAAAGGGAATATAATTTTAATCTACCTATATTGTTTAAGGAAATTATCTAAGCTATAGTTCTTCTCATCACATGTTCTCCCTTCATTGCACAACTCTTCCGCCCTTTTATCGGTAAGAGCGAAAAATTTCATCACAGCACCCATTCATACCACTTTTGTTTCGTGCTTATAAATATAACAAACATCCAAATAATTTCCATATGGAATATTTAAAATTGTAAAAAAGAGTGATAATATATAAAATTGTAAAATTGCAAAAAAAGTTATAATATATAAATGAAATTAAGCATAATCATGTATTTAGATGATAGGAAATAATTCGAGTATTCATTGTGATACGTGGAAAACATGTAGAATTGTGTCAACAAATAATCATGTAATTTATTGATAAAGTGATTAAAATTTTTAGTTTAATGAGACACTATATTTCAATGATAAATTTTAATTTATTGCAATTTTAAATATATATAATAATAATATTTAATGAAAATTTGATTTAGTGGAAAGAAGAAGATTATAGAATGATTTTAAATTTAAATTTTATTGTTTATGATTTTGATTATTTAATTATATTTTAATTTATTAATTAATTATTTAATGATATATGAATATAATAATTAATTATAATTATAATTTTTTTTGTATTTGCAATTAAAAAAATACACAGTATAGAAAATTGTTTGAAAGAATTACATCATGTGAACGTATAATTTTTCATTCAAATTATATTATAGAGTTATATTATTTAAAAATTATTTATTTATTATTAATTAATTAAAAAAACAGTTGTTATTTAATTATTATATGTAATATATAATTAATAATTAATTTTTTAATAAGTATAGTTATATAATATAATTTAAATAAATATATATTAATATGGCTTAATTATTTCATTCTCATCTTTTCTCCAGCCACGGCACCCACGTCCCGTCGATTATGCCGCATGGCTAGGCGCTGTCAAGGTTATTCCATAACCAGAAAAAAAACAAAAAAAAAAAAAGAAACTGGAGCCAAATTCGTGGGTGGACCAGTGGCATCTATCTCTTTAATCCTTATCCTAGCGATATGAGGTGACTTCTACTTTACCTAACTTTAAAGGAACCCATTGTGAATGAGTATATATATATACATATATATATATATTTAACTGTTTAATTTAATGATTAAAATAATTTTATAAAAAATATTAAAATTAAAATTCGAATCTTAATTTTTTTTTTAATATAAGGCTCTACTCTCCCGATAAAAAAAATATATTTATAATATATTTATTTATTTTTAAATAAATTTTAATTTGATTTGCATAAAAAATTTATTTTGTTTATTTAAATAATAAATAATTTACTTTCGATTATTTTTGATTCAATTAAATTGAATAAATTTATTCATAAATATTAAATAAATATATTTATAAATATATATAAATGAACATATTTATAAATAATAAATAAATCAAAATTAAATAAATTTAAATAAATAAAATTTAAATGAATATAAATATATTTTAAAATAAAATAAAAATAAATAAATAAAAAATATAATATAATTTTATTAATATTATTACAAATAAATAATAAATAATAAATGAATAAATTTTAAACGAATATATTTATGAATATAAATAAATAAAATAAATTTTTATTTATATTTTATTTATTTAATAAATAAATTATTATTATTTAAAATTATTTATTAAATTTAAAAAATAAATATAAAAAATTAAAAACTAATCATTTGATGAACAGTTCATCCAAATCTCTTTTTATATACAACCGAAAAGGAGTAGCGCTGATGTAAAGGGGCTTGGACTTTGAAGCTCCCGTTTTTCAACGGCACACCAGCCACTTGTTTCAATCAGCTGGTCCTGCAAAGTTAACACTTTTAAAGGTTTTCACCTTTTGTGGCTTTTTCCCGGTTTCCCTTCTCCTTTTCACTTTTTGTTTTTTATTCCCTCGGAGAGCCTTTTCTTGGACAATAACGTATAGCTGTTAGTTAAAGCTCCAACTAATTCATGGCCGACATATCCCACCAATTAATCGTGTTCTGTCCTGCTGACTAATTAATCAACAATCAAGTTATAAGATAAAACTTGTTTTTCTGGGAAAGAAAAAAGATGGTGTGTCCTCAAGAGAACCACATAACAAAAGTTGATTTACTTCGGGAAGGAAGATGTAATTGTCTCCCCAAAAGCCATGGAAGGAATCAGGGAAATCATATTAACACTACCGGAAGAGAATGGCTGGAGACTGGAGAGGTTTCCAGCCTTTCCGCTTATTCCAAGGCTTTTGGTGTTACCCCATATCGCCTGGAAAGTATCATGCTAGCTCAAGAATGCTTCAAGGCTGAATCAAGTTGTATCATTGTTTGCAGCACTCCAAAGAGAGGCATCGCCTGGATTAAGGCACTTACTTTTTACGTTGTTACATTTTTACTGTTTAAAGGGCCGCATGATTGGCATAGACCCAAAGGATACACTTGTTTCCTTGTTTCTTTTTGCAGCAAGGAAAATAAACCCATTTATACGTAGGAGGCTTTGGAGCTGTCTTGTGAAGGCAAATGCTAGTGACAACGATTCGTTTAGGAAAAACAAGGTTGGAGACTGGCGCAACTACCTGACACCCCATATGGCAAATGGCCTCGACAGGATAACTGAACAGAAGCTGAAAGGATCTGTCTTGACTTTCGATAGCTCATAAATCAGTGATAGGCAATTAATAACAACAAGATATGCATTTTCAGTCTGCATTCTCACTATTCCAAAAGTGAACTAGACCTTTGCCTCATGTTAACTTGTTAAGCGCCATAAGCGGCAAATATATATATATATATATATATATATATAATTTTCTATTTGTGAAAGCTTTTGCTAGATTTGGATGGTATTAATTGCATCTTTCAATACATAGTTGTTGGAAATTGTTGGTTTTTGTTTCTAAAAACATAGTCGTATATGATAAGGATTAGATGGACTGATGAATGGTTAGCACGAGACTTTTAGCTGTTAGAATTTGGAATTCTTATTTGTTGTCAATTTCCAATCTTGAAAAAGAAGGGATGAAATTTATGAGACGCACGGGAGAACAGACATATTTTATTGTGTAAACAAAAGGTGACTAGTGCTCATGCATCCTGTTGGGCTTAGTTTTCTCCGCGCGGAGGTGATTTAAAATTAAAGCTCATTTATCATAGACTTTTTAGTTGTTTTAGGTTTGGTTATAGGGTTTTAAACGCTTATATAATTAAAAAAAAAAAAGATAAAAGAGTGTGATGGCAAAATAGAGAAAAAAAAAAGAGAAAAGAGGATTTTGTGTAATTTCAATCAAATAGTTTGATCGAAGTTAATTCATTGTTCGATTGAGCTAAAATTTTATTAGTGTGTTCACGACTAATTGTTCTTTAGTTTAAATGGTAAATATCAAGTTTCAAGTTTTTTACCTACTGATTTTATATGTATTTGTTAATCCTTACATTTACTGAGACTTTTCTAATTTTCTTTTGTAATATTATTTCTTTATAAGATTATTTAATCTTGAGATATTGTGATTGTATATCTCTAGTTCTAGCTAGAGAGAATTTTATATTTTCATTATTTTAATAGTAGAAATTATTTGTTGCTGCCTGTGATTTTTACTCCTTGTTTTATTGAGGTTTTTTACGTAAATTGCTTGTGCTTTTGTGCTTGCGGTTTGGTGATTTATTTGTTAGCTCTATTTATTTGATTCCTATTAGATTCACATATGAAAGTGATAATTTGATTTTTTTCGCTACGTGAGATATTCGATTTGAATATTATTTGATGTTCTTGTGCTTGAGCTTTGATAATACAACTAAGCTTTGGCACAAATGACTTAGTCACATAAGCGAGAAAGGTTTGAAGGTTTTGGCCAAGAAAAATCTTTTTTCTGGAGTAAAGAATATATCCTTGAAAAAGTGTGATTATTGCTTGGCAAGGAAACAAATAAGAGTTACATTCAAGACATCCCCTCCATCAAGAAAGCCAAGTATACTTAATTTAGTATATTTTAATGTTTGTGGTCTTATAAGAATGAAAACACTTGATAGTTTCATCTATTTTATGACTTTTATAGATGATCATTCAAGGAAGATATGAGCTTATACCTTGAAATCAAAAGACCAAGTGTTAGATGTATTTAAACAATTTCATGTTTTAGTTTAAAGACAAACAAGATTGAAATTGAAATGCATAAGGACTGATAATAATGGTGAGTACACTGAACTTTTTGATAAGTATTGTAGACAGTAGGGAATTAGACATCAAAGATTACCTCTTAAAACTCCTCAGTTGAATGGGTTAGCTGAGAGGATAAGCATGACACTAATGAAAATAGTGAGATGTTTGCTTTCATAGGTACAATTATCAAAATCTTTTTAGGGTGAGGCTTAAGCATAGTTGTACATGTTTTGAATCTCTCACTATGTGTTCTTTTAGATTTTGATGTTTCAGATAGAATTTGATTAGGCAATGATGTGTCCTATGATCACTTACACACCTTTGGATGTAAGGCTTTTGTGCATATTTCCAAAGATTAGAGATCCAAGCTTGATGTCAAGACTAGACTGTGTGTGTTCCTTGATTATGGCCATGATGAGTTTGGGTACAAATTTTATGATCCAATGTAGAAGAAACTTATGAGAAGTAGGGATGTTATTTTTTGTTAAAAATCAAACCTTTTAAGATATTCATAAGACTGATACATTAGTTTCATGATACAATGATGATTTGATTGATTTAGATCTAGTTTCTCTAACACATGTGCCTATAGGGTTGAATATGTTGAGGATAACCAATACAATACAGGTGATGTTGATATCAGTCTTACACAGGTTGAGGTAGGTGATGATACTTATGAATAGTCACTAGTATCAGAGGTTCAACTAGAGGTTTTACCAGAAGTTTCACTCATGAGGTCTATTAGAGATCGACAACCTTCCATATGGTATTTTGGTTGTGAGTATGTGCTACTAATTGACGAAAAAGAACCCAAATGTTATGCAGAGGCCATGAAAGATGAACACAAAAAAAAAAAAAGGTTAATGCCATGCAAGATGAGATGAAGTCTTTGCATGATAATAATACTTTTAAGTTGGTAAAGCTACCAAAAAAAAAGCTTGAAGTTTATCATTCAATCATCGGAATGGTGATTCCCTTTACATAGTCGAAAATGAGGAGATTTGTTGGGCTTAGTTTCCTCTATGTAGAGATGGCCTAAAACTAAATCCTATTCACTAAAGATTTTTTTAGTTATTTTATGCTTAGTTATATGGTTTTAAACCCTTATATGGCTGAAAAGAGAAACAAGAGAGTGTGGCGGCAAAATAGTGAAAAGAAAAAGAAGAAAAAAAAGTTTTGTGTAGTTCCGGTCAAGTAGTTTGATTGAGGTCAATTTGTTGTTGATTGAGTTGAAATTTTATCAATGTGTTTACGGCTTATTGTTCTTTAGTCTAAACGGGGGAGATCAAATTTCTAGTTTTTTACCTACCAATTTCGTGGGTATTTATTAATCTTTAAATTTATTGAAACTTCTCAAATTTTCTCTTACAAGATTGTTTAATCTTGAGATATTGTGATTATATTGTAACGTTTCAATCCCACATTGGGATGTTTGAAGATTTACTATGATATATAAGTAGAGGCTTAAACCTAAACTTGTGAGACACCTTTTGTAGATATATATGCCACTAGATCTAAATTCCTTCTAGATCTACTTATATATGCACTAGATCTAAATTCCTTCTAGATCCACCAATAGTCATAGCCAACAACCCTATAATTGCAGATGGATTTATTATTCGTGGAGTCAAGGGAGATGCATCCATAGAGCCCTAAAGTCTTCCATAGGGTGCATCATAAATCATGTAATCAATTGTCACTTCTTGCACCCCAACAAGGCAACAACATCCAAAATTTAACTAATTTCTTGCGATCCAACAAACAAAAACATCCAAAGCTATAAAAAATAAAATGCAATGTCCCCTTCGGAGAAGGCATCAATTCTTGGTTTCTGTCATACCTGGGTAAAACGCATTTCTTGCATTGAGTAAAGTCTAGCCACGTATACATCTAGATACTAATCCACCAAGGGATGACTGGCATGTAAATTATAAATAGAAAACATTGTTTAGAAACAAATTTCCCTATTTTGCCTGTGTATTATCTTACAGAATAAAATAACAAATGGTATGCATAGGTAATTCCATATAAAAGAGGAAACTATTTAAGATGACCAAGAAAAACCCAAGCTGGGAAGTGAGGAGCAGCTTCAATTTAGCACCTCTAAAAGACACAGAATTATGTACAGCAACCTCCAAGGATCATTATTTCAAAATCCCATTTTCTTCTGATCAGGACCGGTTCAACCTGATATATCATTTCATTCACTAGACAAGAGAGCACCCCTTGTCCTGGTTGTGCTGTTTAGTGAACAGGATGGAATGCGTCATCTGCTTCATTGGCATTAAGAGAGAAGATATCAACAGGGGCGCTAGTGCAGTCAATAAAATTGTGATCCTTGAATCTACCATTAGAAGATCCCAAAGGATGATCCAAGTATATCACTATAACAGTGATATCATCGTGGAAATGGCGTCTTGCTCCTTTTTTAATTCTCTTAATATCATCATATCTCATTTCTCTTTTCTTTGCAGCCTCCTGAAGTGCAGCTCTTAGCAATCGCTTTGCTATTCCCTATGAAAGAAGGATATATCATCATCACCATTATCATCACATTGCATAATATTTAATGATTTGAGACCATGTATATTAACAGTGAAAGTGACTGATAAAGTTACAAACGAGAAGTGCATGAAACTATTTATTAGGATGGAGCCATACTGCTCTAGGACTTTTCAAAACAATCTCACAAGCTGCTTGATCACTTAATTGCTCCCAAAGACCATCTGATGCAAATATCAAGAACAAGTCCTGAGGCTTCAGCTTCCGAATTAATATAGAAGGCTCTGCTGTCATTACAGGTCTTTTCAAAGGAATTGGGAATCCAAACTGGTGAAATAGAGGATCCCTGTTGAACTCAGGTTTCTTCAGATATATATCACCAATCGATCTTGAGACCTAAAAGGAAGAAGAGTTTTAGTTAAAGCCTCCTAACTCAGATGGTGCATATTCCAGGGATGATATCAGAATCAGACTATCAACTTGAAGGAAAGAAAAGCACATTCACCGTCATAAAGTTGTACTAGAGCAACAGATACCATGTGACTCTTTTCATTCTACAAGAATGGTCCCAAAGTAGAATTGGAGAAACCATTTTTGTTTTCAGTTCTAGACTGAAATTTATTTCTGACTCATAGTGCTACAAATTGTGTTAGCAAAGTGAATGCACGGAAGTCACAAGCAGCAGCAGCTATACAATATAAATGTCCGTTCACCAGTTATTATAGATATGTACCATCACAAGACAATACATTCAAGGTTGTGATTCACCTATACCTCACCATTCACTCTTTGAATTCATTACACCTAATATATCAGATGAGAGAGCAACAGTGCCGGAACAGGTGGAATGTGATATGCAGAGAAAGAATAAATACAGATGCGACTCAAAGAAATTGCGTTTGAAGATTTCCTAATGCACTTCTATAGGATAGGAATATAATCATTTGGATAATAAACTTCTAAATGACACATATAACTGATTCAAGGGCTACCACAGAATAAAGAATAGAATATCATGCCTTCTATCATAAACCAAAGCTATATTTTGCTCTTCCTTTTTAGTTCAGATGAAATAATCTTTTGCTTTCCAGGAATAACTATAAATTAAAATACTCGAAAAATAATATTAAACACGAAAAGAAAATTTTATCTGGGAGATTCATAAATTACTGCAATGAAAACAAAGACGCAAGCAGTGGAAGACAAGAGGAATATTGAAATGGCAAAATGTTTTGGGTGCATTGGCACCACATCTATGAGTTTGAGCATAAAGCTTAGATTTTCTCCAATAATTTTCAACTTTTTAAATGTCAGAAAATCTCAAACCTTTATAGCCATTTTAATGCTCATAGGAAGGTGAAGAAAGTGTGCATCTATCAAATATCAAAAGAAGATTTAGATGCCTGATTGATCTATTGGCGTATCATAATATTCAAAGAAACAATTAGAAACTACATGATAGACCCAAGAAAAAGGCTAAACATTCGACTAAGAAAGTGAAGTCAATTTGTAATATGAAAGAGACTTCGGTAACCATAAAAGGGTTCTGAAGATCTACATATCTGCAAAAATGCCTAGATAATTTATCACAGAAAGGTTCATTTCTTCAATATAGAAATGGTGGTAACCCCACATTTTAATTGGTGTGTAGAGCATAACATAAGGAATTAGGAGCACATAAGTTGCCATTTGAATTGCAGATTCCTGACGAAGCAGCGTAGTAGGAACATAAAATTTCACCAGGATATCACAAAATGGATCAAATGCTCATAAAGTTGCAAAGTCAAATGCTAATAAAAATTTCAACATTAACCAGAAATGCAGATTTGCATTTGCTATTGGGGCAACTTGTTAAAACTAATATCTACAACCATACAAATTTATAGTATTATAACAACAGAAGATCGAAAACTGTGAACCACTAAGACAGTTAACTGAAGAAACCAAGAAGAATACAGAAATTTGTACCTGAATTATGCCCTTTATCCGCCAAACTCCATGGTTATACACTACAATGTGAGAATCATCAGGGTGGAGTGCTACAACCTCCTTCCTCACCTCTTCAACACCAACATTATGATCAGTTGATAACCTTTCTGCCACCACCTGATTATTAGTGCCATTTGGGGACACTCTCCGGCCAAGCACTGCCCTCGAGTCTCCCAGATTAGCCACATATAAAACATCATTAGCAATGGCCCCAACAAGACAGCAGGAACCAACTGAAGCAATCTGTGGTCTAGCTGGCCATGATCGCTTCACTAAGTGCAAAAACTCCTCCTCAGTAGCATCAAACGCCTTCTTTATTACTTCTGCTGACAACCCTCCATGCTCTGATGCAAACTCTACCATAATTGAACCAGCAAAAAAAATGAACTTTTGTTTCTTTATATAATTGACAAGAGCTATGAATTAACCAAAATTTTGTTTACTTTGGTTTATAGCAAATGTTATTTTGGAATCAGATTATATTTTAGCATTAGTTTCTTTTTCTTTTTATTCTATCCTAAACATTCTAACCAGTTCAAAATCTAAAAAAATAATCCCAAGAAACATGCACTTACTATGAAGAAAAGGAAACAAGTGGTGAGTGATGAAACGGGAAGCCTCAGGTCCGCCATGACCATCGTAGACGCCAACATATGTGGCGGAAGGGGAAGTAAACACCTGTCCTTGATCCTCCAAGGAAGAATTCGCTTGCACAACTGCTATGGAGTAATCTCCTGAAGCGTGTGGCTTCAACTCCATATGCCACAACAGCCCATCTCCTCCGCCTCCTCCTCCAAAGCACTTCTCCAATGGCCTTGTGCACATCTCCAACATCCTTTTTGACTGTTAGAAAACTTGTTGAACTTCACGATAAAAAAAAGGTTGTCCCAATAATAAATAATGGGGAATTTCTTTTCCAGGGGAAAACTGCAGGGTTTGCAAGGAATTTTTCCAGGAAATTTTAAAGGGGGTGCAGCTGTGAAATGTGTGATATATAATGGAATATATTATTCCTTTGTTTTTGTTGATATTGGTATGTTGTGGGAGTTTCAAACAGGACAGGAGGATGGTCGAAAACTCCTGGTCCAAACTGGAATGGTTCAAAGTAAACGGTTAAGCAAACAAGAAAAGAAGGGAAAGAAAGAAAAAGAGGAGAGGAATTGACGTTGATGTTGGAAAACTTATCCAGTGCATGGCAGCTAGTTAGAATCCAATTCTTTAACAACGAACGCGCGTTGTATCCAAATCAGCCCTCAATCTTCTGCTTAAATTCTTCTCGAAGCCGTGAAGCTCACGTTTACGCTTTGCCATTTTGTTCCATTGAAAAATTAGATACCTACAAATTCAAACTCTCTGAAGAATTTAGTCCTGTTTTTTTCCTTATTTTAATTCCTTCACTGTTTAGTAGCCATGGGAGATGTATGAACCCAATTTTTGTTTAGTGCGGCTTGGAACAAATCATACTGTATCTTTTAGCTGTAAGTATAGTAGAGCTTTTCTTCTTACAAAGGTTTGATGTGTTGCTATGGGAGAAAATAAAAGAGAAAAATACATTGCAAGTGAGAATATACCTTGCAATTGCATGATTACAAGAGAGAATAGGCAAAGCTAAGCAAAATTTTAAGGTTTGTAAACAGCTGGCGGTTGTTGAAACCTCAGGTTCAGGGTTTTTTTTTTTTTTTTTATGAATTCTGTTTGTATCTTTACAAGGTAGCTTTGAACAAAATTTGAATTTAAATGATTTTTTTTTATTTTGAAACTATCATTTCTTTGGGAAAAAAATGATAAAATCAAACTGATTTTTCCATCTTTGCATCATGTAATCACGCTGAAAAAGTTTCAAGGATTTTTTTATACCAGTAGAACAAGCTTTTTCTAATCGCCAATTGATTGATTTGAAAGTTGATTTCCTTTTAATTTCCACTGAAAGTGGCGATATTTGGTATTGTTAGTAATGGGAGAAAAAGGAAGAAAAAATAGGTATCACCACTCACCCTTTGATAAAATCAATGGACAGGAACAAAGAATAAAAAAAAAAAAAAGATTTCACCATTTTTTTTCAACAAGGCCTGGTCACTTGACTTTCAAGGTCTCAATTTTTGCCTTATTATGTGAATTATAATCAGAACAAGAAATTCATTGCCGTACCTGACACTCACAATCTCACATTCTTATGGCAATGTCTGAAAACATATCACTAAACTCTTACCCCAAAGTCAAACAGTTTACACTTGTAAGAAACACACGTAACATTTTGATTCTCATGAAGGATGTTTTATAAGAGTAAGATTTAATTCCTTGCCGAAATGGGGAAAACAATAAAGAAATCTGATAACACTCCATTTTGTTGAAAACACTTGAAGTTTGTCGGCAGTGGAAAGTGACGTACCATCTTAATTACCTTGTAATGTGTTTTATTATTTTTTATGCTGCTTTTGATGAACAACCAAATGTGGGTGACATAAAGAAGCTAAAAAAAAATCCTGGGTCTAATTAAATTCTTCAAATGCATGCCATTAAAATTTCAAGACAAGATCTTGTAGTTGAACAAGATTGGTGTCTTGTTGGAATCGTTTTGAAAATTTTAAGTTACTGTTTTTTAAAGTTCTTGAATACGTTTGGTTGATCAATTTCGTTGGTCTCTTTGGTCTGCTACTTGCAGCTGCCATTTTTAAGTGTGTTTTGTGGCTGGCTAGTAAGATTGCCATGCTTTATTCTTCAGTTTATTTGACTTTGTTCACAAAAAACAGTATATGATCTCTTACTTGAACAAATTAAAATCCCCCTTTAACAAATAAAAACAAAGCAAATAAGAAATGGTTTTTCATGGATTAGGCCTTGCTTTAGTTTCCAAGCTAGTTGGGCCAACTTGGCCTGATACTTCAATGTTGTAGAGTTGATAGGAATCAGATTTCCTTGCGCACCAACAATAACTTCACATCAAAATATGCCCACTTGAGCCACGGTCCAATGAATCATTGTTGTCTATCACGCACCATGTTTGGAATGAACTGAAATCATCATAGATTCAATAATTAGAAAACTCTCCACTTTTCCAATAATCAGTTAGGTATATTTCTTTTGCCGATAGGAGGGCCCAACATGCATTGTTGTGGATAAGCATTCTTTGGTTGAGCAAGCAGCTTTCTTGGCTATCCGGAGCAAGATCAAACCTCTCATCATCAAAAGAACAAAATGGGATTGAAATTGAAAGAGATATTATCCAAATTCCTTCCTTCCATGTTTTACTTTTGCTTTTCTTTTGGATTGCATGTTTTCAATTTCTTTTTTTTTCCCTTTATCTGTGTGCTTCTCTGTTTCATTGCGGTTGTATGCTTTAGTGACAGTCACGAATTGCGGTTTCAATGTCCTGTTAAAGTTGACACTTCAATCATTCTCCACAACCATCGCCATATTTGTTCATGCTCATCATTTCCCACCCATCTTTTCAATCATCAATTATTCACATATCAGAAACGTGAATGGACAAATATAATCAAAAGAAAATTCAATAATTAACTTCAAATCTCTCAAGAGACAGTGAGAGATTTTCTACATACATAGTCTGCACTTTGAAGTATTTCAATATGCTATAATGTAAAAAATAACGAAAACTTAAACCAAAAAAAGAAAAAAAAAGTTGATAATGATGAAAGAAATGAAAAAGGGTAGCATGCGAGGGATTGTTCATGGGTCTTTGCTTAGGCCTCATCAACATAGCTTGCATGTGAAACTGAAAGCTCCTTTAACCATTCAAACGTTCGATGACGTGATAAAGCTTGCTTTCCTTCTTGCTTCTTCTTTTCTTTCTGTTTCATCTTCTTGTTTATCTTCAATTCTTGCAGCAGCTTCTTCTTCTTCTTAGCTTCCATGGCGAAATGCAACATTGCTTTCTTTTTCTCATTGTTCTTGTTACTTTTGATGACTACTGTGTTGTTCAATGGAACCGTTTCAACTGCATTAACTGAACACTTACATCCACCAAACAACCCTATTCTCTTTTCTAAGAAACCCTTGTTTAAATCTAGCTGATTCTTTGCAACTTCAGTACCACTGTTGCTAACAATCTTGCTGGTGCTGTTCTTGGTGCTTGAACTGCTGTTACTGCTATTGCAACTGCTGTTTCTGCTGACAGAGTTTCTATTACCGTTATTGTTGTTGCTACGAACTTTCAAGTCTTGCAATCCAAGTTCTGGTGCTCGAACCAAACCTAACCTGAAAAAATCCCACATTGATGATTTCTGGTTTCGGCTGCTGACATTGACTGGCCGAGTTTTGGACAATCTTATCTGGGGTTTGGGACTTGGATGTGTGTTGAAGTTGTTTCTGATTTTAATTGGCTTTGACTTGGTATTGGAATTGGAACTGGAATTGGTAATTGAATTGAAATTTCTTGCTGTAACCGTGGAGGAATTATTGCTACTTGCTGAGTAATGACTACTTCTAGTGCTGCTGCTTCTGCTACTGCTACTAACACTTGTGAACCTGCTTAATGAACCATGGTCCATGGACTCTGACCTTGACAAGCACCGGCTAGTGTTTTGGCTATCTTGGCGGCACCTTGTCAGGCCGCTGTCTGAACTAACTGAGAGACGCAGGGGTAGAATTTGGCCTTTAAAAAACACTTCATCAGCTGAACACATTTCTGGTTCTGTTGAAAGAGAGCCACCCCATGAGCCAAAGTTGAAATCTTCTTCTGTTTTAATTGCTTGGGATTCACCATCTTCCTCATTCCTTGGTTGGACTTGGTTCTCTTCTTCAATCAAATTGACTGGCAGATCACACAATGACAATGCTTCTTCTTCTTCTTCAGCTTCCCATTTTTCTTCATCAACACAACTAATTGCGGTACTCTTCATGGCTTGAAAGTTAATACAAACTGAAACTTTTGAAATTCAAACACTGTTTGGGTCCTCCTCGGATGTAGCAAAGGGTGCAAAAGTTGGATTTATATAGCAAGAACAAAGTAATTTTGAATTGCGGAGAGAGAAAGAGAAGGGGGGAGAAATAGGGAGACAAGTGGAATATAAACAATTATAAGCTACTGCAAAAGGAGCAATAAAGAAACAATAGAAAATGCCATAAGTCAGTGCAGGCGAAGCAAACAGGGTCTCTTCCTTGTTTGGGAGTAAAAGAAAGTGAGGGGCTCTAGGCTGGCCATTAGCCAGCCAAGCTAGTATTTATGCACTCTCATTTTCATCAATACTCTCGTGGAGGACAAATGGGGGGTTAGATTTTGTGCTCTAGTGGGGCTAAAGCTAAAGACTATTGGCATGCAAAATTTTTCCAAATTTTGGAAAGAAAAAAACATGAAATAGTTAAAAATAGAATCTTAGGTTAATTCACAGTGTCAATTGTCTTTTGGGCAGCAAAGCAAGCTCTAGGATTCCATCTTATGAATGGAATTCTTTTGGGTCTATTCAAGAAAAGAAAAGTTGAACTGTTGATAATGGCATATATATTGTTGAGATGGAGACTAATAGAGACTAGAGACAGGAGGGTTGGTGTTGTTTTTATTTTACAAAAAAAGAAATGGGTGTGTAACTTTTTAGAGTCGGTGGCCTTGGGTTTGGTTTTATGGGGTAGATTGTGATTTATGTGGTGCAAAATGGAGCTCTAAAGATTTTGAATGTTCATGGCAACGGGGTGACCTTTCATGGATGAATAGGACTCATTGGGTCTTTTTTTTTTTTTTTTACTTCGTTCTAGAAAGGTGTTTTTGCCTTCGCTGATCAAGCAGGAAAGGAACGACATGTATTTTTCATTGTATACGAGAAAGTTTTTTTGTAAAATGTGGAAAAAAAAAAACAGGAGATTTAAGGTCATGGACCACTTTAAATTTGATTTTACTTTGAAAAATGAAAGGCTGAAGTTTCCGGATTGGCATTGACAGTAGCCAACATATCTGTTTGTTTGTGTTTTGGTTGTGAAAAAAACAGGTCCAGAAACATCTTCTGTTGAAATTTCCTTTGTGTTGCCATAACTTTACAGTGATTTTTTAAAACTGAAATTGAAAAGATTCTGCATTGATCATGGAGTTTTGATATGGTATTCATTTTCATTTGTTCAATACTTAATGAGTTCTTATGGAGAGATTAATTGAATTTGTTTATCACCCAAGAGTAGAGTTGTGCCTAAAAAAGAATAAAGAGTTGGCTTACAAAATTCCGAAAATTGATTAAAAGAGTAAAGGTTTGTGGGCTTATCAGTCATCTCCCGTTGGGTATGCTAAAGTAAACAAAAGTAATCTTGGTAAAAATTATAATTAAAGATAAAATAGCTTATTTATGACTTCATCACTTCAACCATCCCGATGGGATTGAAATTTTCTCTATTTTCTTCTGTCTTTCCTTTTCAGTTCTTGTTGGATTTAGTTTCTTTCTTGTTCCTTTAGATTTTTCTAATGGCTTTAAATAATTGGAGAAGATTTTGGCATTTAAATCTTCTACAGGTACAATTTTCAAAGCAAATTGACCATATAAAAATTCAAAGTGACCAATATGCAATCTAACTACTTGCGTAGATCTTCCCATTTGCAGTACTGCCCTCCTGCTAATGCACGATAAAATCTATCCCTGCAGTAGACTGGTCTTCCAGCACCAGCCTCTGCAGCAGCTGCTGCTAGATCATCATCAGTCATAACCTCCACTGGCAGTCGAAGCAACTCTTCTTTTCTACAATATACATGGAAATGTTGTGAGAATGGCAGAAAACCTTGAGAATTTGAATTATCTGCTGATCTTCATATGCCCATGTACCTTATATTGAGCTTTGTGTTGGGTTTTGAAGCAACAACATTTGATGGGTTGTCCTTTGTGGCAAAGGCTGTTTTAAAAAAATCCTCTACTGGCGTCGCAAAGATAAATAGAAATACTGCTGTAACAAGTACGACTCCTGTTCCAACTAGTGTCTGTTTCAACAACTTGATAACTGGTTTAACCTGGAGGCAAAAAATTTTTTATGTGAAACTTGCATGCCTTTTTCATAAGCACAACTTTTTCTGCTTGCTATATACTACAATGACTAAGTTGTTTGCATATGTTAGTACCTTATAAGAGCCCAACAATCTGTCACGAGCCAGGACCTGCCAAGGAAAAAGGAATTATGGATATCAATGTAGTGCATGAAATGGTATCTGCATGATGAAGAATATTTCATTCTTGTTGTTTTAGTTCAATTGATTTCAACGAGCAACTCTAATTGGCTGTGCTTGAAACTTGAGTTTCTCGAAAATTTCAATCTTTTACATACATTAGGCAGAGTGTTTAGGTTTTTTAGTATTTGGACTATGCTTTCTGTTTCAGATCTAGACATTTCAATGAGCCACTTTTCTATGAACCATCGGGGAATTGTTGGCTGCCCTTGGAACTTAATTCAATCTTAGCAAGGTGGTCCATTTCACTTGATTTCCAATATTGAATGCTCAATACTAAATAATTATTCTTGCTTTGGAAACTTATAGCAGCTTGTGGCAAAAAAAAAAAAAGAAGGAAACTTAGAGCAGCTGTTAAGAATAACTACGGGCTTCTGTCCTTGGTTGTTCCTTTGCTCCTCTCCTGACAAGAAAGAAAGAAAGAACGAAACAATATGTACTAACCTCGGGTGGTTTTACCCACATTTGACCATCATACCATCCGGTCTCTTCATATGGTATTACTGCTGATAGAAGTCTATCGCCAACATAACTCCATCCCTGCAACACGCTGAACATTAACGTTTTAAAGTTCCAAAGAAATTGATGCTTGAAGCTTTGGAATTATGGATAATTAACAATAACTGTATATGGTTGCTACAAAGGACAAGCTGTATCTTAAATTAATTCTTTTGTTGTTTCATTTCTGAGAAGTTTTGTGGTGCTGAGCTTGTGCAATCATCTAGCATTATGACATTTTTTGTTAAATTGCTTAATGATTATTCTAAATGTAGCCTCTCAAATGAATTCAATTGTATTATGCTTTTGTTCTTACAGCTAATTGGCATGTTAGACATTTTGATTCCATGTCTCCAATCAAGGAAAGACTTGAATAGACCTGAGGCTCCAATATTATCAGGATATATTTTCTGTTCTTACATATGCATAGCATACACAATCATATATCCCCAAAATGATTCACAAATGGCCATGACAGAAACATCCTTATTTACCACAGCAACAAAATAGTTAAACCTGAAAAGAAGACAGTCATACCAGATAAATTCTTAATACAATTAGTGACATGAGGAAAAGAGTTCCTGTTCCAGCAGCAAGCACAAATCTTAAAGGTTCCTGCAAGGTGTGAATTAGAATGTTAAGTGGCAAACTTTTTCTGGGATTGAAAATATGTAGCTTGTCATAAATTTAGTATTCTCTTGATTGCTTGTGTGAAATCTTTGAATGAATTTTCAAATTTATGTATGGCCCTTTGGTCCAGTGGAGTGATCATGTATTTATTTGTTAAAAGGTGGGTGGTAATGGGTACAAGGTTCAAATCCTTTATCTCCATTTGATCCCATCATAGAAGTAATAGAACCCTCATCAGTAGTTTTTAAGTATAATTTGGCATTAATTCTTTTATGCATTATTGAGACATTATTTATGCAAATGGTGATAATGGAATGGTTTCTGCACCAGTTCCTCTGCTCTTAGACTTACCCTCAAAGGATTAAAGCTTGCAGCTGCTATTGGGACTCCAAGAACTGTGAAAGTTACTAGCCAGAGCCCTCCTAGACGAAGGAAAAATTGCCCCGGTCCCAGTTCGCCCCACGAATACAGAGGTCCATCTTTCAGAGACGAGTACTCGTTCACCTATTTCAGGAACAGATGATTGTAAGTATGAATTAGAAATGCATTGATTATCATATAGCCTACAAGAATGTTACATCCGAATCAGAATCCATGTATGCCTGGCAAATCACTTGCTTTTTTATGCTTTACATTATTCTTTTCTCGTATGCTAAAGCCGGTAGAACTTTCAGTGTTCAATAATGATCATATGTTGTCTGCTAAGCTATGATAACATAAATATCTATGTTTTTAATCTCGGCAATGAACATCATATGAAGAAAGTTAACATAAATATCTGTGTTTTTAATCTCAGCAAGTGAACATCATATGAAGAAAGTTTCGGTTTGAACATACCGGCCTTTGTTCAAAAGGGACCACAATTTCCAAGCCAGGTTCCCAGCTCCGGCCTGGAAAGCCACTGCTCATACCGTCGTCCATCTCATCTTTTAACGCCCTGACAGATACCCCCCGAGGAAGCTTCTGTCGGTTATGATACGTAGTTAAGCATGAACCATAGCTGCTCCCAAGCTTGATATGTCTTGGACTGGGAACACTTGGAGAACAATAAACATTTAATCTAAGCATCTATTGTCCGAAGTAGAAGCAGCCAACTAATCTGTTAAGTATGTTTTACGAACAGGAAGAGAGCAGGAACAAATGATTGTTGAGTTCACTGCTTAAAAGGGCATGGATTAGATTCATTTGGGTCTTTTCCGTGGAGCAGAAACAACGATACAAATGCTTTTGTCTTCTTTCATTGATGATTCTTTTACGTGGATGAAACCGATAATCACGAAATAAACAACTGCCAATATTTTTTGTGGTCCAAGAAGGAGAGTTTGGAAGCGTAGCTTGAAGCACTGTGGCAATTGTTGCCTTGCACGCTATTTTTGTGTGCAATCCTCGTGTTTCCACGAGCGAGAGTGAGATTGTGAGAGCGATGGATCTAGGATTTTCTCCCTTATGGGCTGCGGCCTTTGGAAAAAAGAAAATTCAATTTGGGTTTTCTTACATTTCTAATCTTCTGCAACTGCCCAAATATTTGACCTCACAAAGGTAACTCTCATCAGCAATTTCGTCGGCTTTTATTTTCTTTTGAACATTGATATATTTTCACTTTCAGCCATGGAATCAACCAATATTGGCTTGTGGGTCAAAGTCGAATGAGAGTCTTTTCGTTTGTTTTTTCGTAACCTAAAGTTTACATCATGGCTGTCTTCACTCTTTGATAACACCTAATCAACGTGCCGAACATAGATTTAGTTTCTAATTTTTTTTATTTACCATTAAAAAGTAGTTAAAGATTAACATTAAATTATTTTTAAAATAATGTCAACATAAGTTAGTCTTCAAATTTGAAGTTCAAAATCAAATGGGAAAAACATACAATTAAAGAAGTTTTTTCTTTACATATCATTTTCCATGATTCATGCTAAAACACCAATAAATCCAAATCAGGTGTTGAAAATTTCCCCTTTAATATATATTTTTTATATTTAAAATTATCAAAATTTAAATTATAATCGTTTAAAATTAAAAGTCTAACATTAGAACAGGTCATATATCTGATTACGTTTTAATTTCATTCACCTTATCAAATCCATCACTTTTTGGAAACTCACTTAATTCTGATTCTGCCTCCTTTTTAGTTGTTATGATCATACCTTACCCGCAAAGAAGCAATAGCAGATTATTATAAACAAAGTAGAGTTTATCTTAACTGGCTTTCAACATTTCAGCGCTTTTGTTTTCTTTCTTTGATTTTTAATTCTCTTTGTAGTGATTAAGTCTTTTAGAATGAGTAGCACTCAAATGTTCAACGATTATACACCAAAAAAGAAGGCCAAAAGCAGATTTTACATCTTCTTGTACAGGAAGTCCAAAGCAAACCTGGGGTTTCCCAGCGTTTTTTTTTTCTGCTGTTTCTTCTTCATTGCTGGTTTCTTTGCTTTCAACCTTCTCTCTCAGGTAGTTGATTAACTTTCATCTTTGAAAAAATGGTAGAGTTTTCAGTTTGTTGTTGATTTTTTTATTCATTTATTTGAAAGGGGGTTCCTAGAGAAAGGCAGAGATCAAGGAGGCTTGAGTCACTGGACTATGACTTGATGTCACATGGAGAAACAGGAGATGGTTTTATTTCTATGATTCCTTTTCAGGTTCTTTTTTGTATTACAGTTCAATTTGATAAAAGAATGTGTTGGTAATTTGATTGGTCTTTTTGGATGTGAAAAGTTTATCTCTTCTGATAAAATGAATTATATTTGATATGACTCTATTATCTATAAAAGGTTATAAGCTGGAGGCCGCGTGCCTTTTATTTTCCCAAGTTTGCAACTCCAGAGCAATGCCAACGAGTAATCAACATGGCAAAACCAAAACTTGAACCATCAACTGTGCTTTTATCAAAACAAGAAACTGAACAGCCCAAGGACGTTAGAACAAGGTACTATGTTTAATATGCCGATGTGAATGAATGTGTGGCACGTGCGTGTGTGCCTGTCTTCATGAACTTGTGACAGTTAAGAATATAGAACCTTGATTAGGTGTTGAAAACTTTTAATGTGAAATTATTGTGGTTTTTATATCATATTCATGAAAGATACCTTATGTTTCAACTCAATGAATGGTATGAAGTATCTGTTTTAAAGTCCCTTTGTTTGCATGGTGGGAGGGACTCCCTCAGCTGTGTTTGAATAAAACAACATACACAGCATGGGTTCTCCCACCACGCATCCAAATGAACTCTTAATCACTCTGGGGTTAGCTTTATAAATCATTTTTGAATAAATTGGCAGTGCAGAAAGTGAAAGTCTGAAAGAGTGAAAGTCACTGGTATGATTTGGTAAATGAAGTTAAGAGTAGAACTTATTTCCGAATTCTGCAAGTTATAATTTCTTCAAAAATAGTTAGGATGGAAGTCATTATATTTGCAGTGATATATATATATATATATATGTATATATACATTATTTTTCGCCTGTATTTTCTTGTTAAACAGTATGGGCACGTTTCTTAGTGCTGACGAAGATGAGACTGGGATTTTGGATGCCATTGAGGAAAATATTGCAAGGGCCACAAAGCTACCAAGAGATCACTACGAGGTATTGTATCATAGTAAATCCAATATTGCATAACAATCACCGGAGATGAGAGCGTAAACAAATAGCAAAAAGCAAAAGTATTGATCAGCAAATGGATTAATCCAAATTATCTGTGGATATGATCACTATGTTTCAGGCATTCAATGTCTTGCGCTATGCAGTAGGACAGAAATATGATTCGCATTATGATGTGTTTGATCCTGAGCGATATGGCCCGCAGAAGAGCCAAAGGGTATGTACAATAGAGCAAGTCCGTTGTCAATGGAAACACAGGAATGGTTAAAATGAGCAAAAACTTCAAAAAAAAAAAAAAAAGACTTTCTGCTGATCATTATTAAATGAAACATTCTGATAAATCTCGATTAACCTCCACTCAGGTTGCTACTTTCTTGGTGTACTTATCAGATGTTGAAGAAGGAGGGGAAACTGCATTTCCATTTGAGGTAACTTCAAGACTCCTGCTTGTCCTCTTGCTTCTGGTTTGAACATTTCTCAATAGAAACATATAGATTGGTAGTTGCTCAAGCCTCAATGCTCTGATCTGCAGAATGGCTTGAATATGGATGGAAATTATGATTTCAAAAAATGTATTGGCCTGAAAGTGAAGCCTCGCCTAGGAGATGGGATTCTATTTTATTCATTGTTCCCAAATAATTCAATTGATCCAGTAAGTGTTTTCTATTATTTCCAATTTAATCTGTCAAATTCAAGGCTTAAACAACATGGTATCGGACTATGAAACAACATTAATGGCTGCTTTTGCAGACATCAGCTCATGGGAGCTGTCCAGTCATCAAAGGAGAAAAATGGGTGGCTACAAAGTGGATCAGAGATCAACAAGATTTTTAGATTTCCTGTCTACATATAGTTAGATGCTTGATTCACAAATTCGCTTAGATTTGTCTTTGTATCCAATTAACCTCTACTCAATAAAATTTTTTCCCATTTAGGGTAACATCTTCTCCTTTGTGAATGTTGAAAAACAAAGAATCAGTTGGTACAGTGATACAGATTTCAGATGTGTAAAAATATGTAATAACTCTACACTGTTTTTTCAACTTTATTTATTCTGCAAGCAATTTTACATTCTCCTTCTTGGTTCATCACTTTGCCTAAACTAAAAATTTCAACATTTTTTGAAAAATCATACATAAAATATACAAAAAATTAAAATCAAGCACTCAACACAAACAATATTAAGAATTATTACATTAAAGTAGCATTTGATATTATTTTCAAAACCATTGTAGTGATCTAATTATCATGGTGATAAAATTATCAAAGTGATTTGATAATTAATGATCTTAGATTATTATATTTGGTATCATATTATAAATTATTGTGTTTATATTATGTGAAAAAATAAATCATATAATACAAAATATCTAACATAACCTTATAAAAAAATAAAATATTTAATATTTATTGAATCAATAATTTATAAATTTGGTAAACGGTATTTTATAGAAAATTACAAAATATAAATCAATTTTGATAAAATTAATTTCTAAAATAATTATTAAATAAGTTCATTATTTTTTTCTAGTCAATATAAATTTATAGCATAAAACTTTTTTTAGAATAAATAATTAAAAAAAAGTTTTTTAAAATTTTTAGTGACCAATTTCTTAGAGTAATATTAACAATTTTTTTCACAAGAATAAATTAATCAAAAATAATATTAAAAATTACTTTCTATGGCCATAAAACTTTCCTATGGTGTAGGTTTAGAATCAATGCACTCTCTTAGGCAATAATTTTATCATTCCAATAATTTAAAATCATTATCATATAAAATTTTTAAATTATTATCGAACAAATGATATAATTACTAAATGTAAATCATTGTAATTTTTAAACGAATCACTTTCTATCAAACACTTTTTAAAGGGTCATATCACAAATTTAAAGTTTAAATTTCCTTACTTGTAATATATATATTTTTTCTTTAGATCTCTTTTATATAAAAAATATATATATAAATTTGGCACTTATCTATTAATTTATAAACAAATAAATCAACTTAAATTATTAAATTAACATGTTTAAAACTTTTAAAACGTTGACCCAAAATTCTAATTGAGAAAATCTCAACCAAAACATGGAAATAAGATTATACAAAGTAGGAAATAATAACTGTTATTTGTCACCAAAGTTTCAACTTTGCCAGAATTGAAAACACGGGAAGAGGGCGTAATCCGGTGTGCCAAAAAGACAGGAGACAACAGTTTCATAACACAAATCCGCGTACCGATCGCCTATATTTTATTTCCGTTGACTCCCATTTCCCAAATGGAAATTTTCGTTTCTGATTTCTCTCTCTGTCTTATAAATAAAACTCCCGCTCTGTATCCTCCCAGGCTACAAGTTTAATATCAGACGAAGACAGAGAACAAACAACATACATAGTTTTGCAGTCAAAAGCTATACTGAATTTTGCATGTTACAATGTCTACCTCTCAGATTCTTTATGATTATACTCCTAAAATGAAAGCCAAAGCAAGAGCTTACTGGTACTGGAACTGGAACTGGAACTCCAGAGCAAGGTTTGGTTTACGTGCTGTTTTTCTTTTCTGTTTTTTGTTCTTCATTGCTGGCTTCCTCAGTTCGAGCCGTCGCTCTGAGGTTCTTCCCAACTTTCCTTTCTTTTTCTCATTTGTGCTTTCATATTCATTGTCATTTCCTTCCTTTTTTTAATCTGTAATTGATAGTTTTATTTCCTTTTACCATTGGAAGTGGGTTTCGGGAGTTAGGCGGAGAACAGAGAGGCAGCTGGACTCGATGGAGTATGATTTGATGGGACATGGAAAAACTGGAGATGATTCTATTTCTGTTATTCCTTTTCAGGTTCTTCAGCTTTGGGTTTTTTTCTTTTTTATTTTTTTGTTTATTAGTGGTAACATTTTGTTAGAACCGATTCTGATGTTTCTAATATGCATGATCAAATTCATTCCAGGTTATAAGTTGGAGGCCGCGGGCTTTTTATTTTCCAAAATTTGCAACTCCAGAGCAATGCCAACACATAATCAACATGGCAAAGTCAAACCTTGAACCCTCCAAATTGGCTTTGAGGAAGGGAGAATCAGAACATAAGCGGCAGAATGTTCGAACAAGGTATGCACACTAACTACATATGTAGTTGCAAAGTTATTTAGTAAGCGATTTCAGAGTTTAATTCAATTGATTCATGTAACAAGTGGTATCCAATTAGTCTAGAATTCAAATCTCCGCAACTCTTTCTCTCGTCTCAGCTGCGGCCTCTTGCTAGCAAAATGTTATTTACTAAGCTCAGCTAACAGTTTCTTGTTAATTAACAGCATGGGCACGTTTCTTAGTGTTTCTCAAGATAGTACTGGGGTTTTGGATGCCATTGAAGAAAAAATTGCAAAGGCCACAAAGCTTCCAAGGACTCATTATGAGGTATATCATTGCATGATAAATTAACAATTTACTGCTAGGAAGAGCCTAATTGAGGACTTCCTTTTTCTTTACTCTCTCTTTCTCTCTCCCTCTTTTCAGATCAGCTTGATTCCTCATGTAGTTCTGGGGATATATTCCATTGTTTCAGGCTTTCAATGTCTTGCGCTATGAGCTTGGTCAAAAGTATGACTCACATTTAGACGCGTTCCCTTCTGAAATATATGGCCCACAAAAGAGCCAAAGGGTATGTCCTTTTTTCTGCTGCTATTCTATCTATGATTTTCATTGTTTTCCTCTCTCCAAAGGCATGCAAAGCTCACGCACCTGAGAAACAGGTTGCTACCTTTTTGGTTTACTTATCAGATGTTGAAGTAGGAGGGGAAACTGCATTTCCATATGAGGTAATAAGGTCAAAACCTCTGCTTCTCCAGTTCTTTATTTTTGGTTTGACATTTTCTGAATATAAAATATATGGTTCCAATATGCTTCTGATCATCTGCAGAATGGGTTGAACATGGATGGAAGTTATGATTTCAAAAAATGCATTGGTCTGAAAGTGAAGCCACGCATGGGAGATGGATTTCTATTTTATTCATTGTTCCCCAATAATACGATTGATCCGGTATGCATTTTTCCATTGCTTTGTCCTTTCTCTCATTGCAAATTTGTTAGCAACTTTTATATTGTTCTTTTATTTTTCGTCATCTGATGGATGTTTTTGCAGACATCACTTCACGGGAGCTGTCCAGTAATCAAAGGGGCAAAATGGGTGGTTACCAAGTGGATCAGGGATCAAAATTTTCTTTAGTTCTGGCATTCAGCATTCAGCCTCCTGATATCAGTCAAGTTGTTTAGAGTTTCTGACTTTTCTTGTTTATAACAAAATTTTCCCATTAAATACCAATAAAAAAAATTCTTGCACAGAGGTTGATCCTTTTTGCTCATGTATTTGTTGGAAAAAGAAGAATAAGTTTATACAGATTTCACATGTATCTAGATATAATAGCAAAATGGATAAAATAATATTTGCAAAAGAAAAAAATTTCTGTTCTCTTATTAAATCTAATAATTCGAATATTTGTATCTTTATTTTTATTTCGATTGCATGACAACACACGAAACACAAAATTTCATATAAGATTTTTGTTTGCTTTTTTTTTTTTCTATCATTTTCATATGATGTCTTGTCTGCAAAATCTACTTTTGTCCAATTCCACTTGATAAATACTGGCGATCTAAATAATAACAGATGCATAACCTTCTGATGCTTTCCAGTGACCAAGACACGGCAGTCAACTTGGACGACTCCAATGCCTTGCCTGTTGATCTACATACAGCATATGAAAGAACGCTTTCTTTGTTATTCTCAATTCTATAAAAAGAATCTGTCAGCCGTAAATCAAAATGACAAAACAAAGCAGGATCTTCTTGTCTTTCGAATTTAAACAACCTTTAAACTACGACAAATAAAACCCCACTAAAGGAAAATAAAACTTGGTTTCAAACAAAAGATGATTCTCAATGAATCTTTCATGCCTGAAGTTTTTGCAACTCTATTAATACTAACTCCTTGAAAACAAATCTCAACCTTCTCATCAGTCAGGTCCACTGCTGCATTAATCCACCTTCAAACTGAACCTTCTCATTCATGGATATCTTGCCATTAGTCCTATTATTTCCGGCTGAATTTGTGGAGCAGAGTCGAAATTGCTTGTGAAATATTGCCCTTGTAACAGACAACTTGCAGTGGAAATTCAATGGCCAATTGTTACTGGCTGACTACCTCTGCACTTGAAGTTTCTCAATAGAAATCCTATGCGATTATCGCTTACCTTCATTAATCATTGAAACTTGGATTTTGTTAGATTCTTCTTTTTTACCTTTTTGCATATGTTGAATGCCTCCCATCATATGCTTATGCAGCAAATTTAAGGTCCAGGATCATTTTCTGTTTAATCCTTTGCTTCCATCAGTAACTAATGACAGACTCCAGAAAATCATCCACGTCAGCAAATATGGGCCAATAAAATTCATAATTTGTGCCAGTTTTGATATGGTTGCTTTCCCCACCGCTTCAAAACATGCATGCAACCAGCTGCAACGAATAGTCCGAGTGCAGCAAATGCTATGATTGTTGCATTCTCAATGGTCCTATAGTAGCCTCTCTGCAAAATTAAGAAGCTAGCTTGTAAGTTCATTGGAAAAGAAAGTAGTATTACATATCATAACTCCAAATTCTCCCACAAGATTCACCAAGGAGATGCTAAAGTCTATTTTTCCTACCCTCAACAGCTCCAGACAAGAGATAAGCACAGGCACCAAAGAAAACACAATTGTTGAACTCATACTCAGCATTTTATTTCAAAATAACTATTGGTCAGCCTTAAGTCAGAATTCTTAACCAATTTATATAGCAGCAAGTGACAGGAGGTTAAAGTGGTGTATCTTGATTCGTACTGCCATTTCCCCTCTTCCCCAAAAGACAAATCATACATGTATGCAGATGTGCATGGACGAATGCAAGCAATTGTAAATTGGGCAAGGGACACACCTGCATCAGAACAAACAAAATTGCTGCATTTGCCGGAGCTAGAGAAAGGCTTATCATTCCTCCACGCAACTCATTTGGCACATACCTACATAAACAAGATTAAAGCAGAATGATTTAAAACTAAATTTCTATAAATAAGAGGCACTGCACAATAAAAGATTTTTAATACTTGATAAAAGAAAAACAGTATGCAATGTACATTGTCCTCAATCTTGCAAGTGAAGGCAGAATCAGGCCAATGCAGGCATGGAATAAAGAAAACTGTGTTACCAGAACTCCAATTTCCTGCAAGCAAAACCACGCAAACTCTGAAGCCATGGTTGTAACAAGAACAAGTGGCCCTAATCTATATAAATACAAATATATATACAAAGAGTCAGCATGCACAAACCTGGTAATCATAAGCTATTATGGACAAAAGAAAACCCTGTATGATAAATGCATACGCTATGCAATCCTCAGTTCGAAGTGATGCATTAATAAGCCATGGAAACACTGTGCTTCCTAACATCCTTGCCCCCAGCAAACATGGATATATCAACCCTAGATACACTTCTCGACCATCAGCCTAACTCACATGTAAAATTATCTTATATTGGTACACTTCAAAGAATCAAGCTTCCAAGAAGACAATTAGAAAACTTAAAGGGAAGAAATAAAAAATTGAGAACTAATCAAACATTCTTCTCAACAACAGATATGATCTTACCACCAGTGTTGGTGCCCAAAGAATCCAGAAAACTACAATGGAAAAATGTAGGCAAGCTTGTGCACATGCCAGTAGCCATATCCTTCTATCTGCAGAACACAAGCAATTTAGCCACCACTCGTAACATTTTTCCTTTGTGGTAAAAGAAGACCACTATGAGTCAAAGCTATTATCTCACCCAAAACCCATCATTCTATCGTGTAGCAGTCAAATCAGTCATCACAGATGAAAGGAATTTAAAGAAAAGTGAACTTCAAGAAAAACTCCAATGTATCCTAAATGATTTCACGTATTTGATCATGTAACCACACATCCAAAACTTATAACTGTGTTTAGTTACAAATAAGGCTAATATGAGAGAACTACTAAAATTGTCATTTTGAAATGTTCTAGCCCTACGAGTTCTCTTCCATGAAAGATGAGAGAATTAAATCACTAATGAAACTACAAAATTCTTACCACCAAGAATATATGTACAAAAGGACACCTTATAATCCTTAAACGTCACTGACTGTGGAGTCCCATCATAATCCCTGGACATATAGATGATGCCTACTATCGCCAGTGAGATGACTGCAGTAGAAGGAGATGCAATCCCTTTCTCCAAATTACTACCCACCAACCAATTGCCAATCACCTGACTTCCAATCAAAGATGCAGACTCAAAAAAAGTCATCAACCAAAATGTTTCATTCAAAATATCTTGCCTATGACCCTGCTGCAAAAAAACAAAAAAAAAGTATCAACATCATAATCAAACTTCTCACTTTTAGTTAGCAAACCAAGAAACATATCGAGAAAGAGCCAAAAGTATCTTTGCCCCAACCTTGTCATGTTCAACAACGACCCATGTCTCGAAACTGAAGGAAAATATTGATGTTGCCAAAGACAAACATACATTTGCTACCCAAAAGCTAGGACTTGATGTGATCCTCTTCCATATTCCAACAATAATGTGCAAGGTATAAAACAGCAAACAAATTTTCTTTTGACCCCTGCATTAATAAAAAGAAAAACCATCAAAATTTCAGAATTCATACGACCCATTAGTCCATAAATAACATTGGTTAATTCATTAAACAAAGGCATTAAAGTGATTAAATAAAACAAATGGGGAGGTTTGGTTTTACTCACATTAAATCAGAGACAACACCTAAGAAACAAACAAAAAGAGCAGCTCCAAATCCAATAAGCATAAGCGTCACAGTATCTTCCTTGCTTATTCCATAGTAAACCAGCTCAAACTCTCCGTAGACCGACCATAATCCTTCCAAAACTGCGAAAACGACGACGTAGAAATCAGATCAACAATCAAATTTCCTTTTTTTTTGTCCGCTATTAATTTAGAAAAGAAAACGCAATTAAAAAACAAAGGTTGAATCTTTTTGATAATGTACCTGAGGCAAGGGAATAGAGAAGGAGAAAGTAACGTTGGAAGCGGAGAGAAGAGGAGGTGGTTGGGTTGTCGGAGAAAGGAGAAGATTTTGTAGGGGCGTCTTTGGAGAGATAGACAGGAAAGAGAGAAAGTGAGAGGAAACAAGAAAGGAAAATGAAGATGTAGACGGAGGCACTTGGTTCCCAAACTGAGCTTTCGATTACAACTCCCATTTTGATCTCAGACGGAAAACCCTAAATCGAATCAGGAATTAAGGAGGAGATGGAAAGCAACCGTTAAAGCATTTTGAGCAACTGAGAACCGAGAAACGAGGAGGAATTCGTTCTCAGGAGCTTGAGTACGCGCCGTTTTATTGTTCCAAAAGAGGCAATCGGTTTTTTGGTTTTTTCCTGGAAAACGGTGCCGTTTCTGTCTTTAAATTTTAAACTTCTAAAACCAAAAATAAAGGGTCAAAGAAAAATTTTAACCCGAAATAAAGAAGCTAAGACATCTTAGAAAAATAAAATTTCATTGCAGAAAAAAATTTTATGAAAAATTTGAATATTATCAATAGGAAAATAGAGGTTTGTGTTTTCTCTAATACTCATCAAATTTGTATTAGTTTTACTTCAGGCATTCTTAATTAAATAGTTTTTTTTTAGTACAAAAAAAATTACAGTATAAAAATAAAGAAAAGTCGAGTTTCACGTGCTAATGTCATGCTAAACGTTCTAAAAAAGAGTAGGCAAAATATTTTAATTTCACGTGAAACTTGTTAAATATTGTTAATTTTCATATTGTAATTTTTTTATTTATAGTTTGTCTTATAGTTGTAAATTTATAAGTATAAATAATTGATATATAAATTAACAACCAACCAAAATTTGAAGTTCAAGTTGCAAAAGAACGAAGGAAAAAAAAATTGACAAGAAAGATTATAATATTTTTATGGTTTTCCATGTGAAAGTATCATGTAAGTAACAATTAATCTTCTATTCAATGAACCGGTTAGAATCTCCATTTCTCAAAATAAAATAAAATAAAAAAAAGGAAAAAATTGGTCCAGAAATGGAAAAACATGAGAAATATGAATATCACAAAGCTGAAAGCTGTACATCCCAACTCAAACAAAAAAAAAGAAAAATTCACAAAGCTGAAAGCTGTACAAATACAGTGTTAGTTGATTATTAGCACTGTAATATATATTTTGGATATTACTAAGCAGAAGCTCCTGACAATTGTTCTTTAAGCAAATTCCTTATCCATGGTTGTTTGAAGCTGTGAGATTTCTGAGATGAAAGCTGGTTGATGAAGAGCAAACCGGCATAGGATGCAATGATCCAGTTGCCTTTCCTGAATTGTGAACACAAGTAAGTTTTAAAGGACTTGGTATCCAATGCAGCTCAAAGTCAAAGCACATATCAGTGATTCATAGAATTTATATCCTAATCTTCTGTAAGTTGGATCCTGTGGAAAAGAAACTCTGAAGTTGCATATAATGGCTGCATGAGTAGGAAGTATTTCTGACAGCCATTTGGTTTCCCTAAAATTTCAAAACTTTACACATTTTTTAAGCGGCAGGGGTTCCGAGGCTTTGTCTAATACATCCTCCTCCCAAGCTGATCCAAGCTAATTTATCTACTTCGATCCTAGTGCATTCATGAAAAATTACCTTCTCACAGTCTCCTAACGAATTCAAACCCAGATGATAAAGAGAGAAGCACACTCTCTTTGCCACTTGAGCTAGCCACCCATTGGTCAAACTCATACACGTTTTGGTAGCATATATTGTTAAGTTTACTGTATCAACAAGTTCTAAGCCACCACTGTGTCTGCATATGTCTGCTTATGGTCTGAAAATTGGTTTTATCTAGGGAACACGTTCACAAATTGACACTGTAGATGTTGTTGTGATAAAACTGTTGAAATCAAAGATTAGAACTCAGGAGGTAAGTAAAATAATAGAGGATCTGGAACAGAACTTTTCTTCAAGGTTCTATAAATATAACTACATTCCAGCTCGTCAGTTTTAACTTGTGACTGTGAGGGATGATTCGGCTTAATGAATCTCTCTAAGCTGTTTATAGTGGAACCGCAATTGGCAATTTCAAGCAGGTCTTTGCCTTTTGAGCACATTTATGGGAATAATGATGCCATTAGTTTTATCTATAATTTGCAAAATTGAAGTACATCAACATCCAGAACCATTCGCTAAAATTTCCTGTTTACCTTCGAGTGTGCCAGACTAAAGGAAAATAGGAAATTCAAACTATGAACATACAAAATGAAACAGCAAGATGTAATACCTTATTCCAGGTGTGTAAACAGCAGATCTTGTCCTGTCAAAACTTTAAATGCGCGCCTTTGATTCATTAAAAGTCCTGTCGGAGTTGTGATCAGTGGAAAAGTAAGCCAAGCAAGAAAAGGAAATTTAAGAATTCTTGTCCTGAGTCAATCCTATATGAAAGTACTTGTACCATTACCTGTAATCTACAGCTATTGGTTGATTTGCTGGCATCGTTTTTACATCCAAAGGCAGTTTCCATGATGCTTTGAGATCTGCAGAATACTGTTTACCATCCTCCTAGAACACCAAAACAAGCAAGGAACATAAATGGTTAACCCCGGATTCTCCCTTGGTGCATAATCACTAAAGGGACCAGAAAACCGCAGGGTGCGGTGAAAGTATACTTACCCAAATGTCATCTTTCATCAACCCAGGGATGCTTCTTGAAAGAAGGGTGATATACTGCTCCATGGCCGCTTCTGGACTCATGTTCCCAAGTCTTTTCCAGGCATTCCTATCACAACAAAAACCAGTTTCTTCAATCACTCGAATTGAACAGTTAAAATCCTACAATTATGATGGGCAATCATCCAGAAACTCAGATGGAAGACTATCAAAGGCAAAAAGCAACAAAGGAAAGGATCTCAATTGGTTATGATAAATTGAACCGACAAAGCAATTAGGATTCAATTTACTATTTTCAATCCATCAGTCCACAATCATTTTCTTTGTATTCTTTTCATTCATTTTCTCTATCAATATGCTTTTGTTCTCTACTTCCAGTCTTCATCAAGTCTATTCTAGTCATTTTTTCTTTATGCATGTCTATCTATGAAGTTCTTAATCATGAACAGGAACACATTTTCCATGCGGATTATACCCTTCAATCGGATTCCATCTTCGATGAGATTAGATCTCAAGTAAACCAATATCCAGATTTTGATTCAATGTATTTATGGATTTCAAGTTCAGACAATCCTATCAACCTTACAAAAGCAAACAGCTTTAGATGCTTAAAGTTAATCCTCATTCACAAGATTGCAATTAAAAATCAAAGGCAAACACCTAAAAGGTTTTCTTTTTCAAATTCAATGGAGAAAGCACAAACAAGATTTACAAAGTTTAAACCCCCAAATTCAGAGGAGAATTTTACCATTTTGCACGAGCAGACAACTTCAATGACATAGGCTGAGGCTCATGGCAAGGCCCTTTAGTGGCAATCTTGTGAAGTCCATACAATTGCATCTTTACATTATTGCCAAGTTTCAAAGTTTGATCAGCTCTACTTCTACACTCCAAAAAACACACTGCAGCACTAAAATCCTTCTCCAATTCGGTTCTTTCAATTTCCTCCCAATCACCATCATCATCATCATCCTCATCAGATAAGCCCTCCTTTAAGCAATCTCCTTCATTCTCTTTTTCACACTCCAAAACCTCAATCTCTTCTTCACCCTCTTCAGCTAGTTCTATCTCAGTGGTTTCATTAACAAAATTCTCCTCACCACAACTAATTTCTTCCATAGTTTCCTCCGTTAGTTTTGTTGATCCATAACTACCATTCAAAGACTCTTCAAGAGTACTCTTTTCTTCCACAGATTCACCTAATGCATCAACTTTTACAACTTCTGAAACAGACCCAAGTTCCTTTTCACATTGAAGAACATATTTTTCTGATTTAGTTGTGACTTCCATCCATGATCTTGACACAGCCTCAAGACGTTGATCAATGATAGACGACAAAGAAAGAAGCTTAGCAAGAATGAAGGAAAGAATAAAAGAAAGAGAAACAGTAAACACAAATTCAAGAATAAGTTCCATGCTACCTTGGTTTTTGGTTAAGAATTGGAAGGAAAAAAGTGAGAGGAGAGAAGAGTTGGGCTTCTTTTTTGTTGGTTGAAAATAATATATGAAGGGATAGGAGAAGTCGGATTTTGAGGAGCAAAGCAAAGTATGTTCTGTTTTCTTTTTTTTTTTTTTTGGTGTTTTGGAAACTGCAATAGCTGGAGCTATGGCAAATGTGCTGGTCGGTCCCAGGGAGAGTTTAAAGATTAAAGAGGGACAGCTCTTTGGAAAAGGACTGTTCCGCTAACTGCTCTGTTTGTGGACTAGGAAGTGGTTAAGGTATCAGCTCTTTCACTCTTCCTCTTTCTCTCTCTTTTTACAGCTTTGGAACCCAATGAGACATTGGGGACTGTTGCCTGTTATAACTTCAAGTCTGAGTGCAATCAGTTCACATCCAAGGTTTTTTTTTTTTTCTTTTTTAAGTTAATGTTGTTTTGGTTTTACGGATTCAAGTTTAAATTTAAGAAGTTGACATGATTTGAAGCATTCAAAATGGAAAATGGATACATGAACATCTCATTCAAGCTTACATTTATCCAACAGTAAAACCAAAACAAATGAGTTCTTCAAATAGTCTGTTTTAAACTCCTTCACAACCTCAAGATTAGACATCTCCTGGTTATCCTCCTCACGATTTCAGCCCCCCTTGATCTTGTCTTGTCCTTTCGATGTTACCATCAACTTTGTTGCTCTCGTGTCGGTGGTGCTTTCTTCCCCCTACTCGGGACAAAATAAAGAGGAATATATGTTCCTTTGAGGCCTACCTTCAATCATTACTTCAGGAGGCTGGCAGCCCCAGGCCCCCAGCCCATTTTGTCAAGGCTGATAAATCAACAAAGAGAAAAAAATTGATCCTGGTAAGTGCAAAGACTGGTACTTTCTCTGTTGCATCATCGGACAACAGCAGAAAACAATGATCATCCTATCAACTACTACACAATTAGACTAAATCTAGATTGAGAGATGAGAATGAATGAAATTGGGAGGTAGATTTCAGTTGCCTTGTCGATTTCAGAAGTTTTTTTGACAAGTGACAATGGCTTGACCACATTAGCTATGATCTGTACTGAACATTGCTAGTAGTTCATGTGCAGCTATTGGGCAATGAATTTAGAAATTGAGAATTATTTGTTGTCATTGGACAGCACATATGCATTTGTTAAACCTAACCTTACTTTCTCTTCTAACATTGTTGGGTAGTGTATCAACTGGTGGAAAGTATTGTCAATGGATGAAAGTAGCTTCTCAACTTATGAGATTGCCAATTTCATTCATTAATAGTAAAAAAAACCTCAAAATTTTAATTTGGGGAGCTAATAATTATTGGATCCATCAAATTGGATCAAACTCGATAATTATTAAGCTTATAGCCCTATTTTTTATATGTTATATATTGTGTAATTTATAAAATTGCTTTAAAAAGTAAAGAATAATGAAAATAAAATTATTATTGGACTAAATTGAATTAAGAAAGCAAATTAGGAAAAGAAAGAAAAAGCGAGGATAAAATTCTACTTGTTTGACAAAATGCTTATAAAAAATAATTTAAATAAATAAGTATTAATAACTATCATGTGAAATCTATACTTATTAATAATAATTTAATCACAATAAAAAGAATTTTATATTTGAGATTATATTTTAACTAATGATCGCATTTCACAATTACATTGCCATTGTTAAATTATTTGATAACAATAAAATTAATAATTTTTTTATCATCAATAGAAATATATATTAAATTATACAATATAAAATAAATATTTTTTAAAAATACATATAAATTATGCTTTTCAAATGCATTTGTATTATGTAATTTATACATTATTAATTTCTATACATCCAAGTTTATAATTAAAAAATATAATTATAATTTTTCACACTTCTTACTTTTTTTACTAAAATAAAATTTTTTTTAACTTTAAAAGAAAATTATTAATTAAAAACTCAGATTTAATAATTTAAAATATGACATAATTATTAGATATGAAAATAATATAAATAAAAAATATAAAAATAATATTATTAAAAATTATAAATAAAATTAATAAAATTAAAAATATATATTTTATATTTCTATATTTACATAAAATATGATACGTTATTTTTATTTAAAATATAATATTTTATTATGATTCGACGTCATAAGTTTTCAAGTCCAAAAAATATTGCACGGAGATGACTCGTTGATTTCATGTCTGTCAGTGTTAATTGCTCAAACTTCAATCAAATCAAAACCATGTAACACGACACAAAGCCAGCAAAATAATTGGTCCGTGACGGAAACATAAGTGATCTTATCATTATATCTCTCACCGCTCTATAAATATGGCAGAAAGCAATTTGAATGGTTAAGTTTGAATCTTTTCTCTCCTTAACCAAAGTAGAGTTTTTGAGGTTCGTCATATTCACGCCAAATCGATCAGATATGGGACGCGGCAATGGACAAAAGTCCAAGATGGCGCGTGAAAGAAACGTCGAGAAGGCTAAAGCCGGCGCAAAAGGTTTCACCGTTCTTTTCTTTTCCTAGCAAGAACTAGAGAAAAAGTAAAAATTTGGAAAGTTTTTTATTATCATTTGAATTAGATCTTTGTATTGGTTATATTTGTTTGTTTTAATGCTTTTTGAGGAAGCCAACTAGAATCAAACAAGAAAGGGATGTCGATTCAGGTAATTTTTGTGTTTATATATTTATTAACCATTATTAGTTTCGTTCTCTTGTTTCTTTGCTGATTTTTATATGGGTTGCAATTGCCTAAGGTTGGTTTTTTTTTTTCCCTTTTTTCCATTTCATTGAAAGCTGAAATATGAAGATATTTTGGTCTTTTTATAGAGAGAGGAAAGCAATGAAAAGTTCTGATATTTTGTTCATTGTAGCTTCTAAATATGTGGGATTGTTTTGATTTGGTTGGGGCTGTTACTTTCAACACTAAAAAGGATGGGATGAAATCTGATATTTGAGTTTTTTTCACAGAGGAAGAGGAAACATTTCCTCTTATGAAAGTGGCTTCAAATACCATTTTTTTTCAATGTAATTAGTTTTCATGTTGTAGAATAGTCTGCGTGCTTGTGTATTTAACACTTAAAAATTGTGCCTACGGCTAGTAACTGAAATTGTAAATGAAATTCTATGTTGACATGCTATAGTTGGTTTGCAATTGCATTTATATATTTAATCTATGCATCCTTACGTTCAACGTGTTTCCATTAGGCACCGTTTGTATGGGTCGGTGGTGCATTGTTGTTTGTCCTCTTCATTCCTCTTTTACTCTTATTGGTTTACGGGTAGTGTATGAAAGAGGAAAAAAGTTTGAGAAAAAAGGAGTGAAATATGTGTTATTATGAAGTAGCATTTGGAAGCGTGAGAAGCAGCCGTGTGATTGGGGTAGGGGACTAATGTCATTGTATTGGCTATGGAGGAATCTCTTTATTTGGTAATTGGTTGTGGATGAACTTACTAGCATGTTCAAGATGATATCCTTTAGTGCTGCTTTTCGTGGGTTTTAAACCTTCTGCTGATGGGACTAAAGTGAGAGTAAATCATTTATAGGAACTTTGGATGAATGCTTTAGAATCTAAAGGTTTAAGTTATGCATGGAGTGCAAGGATTTTTATGATTTAGCATTTAACTTCATTATCTGATTGATGTGCTTAATTATTGGTGATTGTTGAGTAACAATTTATTTACTTAAAATGCAGTGCAAGGTATGCATGCAGACATTTATGTGCACAAACATCAGAGGTGAAGTGCAGGGAACATGCTGAAGCCAAGCATCCAAAATCCGATGTCTATGCCTGCTTCCCTCATCTGCAGAAGTGATGTAATTGGAACAAAAAAATGCTATGTAGACTTGTTTGGAAAATCATTTCCTTACGGAAAGCCTCAACAATGATTTATACACGCGAGCCATGTTTGGTTGGATAGAATGATCATTCCATTCTCACCCGTATTCAGTTGTTGGCAGCAACTCATGTTCTGCTTTTAAAAGCCCTCCTAAACTCTCTATCCCTTAAAAAGACAGGTAAGCTAGAAACGGGAGGTTTGATGTGTGAGAAATGAAATTCAGGTGCTTATCTTACATTCTTTTTTATTGAATCTTCTCAATGATTTGTCTTTTAATTACAGATATGTCTTCCACATTTTTAATAAGAGAGAACCTTAGAGTATCACGTGCAGACCATATTGAAAATAAAGAAAAAGGTACCCAAAAAAAAAAAAAAAAAACACTTTAATACTCTCTCGAACAAACTAAGTTACTCAGGCGAAGAATGACGATTGTAAATGTTTCCTGGACAACCCTTCAACTTCCAAAAATTTATGTAACATTAAGCACAATAAGTCTCTTCAAATGAGTGACTGATTTACAAATGAACTCCGAAAGTACCATTTACTGAGTACGCATCCTGCTACTTTCTGCAGCCCTCACTTGGGAGAAGTAAGGATGGGCCTGCATGAGAGAAAACATCATGACAAGCAATGGTAGAGAATTTGAAGGCATGCAATAATAAGGTTAGATAGACCTACCATAGCTTCTTTTGCTGTTAGCCTTTCCTGATGATCGTACCGAAGCAACTTATCAAGAAAATCAATTGCCTGAAAGTTTAAAGAGCTTAAAGAATGAATATCACTTATTAAGGCATTTAGATTAGTGCATTGTAACTGAGCTTATAGTATTCAATTTCCTCGATGTTTGCCTAAAGAAGAAAAATAACCTCCGGAGAAACAAGATGCTGATTATCTGCATTGACAAATTTGGACCATGGTTTGCGGCTGTGCCTGAAAAACAATATAACAAAATGTTAATAGAGAAAGGGTTAACCATTCCAAACAATTAACATGTCCACCAGATGGATGTCATCTGTGTGTGAAACTGCAGCACCTCAGGGTGCATTGCCATGGTTTAATGCAACCAGAGCATTTGTTTATAATTAGGTACAACCTTGCATATTGGATATGTTCATGCTTAATGTACCTTCCAACAAGAGCATCAAGTTGAGGATCAAGCTCCAAATGGTATTTCTTCAGATATGCATTTAACTCATCAGTTCCTAGCACCTGAAGTTACATTAATAGCAGTCAAAAACTTTGTAGCATCAACATCATCTGGCAATACTTTTTTAGGAAAAGCTGCAAAAAAAGTGAAAATAGAACTTCTTGTTTAACAGTCCATGTAAAGTATGCCCCTGGTACCTATCCCCTATCAAGTGATGGTCGGGAAGACAGAATAAATATTTAAATCAAAACCTGCAAGGATAATGCTGCAACTAGAAAGAATAGTGAATAAACAACAATACCAGGCGCTTGAAAAGGTTAACATTGATACTCCAGACGTAAATTGTAACAGCAAGATGGATAAAATATGAGATAGACAAGGTACAAGACAATGATATGGATCAATAAATTATCCCGTTAGCAGTTAGAAATGGCACACTATCCTAACCAAAATTTTAATTTAACAAGACAAATGATAAGAAAAATTAATCTTAAACAACAACAATATTAAAAACATCAGCCAATTTGCAGAAACATATTACCTTGGCAATTTTAACTAGTTGATCATGGTTGTCATGGCCATAGAAGAATGGTTCCTTCCGGAATATCTACACAATAAACAAGTACAACAAACAAATTAAACAACATAACTACTCTATCATGCACCCAAAATTGAAGTTCCAAATGAAAGTTCAATACATTTAAACTAGAATAATGGTATTTCTCACCATTCCAGCAAGCATGCAACCAAGGCTCCACATGTCCAATGAATAATCGTAGTCCTGTAAATCAACCAGAAGCTCAGGCCCTTTAAAGTACCTGAGAAATAAGGAGGGAAATTAAACTTCCCTGAACTGAATCCAGATTGTAGATGGAATAGTAAACTGAAAGAAACGTTTAGAAAGCTATTAAAATGGAACAACATGCAAATCTGCTTAGTTCAGTTGCTTGGAAAACATTATTGGTCTTTCATTTTCTAGAAGGTTCTGGCATCCAAGAATAGCAAGATCAAAAGAATCTGAGCTCTTTCACACCTAGGATGTCGAAACTAATACTGAGTCTATAAAAAATTAAAGAAAAGGCAGAAATTTTCTTCAAGGGCCCAGCTAGTAGTTGTTTAAAAGAAAATTAAATGTAGTACCAATCTAATTTCCCTTAGCTTAACTTGTTTAATGAGTTTCATGCTAAATTTTTTATCTGTATGCCCATAATACAAAGCAAATACAGTTTCCAATGAAAGCCAATTTAAGGTACAAACACAGCAAGCATACGCGTAACTAACCCCCAAAATAATTTTCTTTTTCTATTTCAATCATGGACTGATATTTATGGCCGGTCTGTTTTTAAGGTCTTGAAGGAAAAAACAATCTTGAAAATATACAAAGGTATATGAGCGGGAAAGTTAGTCAAATGGTTCATGATGTCTTTAAAGCATTACCTAGAAGCCACGCGAACATTATACTCTTTGCCAGGATGGTAAAACTCAGCAAGTCCCCAATCAATCAAGCGAAGTTTCCGTAGCTCATGATCTATCATGACGTTGTGAGGCTTGACATCTCTGTGCATTATTCCTTGTGAATGACAGTAATCTAATGCCTACAAAGCAAAGAAATATTTCCTATCATCCTATAATACAAACATGCAAACCACAAATCCTCCAAAAGCTTACAAAAGACCATCAATTTTTGGAATCCAATCAAGTAAAGCATAAAACTAAAAACAATCACCAAACGAATACCATGGAGCAAAGTTTTATATATCAAAAGTTTGAATGAGGAGCATAATATTACCTTGAGAAGTTCATATATATAGTAGCGAATGTCATAGTCTGTCAAAGTAGGGCAAAGAACTCTGAAATCTGTACTGTTGACATACTCAAACACCAAGCTAGGCGTTTTCGAGTGCTGATCTCTTACAATATCAAAAAGTTTAACAATATTTGGGCCACCACATAGATTCTGAAGGATTTTTATCTCTCTCTTAATCTGCCAATAATTACAATAATCATAAAGATCATATTTATAATCATCGCAACCTTACCCTAAGATTTTACTTCACATAATTCTATTAAAAAATTAATCAAATCTGACAGATATAATAAGTACTAGCCTTCTTTTTCTTGACAGGCTTGAGGATCTTGATTATACAGCGCTCATTTGTATTGACATTTATGCCCTCGAAAACCTCACTGTATTTTCCCCTCCCAACTTTTCGAACAACCTCATAATCATCTTGATCACTAAAGCAGATCATAGTAAAACAGAATACCAAAAATAAATAAATAAACAAATAAAAAAACCGATCACGAACCGAATCGAACAGTTAACATAAGCATTCAGATTATATATAAAAGGTCATAGAAATGCTTAAGTAAGCACGATTAATAAGATTAGAAGATTTCGTTAAGTTAAGCTAATTAGAGAAAATTCGAATTAGTTGATGTAACCCAGTTTAACTTTTAATTAAAACAAATCAAGGACAAACCTAATCAAGGATCAAGGATAATTTCGAGGAATTAATTTAAAATTTACCCCCATTGAACAGTAAGAGACTCGTAATCCCAGTATTCTTTGGGACGAAGAACGTTGACGTCAGCATAAACGCGAGATTTGGACATGATTTCTCTGCGATAGGGACAGGAGGTCTCGTCGATCTTACGGTTATCGTAACAATCGTGGGCGAAGGGAGAGCGGCAGGAGACGATGGCGCAAACTAGCAACAGGCGGAGTAAAAGTGGATAGTTGGTGGCGCGTCGAGCATATTTCATTCAGTCAAGCCAAGCCAAGCCAAGCCAGTCCATTTCTTTTCTTTCTTTGAATGATTTTTGTCTAAGCTTAGATTCAGAAGATTTTGGTTTTGAAGAGAAATGGAAGGGATGGATTAGGGTGAGGTGTGTGCGCAGTGCGCCTCTGTTTGCTCCGATGAGCTGAGCTGGGATCTGACCTTTTTGTTTTGGAAATATCGGAGGGCAGTTTGGGTTGGAAATATGGGAGTCTGAGGAGGAAAAAGACTTGTACGAAAGTTTATATGTGAAATTGGTGAAAAAAAAATTTTATTAAAAAGGAATAAATAAAAGTTAAAATTAAAAATTAAAAAATTTTATGAATAATTATCGATTAAATTTATATTATAAATCATATTTTTAATAATTTTTATATATTATTATTTTCACATTAAACTAATTAATTTATTAATTTAAATTTTTTATTTAATTAATTTTAATAAAAAAATTTTACAAATTTCATTTATGAAATTTCATAAGATGAGAATCTAATGATGTGACAGGTTATTATTGGAATGGAGGAAAGTTTTTTCTTTTTAATGAAAAAGAGCATATATTTAAAAGATTGATGTTTTTTACTTTCCTTTTTCAGGTTGGCAGTAATTTTACAGAAAAGAACTTGGTCCATAGGAATGTATTCTTTTGGCGTTATTCATCTTGCTTTTTCTTCTTGATCAGCTTCGAAAAGAACTGCTTTTTCAATTTGTTTGATAACTACCCCAATTATCTCCACATTTGTTTCACCCTTTTTTTAATCTGAATCAATCGTGATCAACTATTTTCATGTCTGTCATGGTAATTTCCTAATCATCATCTCCACCACATGACAAGCTCACTTGTGTTGTGTTTGGACTATATATCTGCATGTCATGAATGGTAAGTTTCCTGCTAACCAACTTTCAAATAAGGTCAAAACAACCAGGTTTTTAAGAATTTTTATGGTCATTTAAAGATTGATAGGTATCTTTGCATTTGAAGTTATTGTACCTGGCAGTGTTCAGCGCATCAGTTTCAGAATCAGGAGTTCCTACATGATATACTGCTGCAATCTTACTTCCGAATGAATCACTGAAATCGACCTGTTAATTTATCAGGAAATATTTTTGGAACAGTTCACAGGGGATGGGGACAATCTTTGATGGTAGCAAATTAGCAAATGGTTCTTTTTCCTTTTGAGAGGTTCACCATCATTTTTGTGGCTGAAACTCTTAGCAATTTTTTCAAGTGAGTATGGGGACAGATTCTGGCATGATTTTTTTACATGTTTTTGAAATCTATGGATCCCAACTCAGTTCTCGGGTGGTAATCAAACTCATTGCCCTGATTGTGACCCTAACAAGGTGCCATGTTTCCCATTGTTAGGAAGATGAGGTTCAGTCCCATGTCAGTAGTTTTGGACCAAGTAAAAGTCATGGGCCTTGATCTTTTATTTTACACAGAGCTCTAGCTATTTAATAAAAAAGAGGTGGGATTGTTTTATGTGCGTGTCGAAAATCAAGCAGAAAAAGAAGAAAGTCAAGAAAAGCAGAAAGAGAAAAAAGAGAAAGGAGAGTTGGTTAAACGGAAGTCAATCCGTGGTCCATTAAGTTGGAACCTTGTCAGGAGGTTTATGATTCAGAGTTCTACATTCTGAACGGTGAAGATCGGGTTTGAAGCTCTCTAGGAACAAATCCAGGGTATATTTGTTGAGTCACTTATTTGGTGAGATTTCTCCAATTGTTTCTCTAGTTTTGATTAGCTCTAGTTTTAGCTAGAGAAGAACTTTGTATAACTATTATTTGATAGTGAAGATTTTTTTGGTGGCCCGTGGTTTTTTCTCTCTACACTGGAGGGTTTTTCACGTAAATCTTGGTGTGCTTTATTTTTCCTGCGCATTTGATTATTGATTGTTGTCTATTGCTTCTGTATTGTTGTGATTATTGCTTCAGGCGGAACAAGTGGTATCAGAGCGAGGGTTATTTTGAGACATCGATACAAAAGTAACCCAGGATAAAAGTAAATTCTGTTTGAGATCATGGAGGGTGATACAGGTTCCATGATAAAATTGACAGCATCGAATTATTCAATTTGGAAGCCTATGATGGAGGATCATCTATACTGCAAAGATTTGTATGAGCCAGTATTGGGTGATTCGGCTAAACCAGCAGATATGAAAGATGAAAGCTAGAAGAAGCTAGGTAGAAAGACGCTGGCTACAATCAGAAAATGGGTTGATATCAGCATGTTTCATCATGTAGCACAGGAGTCAGATGCTCACATTGTTTGGAAAAAATTGGCAGCATTGTATGAGAGAAAAACATGTATGAATAAAGTTATGCTTGTTAAAAAGCTTGCAACTTTACAGTACAGGGATGGACGATCTGTTACAGAATACTTGAGTGATTTTTAAGATATATTTAATCGGATGACTATTATGGAGCTTAAGATGGATGATGAAATAAAGGCATTATTTCTTTTGGGTTCATTGCCAGACAGCTGGAATACTCTAGTTGTGACTGTTCTTAATTCAGCTCTTGATTATAAGGTGACATTGAAGATGGTAAAGGACAGTATGCTTAATGAAGAAGTAAGACGAAAAGATGTAGACCTTGGGAATCAAGCTCTGGTCACAGAGAACAGGGGTAGAAACATCGACAGAGGTCATGACTCAAAAGGTCGTGGTAAGTCTAAACATAGATCCAAGTCTAGAGGTAAAGTGAAGTGTTTCCATTGTGGTAAGGATGGTCATATAAAACGAAACTGTAGAATCTTAAAGCAAGAGCGAAAAGATGAGAAAGATAAGAGTTCAGATGATGATAATGTTACAGCAGTGAATTCAGATAGTGATTCAGTTACTTTGATTTGTACACATGATGATTGTAATCATGTTAGTGATTTCGACATTGAGTGGATAGTTGACACAGGAGCGACATATCATTGTGTTCCTAAGAGAGAGTTGTTTATAACTTACAAAGCAGGAGACTTTAGTTGTACCTAGATGAAAAATAAGAGTGTGTCACAGATTGTTTGAATTGGTGATATTGTTGTACAAACTAGTACAGGCTGCATGTTGATTTTGAGGGATGTCAAACACATTCCAGATATGAGAATAAACTTGCTTGCTATTAATGTCCTTGATAAGGAGAGATATGAAAGCCGATAAAAGAATGGACAGTGGAAGCTTCTCAAAGGATCTATGATAGTTGTAAGGAAAAAACTATGATGCACAATGTATAAGACATGGATGCAATTGAACGGTAACCAGGTAAATACCGTTGAAAATGATACTTCAACAAACTTGTGGCACAGGAGGCTGGCACACATGAGTAAAAAAAGGTTACAGGTTTTGGCAAGGCACTCTCTCATTCCCTTGACCAAAGGTATGTCTATCGATTCATGTGATTATTGTTTGTTTGGTAAGCATCATAGAGTTTCTTTTCGTAAAAGTTCTCAGAGAAAAGAAAATAGATTGAAATTAATTTATTCTGACTTATGTGATCCCATTGAGGTTGAGTCATTAGGTGGTAGCAAATATTTTATTACTTTTATTGATGATGCTTCACGTAAGACTTGGGTGTATATGTTGAAATACAAAAGTCAGGTACTACAGTATTTTCAAAAAATTCATGCCATGGTTGAAAGGATGACAGGGTTACCCTTGAAGTGTATTCGAACTGATAATGGTGGGGAATACACATCTAAAAGCTTTGAAGAGTATTACTCAAAGCATGGGATCAGGCATAAGAGGACAGAACCTGGAACATCGCAGCATAATGGTATAGCTGAAAGAATGAATCGCACCATTGTGGAAAAAGTCAAATGTATGTTGAGAATGGCAAAATTACCAAAGCCATTCTGAGGTGAAGCAGTCAACACAGCTTATTATTTACTTAACAGGTCACCATCAGTTTCTTTGGGCTTTGACATTCCAGAAAGAGTGTGGACAGAAAAAAATACTTTATACTCTCACTTGAAAGTTTTTGAGTGTAAAGCATTCATGTATGTGCCAAAAGAGCAAAGATCAAAGCTTGACAGTAAAGCTACACAGTGTGTGTTTATAGGATATGATGATGAGAAATTTGGCTATAGGATATGGGATCCAGTAAAGAGAAAGACAGTCAAAAGTAGGGATGTGATCTTTCATGAAAAAGAAACCATAACAGACCTTGAGAAAAATGAAAAAACTACACGAGTTACTGTTGAGTGTGATATTTCAACACCGACAGGGATTTCACAAGAAAAAGCCACAGATGGTGAAAATGAGCAAGAAACATAACTTGAAGATATGAATGAGCCAGCCACAGTTGGTGATGAGCCAGATGCTATTAGTTTTGAGCAGGGGGAGCAATCCTCTCTACCTGAGAGTGTTGAGCAGGGAGAGCTACCTTCGGTATCAAGTGATATAGAGTCTCAGTCCAAGAGATCTACTAGAGAGCGCAGGCCATCTATTAGGTATCCAAGTTCAGATTTTATTTTAGTTACCAGTGAAGGGGAGCCAGAAAGCTTTCAAGATGTACAGGCTACTTCGGATAGAGAGCACTGGTTAAAAGTAATGAAATAAGAGATGGAGTCATTGCAAAAGAATGGTACTTATAATCTTGTTAAACTTTCAACAGGAAAGAGGCCATTAAAGAATAAATGGGTGTTCAAGTTGAAAAAAGATGGTGACAAACTAGTGAGGTACAAAGCTTGATTGGTAGTAAAAAGTTTTTCTCAGAAACCAGGCATCGATTTTGATGAGATTTTTGCTCCAGTTATAAAAATGAGTTCTATTCGAGTGGTATTGGGATTGGCAGCTAGTTTGAATCTTGAGCTTGAGCAACTTGATGTTAAAACTGCATTTTTGTATGGTGATTTGTAGGAGGACATTTATATGAATCAGCCTGAGGGTTTTGAAATGAAAGGGAAAGAGCACTTAGTTTGCAAATTGAAGAAAAGCTTGTATGGCTTAAAACAAGCTCCGCGACAGTGTACAAGAAGTTTGATTCTTTTATAGTGAGTCATAGCTATAAAAGAACAGCAACAAATTCTTGTGTGTATGTTAAACAATTCCCTAATGGTAACTTCATTATCCTATTATTATATGTTGATGATATGTTGATTGTAGGACAAGATGCTAGTATGGTTTGCAGGTTGAAAGAACAATTATCTAAGTCCTTTGATATGAAGGATTTAGATCCAGCAAAGCAGATTCTTGGTATGGACATTATCCGAGAAAAGAAAGCTGAAAAGCTGTGGTTGTCACAAGAAAAGTATGTTGAACGAGT